TCATGTAGAGTCCCTACGCCTCATAACACACTAACACAGAACGACAGAAGCATCACACATTCTCAATAGTTTTAAAAGGTTGTCTTCACTGCAGCATGGAGCAAGGAACGGTGAACTACTTTAAGCTGCAAAAGTCTTGATAGTCCCTTGTCCTACCTACCTAAAAGTGAAGCCAGTCAAATTAGAAACAATTTATAGGCGTTAATCTTGGCTGGATAGGTTGACATTTTGGCTTCTCTGGGTTCCAATTTCCTCCTCATTAAGGTCAAAGGTTGCCAGGATGTCCCCACACCACCCTGGAGAATTCCAAGGAAATCTGGGCAATTCTCAGGTCAGAGGCAGGAAGATAATTGACTGTGATATTTAGGACAAGTAGGGCAGACAAATCACAGAAGACACCGTAGGGTGATAGTATTTCAACTATATACAATATATTGAATAATGAATTTAGCTACCCATCGCTTTTCTGGTTTATATATCCTGCTGTTCCTGCGGTTCTTCCATTTTTATTAGACTGCAAGAGGTTGTTTTTGCTTTTTCACAAACAAACCATAGCTGGTGGTAACAATGTGTCAAACACTGGCAGATGTTGTAAAATTGGACCCCTTCAACAAACAAGCTGGCATCGAGAACGTTGTCGGCAGAAATATTCTGGAAATTGCAAGGAAAGGAAGGAATGCTTATTGTAATTTGAAAAAAAAACTGAAGGGTGATGAAAATCCCCCCCCCAAAAAAACCCCTTACCTCACCTAAAGCTACAAAATACTACTACATGTAGTAGTAAATTGTAGTATGCAATATTTCAGCATATACATTTAAGTGGGCACAACACTCATACTTTGAAATTCTTGGCATACATTTCTGGAAGTCAAAGGGGAAGGAGGAACGCTCATGCCACTTTAAAAAGGCCTTCCATCTTCTCAGAATAGACCTGGCCCAAATATAATGGACCTGTTTATGGTACAGCAATTTGCTGTGGGCAGACGATATGCGCTTAGCATAAACAGATTACCAACTAAAAAGTCATACAAGCTCTAAGACAAGTGGCTGGTTCTCGGATGTTTCTTGCTTAGCACAAAAAAATCTGCTGAGCAAAATCAATCGCGGGTGCAGGAGGTGCGGAGTGCCCCCTCCCCCCAAGTGAGCGAAATGTTTTCAAATAAGGCCATTTTCCCCTTGGAACTGTGATAGCCCTTCTGCCCCCCCCCCAAGCTCTGTGCATCCGCCCTTGATTATTTCATGCTTAGCAGCTAACTGGGCTTTGTTAAATAATGTTGATTCATGTCTACAGAACCAGTATTCCGTATCCAATCTCATGGCCATTTGCTCTTTCTGTCAGCCAGACGAAATGCAAAAATCGCCCAGAAATTTATGATTCCCTGCACACATCAAATCCCACCAACCCCGCAAAGTATTCCAGTGAACAGATGTTAGACCTACATACCAAGGCTCCGGCAAGAATCTTTGGGACAGTAGGGGTGGGGGGGGGGGGAATAAATGCCACCGATAGTTTATCTCTAGAATGCCATCAATCATCGGCGTGGCGACCCATAATATTCAACCCCTGGAGTAGAATTTGCCTTGACCTAAAATTACATATGTGTGATTTTGATATATTTTTAAGGGCAAATTGAAATTTTCAGTTTTGCTATTTGCCCTTTCCCTTTTTTTAAGACAAAGTGGATTGCCAATTTGATGGAGTGTTTGAATGGTGCTGTCGATTAAAATGCATTAATGTGATATGTACATTAGTACTTTGTGGTAATCACTTGTTCGTAGATCTCTAATCAAAGGTTAATTAAGATATTAAATTAAGGAAAGAATTTTAATTCTTATCTTGATCTTTTATCCAAAATCTAATTAAGGTATGCAAATTAAGTAAGCATTTTGTGGGCTGCTTTTAGCCTCCGATGTAGGATTGAGACAAGAGTTTGAGATGTAGTTTTCCGAAGGTTTTGGGATAATAAGAATTATAATATGAACCGCGAAGGAGTATACAAAATTCTATATTATGAAATCCAAGATGTGAGCTGTCTGAAGCTTGCAAAACAGACCTGTGCAAGAAGCAATATAACCTTTAGAGGGGTTATTCTGAAGATCTTCATTGCAAAAATTGAAGAAAAAATCAGTATGAGGTATTAGTACTTTCAATTATGAGAAATGTTCCCAAGCATAATGTAACTCTAATAAGTCTGCTGTCTTACATGTCAAATACATGTGGCATATACCAGGTGCCAGGCTCCAGTAGGCATTAATATATACTGTGTTGATTAACGAGTGTGGGGAGGGTTGTATGGCAGGGAGGGGGTGTCACACACTACCACAAACATCAGGACAGAGGGGGTGCCACACGCTACCCCAAACATCATGACAGGCCTTTAAATCATTACCTTCATGAAAGGGCTGCATATTGGTAGGCATTGGTCACAGTCCTGTATACCTTACCCTAAGCCCTGGTAACATAATGGCACAGTTGGGCCTGAAAGCCCAGGTTTTCTGAGCTTAAATCCTCCGTGATCTGTCTCTCAAAGACCGCTTTGTTTCAAAGTTCCGGGAAGAACTTGAAAACTTATCAAGAAAGCTTCGAAAACTTTTGCTTGAATTATTGGATTTATATCAATTGTGGTGAATCAATCATGTGAAATGAACTGACTGAAATGAAAACAGTCGAGGGCAGAAATTGTTTTATCTCATCGGGTTTATTGTTTTGCCACATGTGAAAATCTACAAATATTTAATACAATAACTTTAAAGGGAATATACAACATTTGCACTTTGATGTAATTTTCAGAAATGGATGGATTTGGGGGTTAGTATTTATAGCAAATATTGTTACACTGACTTGTTTGAAGTTTTGTGTTCGTTGATGCTGGAAAAACCAAGAAAAACAATTATGTTTCTGTAGTCTGGTTGCCTGACCCCACTTAAGATGAAACGGAGCAATTTATCGACAACGGGGAATTGTAAGGTCAGGGAACCAGTCTAGCTGTTTTTTTCTTGTACCCGTTCATCGGTGTGTAATCTATTGCAAACAAAATGCGGACTAAGTAAATATGGTAAATTGGGGGCAGTATTTTTAAAAAGCCATTTTTTTCCAATGCTTTTGGAAAAAAAACAGTGTTTGAAACTGACAGTCACTCAATCCAGTCAGTAAGCAGCTTTTAGCAGTTTTGTTCGTTTTTCCTGTAGAGTAAAAATTAGAGCCACATGTAGAATAAGCCTTTTCGGAGTTCCAACTGCGCGCATTCGTAACCTGTGACAACGCACATTGTTTGTCTCAAATGCCCTTTGACAGTACCCACTATGCACAAACAGCCTTTTGGTAAAGTCAGTGGCGCGATGATGTCAAAGGCCATTTGAGACAAACAATGCGCGTTGTCACAGGTTACGAATGCGCAGTTGGAACTCCGAAAAAGCTTATGAATACAAATTATTAAATATTATTAGTTATGATAAATCAAACTTTTCATTCAAAGAGTCTCCTGTCTTCTCATAGACCCTAGGTGATAAACTATCTGTCTCTTTCAGTATTACTGTCTCGTATAATGTCGCACTTTGTCTTGACACCGCAGCCACTCCCAATCTCAACCCAAACTGTATCACCCATCGTGGCTTCACCGCACTTTTTTCAGAAATTCTAGCAATATGACCAGCTGGGGTCGTTGTGGCCAAGTCTCCCCACCCAAATCTCAAATCAGATGTTTGTTGTCTCAACCAACACGGATTTATGTGACAGCGTTGTAACCGGATGCCATCTTTACCGACTTGTAGTTTACTTCTTTCTGGGTCAGGCTCTGAACTTGGCACTTTGCCATTTGGAAGGTTGCGATTGAACAAGATGATCTAAAAATGATCTAAAGGATAATGTTTTCATAAGATATGCTCTGTATCAACTACTTTTGTAAAAAAAAACAATTATCAAATTTCTGCCCTAGGAAAACTTGTCCCCTAAAATTTAAAAAGAAAAGCCACGAAATATTTCGATATAAATCAAATCAGTGGTACTTTTTTGCATCTACTTATCCGTGGATTTATTGTTGTGTGTAGCCTTCATGGTTTAAATACATTTTTTTAAGCATGCTTTAAGTTTTTCTTTCTTTATATTTTTAGAAACTTTTTCATTAATAATCACACTCAATGATGGGGAAAAAACTACACTTATTGGAAGTAATTGTATTGTTTTCTTTTGGACTCCTTGCATAAACAGTTAATATCACTGGTATGTTGATCTGATACACCGTGCCCTCGGGAGACATGCACACAATAGGGAACAAAAGATTGTATACATCTCCACAGGGCAATTTCTATAGATGAATACGTCTCCACAGGTTTTCACAAAATATATATATGGATTTTACTGAAAAACTAGGAATTTCCAAGGTATGTTGATCTGTCGCAAATGGTAGAGTTTTGGAAAAGTGATATTAGGTCCGATTTACAGCCAAAGAAATTAATTCTGGTTAGAATAAGAGCATTTTGAAACTGTACTTTCAAACTCGAAAACTTAAGTACACAAGAGCAAAGAAATGTCTCCACAAGGATACAAATTTCAGTATGCGTGGAGACATGCTGTGTGCACTCACGCAATCTTGGTCCGAAATTGCAGGGACCGCACGCCTGTTGAGTAATAGTTATTGGGGACCGAAGACGCTATTGGGACAGCAGAAAGTCCCCATAACTCGTCCTAATTTCCCTAGTAGAAACTTCCCCATAACACGGTGTTGGCTAGGGCACTGGCTCGTGCATGTATGGCACAGAGTTAGCGTGATTAACTTTCATCCTGATGTGCACAAATTTGTGTTGTGTAAACATTAGCTCCAAGCGCACTGCTGCAAAGTGTTCAAGTGTTGGGCCTATTTTTACATCTGTTAAAGGGATACTTGCAATTGGAGTCAATTTAGAGAATTGTCTTAAACTGAAGAGTGTCAATGGTCACCTCAATGAATTATGTGAACAATACAACATCACGACTCACTGTGCTGTGTTTATCTTTCATGCAGTGTTCAGTGACTTGTGGCACTGGTACCCAGCAGCGGTCGGTAACCTGTGAAGATGAAGCAGGAGCTGTTAAGGAAGATGAGGAGTGTGGGATGGAAGGGGCGGAGAAACCCGCCAGTGAGAGGGAGTGTCTTGAGCAGGAATGCCCTAGTGCTCCTGCGTGGAAGGTTGGCGACTGGAGCGAGTGTTCGGTGTCTTGTGGCACCGGTACCCAGCTGCGGTCGGTAACCTGCCAAGATGAAGCGGGAATCCTGCAACAAGGTGAGGAGTGCCATTTGGAAGGGGCGGAGAAACCAGCTACTGAGAGGGTGTGCCGGGAACAAGAGTGCCCCAGTGGCCTGGCTTGGAAGGTTGGGGCATGGAGCGAGTGTTCAGTGACTTGCGGTGTTGGATCCAGGCAGCGAACAGTTACCTGTGAAGATGAAACCGGAATCCCGACACAAGAGGAAGAATGTGAGATGGAAGAGTCAGACAAGCCAGAAACAGGGATGGAATGCAGGCAGGCTGACTGCTCAAGGCCTACCTGGAGAGCTGGCGACTGGAAGGAGTGCTCGGTCACATGTGGCACTGGGTCCCAGGACCGCACTGTAACCTGCGAAGATGAGACGGGAGATGAGGTACCAGCCGACAACTGCGAAGTTGGGGAATCCACGAAGCCGGACATACAGAGAGAGTGCCATCTAATGGAATGCCCAAGACTGAAATGGAATGTTGAGGATTGGAACCATTGTTCTGTAACATGCGGGGTGGGTTTTAGAGAAAGGAGAGTCGTTTGTGTGGACGAGGTTGGAAATGAGATTGAGGATAAGGAGTGTGAGACAAATGAAACCATCAAGCCAGCCTCAAGGAGAGACTGCCGACAGGTGGAGTGTCCACCCTCAAGGCCAGGGTGGTCGGTGGGAGACTGGAGCAAATGCTCAGTGACATGCGGGAGCGGTACCCGCGAACGCACGGTAACCTGCCAAGACCACACAGGAACCAGCAAACAGGAGGGGTGCGAGGTTGACGGCATGCCCAGGCCGGCGACGCATACAGGCTGCCAACAGGCGGACTGCCCCAGGCTCAGACCTAGATGGACGGTCGGCGATTGGAGCGAGTGCTCGGTGACGTGCGGGAAGGGTTCCCGGAGGCGGACGCTTAGATGCGAGGACCAGTCTGGGCAGCAGAGGGAAGAAGAAGAGTGTGAGGAGAATGGATCAGCGAGGCCTGCTTCAGTCAAGGAGTGTAGGCTGAGGACATGCCCAAGACCAACGTGGATAGTCACTAAATGGAGTGACGTAAGTACAGAGACAAACCTAATATTGTCATCACACAGGACATTAGTTAGTGGGCACGTGTGGTCTAGCGGTGGAGCACAGGATTCATGATCGAGAGGTTGTGGGTTGAAGCCCCATCATGGCCATGCGTGTTGTGCCCTTGAGAAAGGCGCTTTACCTCAATTACTCCTCTCAACCCAGGTGTTAAATGGGTACCGGCATTATTCAATGCTGGGAAGGTAACAGACTCGCTGTGGAGGAGGTGTGGCGATCCCCCCACAGCAGCATATGAGTCTGGCCCAATCGCTAATGAATGAGAGATGGGCACTCCGTTCCTGTGAACACAGGTTCGTCCCCCTTTACCTTTACCTTTTAATATTGTCATCACACAGGACTTTAGTTATCTGTAAATCAGCTGTCTTAATTTGCCTGAAACTGAAAGGGGGTTTTCAAGTGTGCTGGAACTTTATTAGCTATTAGAGACATTCACAAACCTCAAATGTGCGTCTAAGATATCTAAGTGTCGAAACAATTCCCACTTGGCTTTCTGGCAAATACCTTGCCGCTGATAAAGTAATTCAGATAAAGACTTGATTCTAAAGTGCCTAAGACCATAGCACCGGGCAGATGAAAATGAAATGGTCCGTTTTGGCTGCAGAAGAAATTCAAATACATCTTGCAAGTAAAGTTTTTAATTCAGAATTCATTTGAACACCTTACAATGTAGTCCTGTACAACACTGTTCAGTACAAAGACCGTCCCCTCAAATAAAGGAAAAATACAAAGAGTTTTGTCAAAAAAAAATTTCTAAACCATATGAACCTTCCTCGGTTGACATAAATTTTGAATAGATATAGTTGGAAATAACCTCTGTTTACTTTATTACAAGCGTATGTAGCAAATTGTCGGGAAATTAAATTATACAGATCCTGTACTTCATGAAATATCAAACAGGGTTCGGTAAAAGCTCAAGACCGCTTCAACCTTCCTGATTAAATTTCCAAGGACGATAATATTTCCCCAACTTTTTGTTTCAATCAGTGTTCGGTGACATGCGATAAAGGGGTGCGTGTCCGGGAAGCAGCCTGCCAGCTTGAAGACGAGGTGGTGGAGGAATCGCTGTGTCTTCGCAAGAAACCCAAGACCTCGAAGAAATGCCGGCGAGACAAGTGCATGAAGTACCGCTGGAAGAAAGGCAGATGGAGTCAGGTAGATTAAATGTCAAAAATTTCTTGCTTGAAGCATATTTTCCTGAAAAATATAGTAAGTCTAGGTTTGCCCAGACAAGCTGGATCCGAAAGTCAAAGGTTGAGACATTATTGATACCCAATGACAGTCAATCAGTTGGTAGGTCGCTCAGTCACTCAGAGCAGATTATCACTTTGAATCCACCCAGTTTAACCCAATAATATAAATTAGGGTTCACTCTTTCTGCTTACTCTTTTAATTTTTTTGGTAGAAATTTTTAAACTTGTATAGTTTAAAACTTATATTCGGAAAAACCTAAGACAGTTTACCCATTCCTATTGGTTGAGAGCCCGTCACGTGGCCGGTCTTAAACGGATGATAAAGACATGGCTGGCTGGTCTTAAACACTTTTCCAGTGTCACATGAAATTTGGACTCCTGTGAACTCTAGTGCCTTTTACCGTTTTATTGGTTGAATGTTCACAATCCTCACGTAGGCATGCGCAATACTACCAGTGAGTCAGTATTTCATAGTCCTAAATTCACAACGCGTGCCACAGCTGCATTCTGAGCGACATCGCGCAGTACATGCGACGCGTGCACCATTCTTCATAAAAGGAGTTGTTCACGACTTACTCGCGAGCTGGACACTCCATTATATAGCTAAAGGGGTGTTTCGAAAAACATGAAGTGAAATTGTTGAACAAAATCATTGGAAATATTTAATTTTTGACTTGTTTCGACTTTTGGATCGGGTAATTATCAGCACCCAGACACCAACCGGTCTTTAACAGAGTGTTTTAAAGCTCGGAAGCACCCGTTTATTCCCTTAGTATAAAACTTGTGAATGTGTTTCTTATTTTGCAGTGTTCCAAGTCTTGTGGCGGTGGCCACAAGCTTCGAAAGGTCCACTGCACCGACTCCAAAGACAACGAAGTGGACAACAGTCTCTGCTCATCACAAAGCATGCCCAGGGACAATAACAAGTGCAATACTCACGATTGTGACGCTCCCCGCTTGATGTGGCTAGCTGGGCCATGGGGAGAGGTCAGTACAAAGAAACTTTGGGGTTGAAATCACAAAGGATTCCTCAAAAGTTATAGTATTTTTTTCAGGTGACTTTCACTTTGCAAAGTATTCTATTGAAAAAATCATTTTAACAGTAGTAAATGGGTGGATGAAATATAGAAAAATACATGTACGGACAAGGCAAATCGGGAAATTTAATTAAACTATAAAAGTTTGTTATACAAGTTCCTTAATGTCATACAGGGTTGTAAAAAAAAGAAGAACGGCATACTTCCACATCCTTGAGACTCAAACCACCTGTGTCAATGGATGGAGAATCCTTTTAGACGAATTATGATACCAAAATATCCCGATTCGGTCCAGTAGTTTTTGCTGTAGAGCCTATTTTGTGAAGCACACTTCTTTCATGTGGGTATTATTAGATAACAAGCCCTCTATCAATTACAATGTAAGTCAAATTCCCGGGCGCGGTTTAGTAATTCATCAGGACAAAAATGACCCCCACCTTGCTTCACAAAATAGGCTCTTGAACAAAAACTACTGGACCGAATCGGGCGATCTTGGTTTCATTTTTCTTCTAAAAAGATTCTCTATGTAGTGGTATATGTAGTTGGAGTCTCAGGGTAGTGGACGTATGAAAGACATCAGAGAGAGTACCCTATGCCCAGTATGTTCTGAGAGCTATGAGAAACTACATACTTGAGTTGGACTTGAACTTATGATCGGCATATGCTTGCCAGTGTGGAATCTTCCCATTAGAACACACTTGCTTTGTATTGGAATGTCTTCATTGGAATAGTCTTCATTTTCACCCGGATGCAAAAAAAATGCATGAACAAAGGAGATGATACTGAACAGCATTGTAGTCGAGTCTGTCCGAAGTCCAGACACAAGCAAATCACAAGTCAAATCACAAGTAAATCACAAGTGCAGTCACAAGTATATCACAAGTCCAGTCACAAGTATATCACCAGTCCAGTCACAAGTAAATCACAAGTCCAGGCACAAGTACATCACAAGTCCAGTCACAAGTAAATCACAAGTCCGGTCACAAGTAAATCACAAGTTCTGTCACAAGTAAATCACAAGTCCAGTCACAAGTACATCACAAGTCCAGTCACAAGTAAATCACAAGTTCAGTCACAAGTTCAGTCACAAGTCAATCACAAGTCCAGTCACAAGTAAATCGCAAGTCCAGTTACAAGTAAATCACAAGTCCAGTCACAAGTAAATCACAAGTCCAGGCACAAGTATATCACAAGTCCAGTCACAAGTAAATCACAAGTCCAGTCACAGGTAAATCACAAGTCCAGTCACAAGTAAATCACAAGGCCAGTCACAAGTAAATCGCAAGTCCAGTCACAAGTCCAATCACAAGTAAATCACAAGTCCAGTCACAAATAAATCACAAGTCCAGTCACAAGTAAATCACAAGTCCGGTCACAAGTAAATCACAAGTCCAGTCGCAAGTAAATCACAAGTCAAATCACAAGTAAATCGCAAGTCCAATCACTAGTATATCACAAGTCCAGTCACAAGTAAATCACAAGTCCATCACAAGTAAATCACAAGTCCAGTCATAAGTAAATCACAAGTCCAGTCACAAGTAAATCACAAGTCCAGTCACAAGCAAATCACAAGTCCAGTCACAAGTAAATCACAACTCCATGCAGTTACAAGTAAATCACAAGTCCAATCACAAGTAAATCACAAGTCCAGTCACAAGCAAATCACAAGTCCAGTCTCATGTAAATCACAAGTCCTATCACAAGTAAATCACAAGTCCAGTCACAAGTCAATCACAAGTCCAGTCACAAGTTCAGTCACAAGTCCAGTAACAAGTAAATAACAAGTCCAGTCACAAGTAAATCACAAGTCCAGTCACAAGTAAATCATAAGTCCAGTCACAAGTAAATCACAAGTCCAGTCCCAAGTAAATCACAAGTCTAGTCCCAAGTAAATCACAAGTCCAGTCACAAGTCCAATCACAAGTGAATCAAAATTCCAATCACAAGTAAATCACAAGTCCAGTCCCAAGTAAATCACAAGTCTAGTCCCAAGTAAATCACAAGTCCAGTCACAAGTCCAGTCACAAGTAAATCACAAGTCCAATCACAAGTAAATCACAAGTCCAGTCACAAGTCCATCACAAGTCCAATCACAAGTATATCACAAGTGATACGGGAAACTTGAAATAATAAGTTGAATGCGACCACGAATGCCTTCATTTTCAGCAGTGGAATGCCTTTGTTTTTTATTACCAGTGCTCAAAAACCTGCGGGCCAGGTCAGGAAACACGTAGCGTCACATGTCGAGCCTTCAGCCCAGACGGTTGGGCCATGCCGACGGATGATAAAACATGTCGTCAGGACAGTAAGCCTAAGGATACCAGACCATGCTTCATTGGTCTCTGCTCATCAGATTCACATTGGAGGATGGGGCCCTGGAGCATGGTAAGAGCGCCCTCTTGTGACCAAAAACTACCCTCAATTATTTGTGTAGTATGATCAGCTGGCCTTAAAGAGGTTGTGGAATGCTCGAAGACATTTTCGTCATTTTTCGGGTATATGTAGCCTAAGGAGTGATGAAATAAAAACGACTATTGTTTCTGTCATGAAATGAGTACAAAGGGTACTTTTGAGAGCTATTTTTCAGGTCCTGTTTCGACCCAAACGTGCAATTTGTGTAAAAGTCGTCGTTGCGGGCAGCAAACAAAACACAGTAAATCGTGACGTAATAAACAGGACTCGTTTATGCTACTCTGCATCGGGAGTCCTGTTTATTACGTCACGATTTACTGTGTTTTGTTTGCTGCCCGCAACGACGACTTTTACACAAATTGCACGTTCGGGTCGAAACAGGCATGACAGGACTTGAAAAACAACTCTCAAATGTACCTTTTGTACTCAATTTATGACAGAAACAATAGTCGTTTTTATTTTATCACGCCTTAGGCTACATATACCTGAAAAATTACGGAAATGTCTTTGAGCATTCCACAACCTCTTTAACAGTGCTAGATGTTGACATTAAATGGTATTTCACTAATGATGTGAATTTCTCCTGCAGTGTTCCAAGGAGTGTGGCGGTGGGATCAAGGAACGCAAGGTGCAGTGTCGGGATCGACAGGGCAAACGCCAGCCAGCCAGTAGCTGCGGACCGCCCACTATCCGACCAGAGACTAGAGACGTGTGCAATCATGAACCATGTAAGTCACAAACTAAAACAAGCTTGGGCCCTGTGTACATCAGATGTTTCGTGGCTCCGGCTTTTTGTTTATGTCATTAAAGGGAAAATACAACATTTGCAAACATCAAAAAATAAAACTACCAAATCATTTTGAAAACCTTGCTGGACTGTTTGTGAATGACAGTGTAAAGCATCCTGTAAAATCATGGCACCTGGTATACTGTCATTTTCAAGAAAAGTGGTATTTTTGTATCAATTTCCAACGCTGGTCGGCCGATCAGCGTTGGATAAAACTGGCTTTTTTTTTCAAATACTGGCCCCAGTTGACCATCGCACTTGTTTGCAATCGATTACACACCTATGAACGGGTACAAGCCAGCTAGACTGGTTCCCTGACCTTACAATTCCCCAATGTATGTAAACTGCTCTGTTTTTTGTTTATATTGAGTCAGGGAACCAGACTACAGGAAAATGATTGTTTTTCTTGGTTTTTATAGCATTTTTGAACCCAAAACCTCAAAAAAGTAAGTGTAACTATATTTGCTATATATTTCCAACCCCCCTAATTCCATCCATTTCTGAAAATTACAGCAAAAGCAAATGATGTATATTCCCTTAAAACAACTGAGGATAGCCATAGTCATCGATAATAAGGCCAATATCAGATATTGTCTAATGTATTCACTCTCTGCATGAACGCAAGAGGGCAGTGTTTATCCTAGCAACAAGGAGCAAGTTCGGGTGAGGAACATTAGTCGAGCAGTGGTTGAGTTTTGACGTAGCTTAAGCCTGCGCACTAATAGCAACATGTGAGAGTCAAGCAAAGTGAGAGCCGTTTGATGGGGAAATGCTAATGCATATATGCATGCAATAAAGTCTTGTGTTCGAAAAGTTGTGTCAAAGAACATAAGGCCAAAAAAAAAAAGTCTCCGGTTTCTGGTATGGAGTTTGCCCAAAAAGTGGTGCGACGACCCGGCTTTTTTTTTTTTTTACCTGTATTTTTTTTTGCTTCAAATGTCGGCTGATGACTGCAAATGGTGCCCGACTAAACTTAGTGCAAATATTATGGGAGACCAGAGAGGCCACATAAAGCTTATTCTCGATCATAACCCCATCTAAAAACACGTTAAAATTGTGCAGCAGCAGGATTCCAGTCAAACCAGTGAGTTTGGCGGTTTTGAGACATCATCTTTCATTGAAAAAACACGTTTTCATTTTGCCGACGCGCTTGGCTACGGCGACGCGCGCGCATACCAGAAACCGGAGATTTTTTTTTTGGCCTAAACAACAAACATGTTGATCAATCCATGTGTTAACGGTTCTCCATTTACTAATCTCCATTTAGTAATCTCCAGATATCAATCAATTTTTTTATTTTTGTTTGTTACAGAACTGCACATAAAATGTGCAGATATCTAAAGGGTAAAAAAAAAACCAAGGAAACCTTTTGCTGTTTTACTAATTGATGTGTTTTTTTGTTCGTAGGTCAGCCGGAGAGTTGCCGCGACATCCAGCTGCAGCGCAACCTTCACGAGGATGCGGACTATTCCATTCTGGTGCAGGGGAAACCGCTGACCGTCTACTGCCACGGCATGACAACGGATGCACCTACAGAATATATCAGCTTATCGGCCGGGGAGGGGGAAAATTTTGCTGAGATTTATCCCAAAAGGTTAGAACCTCAAATGAAGTCATATCTTACATCTGAAACATTTTAAGACAGGAGGCGTATTCAAAAAGTTTAGATCTTTATAGTGTATATGAAGATGGATTGCATCTTAACTCTAACCCTGGCGAGTATTGATTTGATATTTAAAAGAGTTTGATAATTATTCGTGTTCAAATAAAGGCATGTCGAAAACAAATTCGACCGATTTCAAGGAAAATCGATGATGCGGTACATCAGATGCAAACTTGAGTCAACAAGCTGTTGAAATAACAAACAAAAAAACAGTTGATTTGTATTAAAAACACATTGGACTTGAAACAAACAACAATATTGTGAATTTATTTAAGGTGTAGTCTACGTGGATCGTAAAGAAAAGGAAAAACAGAAACAAAAAGGCAACAAGATCGTCACATCGTGAACATGATGAAGCATTTCCACATTAGGAAAAATGCGCATGATTGATTTTCCTTGAAATCAGTTGAGTTTGTTTTGGCATGCCTGTATTTGAACTCCAATAATTTCAATACCCTTTTGAAAATCAAGCCAATACTTACCAGGGGTAAAGTTAAGGTTCTAAGCTTTAAAATTAAATAAAAATAATGGCGGTACGTGTTTCCGCGGCGACGCTAGAGCCTCGCAAAAAAAAATGTTGCGGGTATTTTGGGATGCGATTCTAGACATTACACATTTGGTGAATTTTGAGGATCAATACCATGCCTTCTCATTCCAATAATTACCCCATCTGAATGTTCATCATGTGGACTTGATTCTGACCATCTTGCCTCCCGTAGATTAATGCGAGCCACCCATTGTCCCTACCACGGCAATCGCAATGACGACTGTGAATGCACGGATGACGGACATAGGGAAGCCGGCCTGACTACGTTCACCAAGCTACGACTCAACATCACCAACATGGAAATCATAAGTAAGCTAAGACCCTAATAATGCTGTCCTCAAACTGAAGGATTATTTTTATTGAGAGCTCTCACTGACCCTCGTGACCTGACCTACATCTGGGTACTGGAAAGTCAGGCAAGGATCGTATAGCGCCGCCCGCAGTAGGTAGTTGGCAAACCTTCAAAGCTGTGATGGACAAGGGCGTATCTGGCAGGGGGGGGGGCATGGCCCCACCCCAAAAAACAGACCCTTTCTTTTAAGTAACGTCGTAATAAAGCCAGGCGCTGCATACACCACCATCTTTTCCTCAAAAAGATTTGGTTAAAGTGGTCAGAAATTGCCTCAGATCGCACCACAGAGAATCTAGAATCCAAAAAAATTTGGACCCACTTTTTGGGTCCAACATTTGTTTGCCCACCCCCCCCCCCCCCTCCCCCCCAAAAAATGTGTTCTGGATCCGCCCTTGGCGATGGATGGCAAAAACTGTGAGAAAAATTGGGAGCCAACCAGCAGTACTGGGTCCTTATGATTATGACAATCGTACACAGCACAGGTAGTGACCATTATGCCATTTGATAAAAAGAATTCACAGTTATTCTACACGAAAATAAGCCCTACTGTCTAGTTTACAATACATGAAGTGGTTGCTAACCAAACGCTTGCCTACTGCAATGGTGGATCTACACGAAAATAAGCCCTACTGTCTAGTTTACAATACATAAAATAGTTGCTAACCAAATGCTTGCCTACTGCAATGGTGGATCTACACGAAAATAAGCCCTACTGTCTAGTTTACAATACATAAAATAGTTGCTAACCAAATGCTTGCCTACTGCAATGGTGGATCTACACGAAAATAAGCCCTACTGTCTAGTTTACAATACATAAAATAGTTGCTAACCAAATGCTTGCCTACTGCAATGGTGGATCTACATGAAAATAAGCCCTATTGTCTAGTTTACAATACATGAAGTGGTTGCTAACCAAATGCTTGCCTACTGCAATGGTGGATCTACACGAAAATAAGCCCTACTGTCTAGTTTACAATACATAAAATAGTTGCTAACCAAATGCTTGCCTACTGCAATGGTGGATCTACACGAAAATAAGCCCTACTGTCTAGTTTACAATACATAAAATACTTGCTAACCAAATGCTTGCCTACTGCAATGGTGGTGAATCAGGAGTAAACCAGACGGTCACGTCGTACTTTGACGTCATACAATTGGAACCTCTTGGTATTTTTATTAGTTACCCCCAAGAATCTTGCTCTGTGCCTTACAAGTGCCCTCTTTTCCATCTCAATTTTAAAATTTGAAGAATTGAGAATGGAAATTTCAGTCAGTTTTGGAGGTTGGAGGAAAACTGCAGGGAGCAATAGTCTGGGTTAAAAACCCAATCAATTATAGGTCTCTCTCAAATGACATCATTTCCTACAGACCAGACACGTGCATCGGCATTTTGAGCGTCAACTTGCATAAAGTGCATCGGCTGCATCGTATTTCGAACACACTTCGAGCAACAAGCATGTGTGTTTGGAACATTTTCAACAAGTGCAATGCGTGCTTGATTGTGTAAAATACGCAGTTGCAGTTATCCTACAGAGACGGCCGTCCTTGAGAGAGACCTATTTTTGGTCACCTTGGCAAGAAATTGGACTGGAGCATTTAGGCGTGGAAGGTAATAGGAAAAAAAACCGTACAACAACTCATCATGTATAAATCAAATGAAACAATTGTTCAATCTGAATAAGTAATTTCTTTAGAAATTCACATTTTTTTCCATTTTGTACTGTGACTCTTTAACCAGCTTAAAATGTTGTCACCAGTTAGCAGTAGGTCTTGTTCAAGTTCTATTAGAACCAAGCTGGATTTTTTTTTTTTTAACATAAAGACTCTAAGATTAAATGCCTAGTGTTCATAGTATATGTATTGACAACAGGAATGACAAAAATGGACCCTTTCCTTTGATGCAGTCTCTGTTTATTATATAATCTTTTGGAAGTTATTGATTCCCTTGGCTAATAGATTTTTGCCGTGATAAACATACTCATCAATATTTTGATGACTTTATGCAGTATGAATTGCTGGTAATGGGTCTACTGAGCACGCTTTTCCCACATTCAATATCTGTCCAATCGTTCGTGCGTAGCACATGCATAGACCGTGAGAATAATTCTGCCTTTTGCCTAATGGGTCTGATGGATCGCAACCATCTGGAAACAACATCGACACAAGACGACAGACCCCCAGGAGCCAGTGGGCCTGGTTCTAGTCGGAAGTAGAAGGGGAAAAACAAGTTTGTTTCCCAGGAAATGCCCTATCTGTCACCCCTAGGCGATGTATCTGGCCAGGGAGGCATGGGGGATGGGCTAAGGCAATGGATCAAGTGGGAGATTAATGGATGGACAGTGTCAGAGCAGGGAAATTCTAGTAAGATGTGAGAGCAGTCTAACTTATCTTGTTAGAATGGAAACTGTTGTACTGTTTCTGGGTTTGCAGTGTGTTGTGAATTAAAGAAAAAAACTGTTGGTCTTTGTTGGTCTCCGGTTTGCGGTCAGCGTGCGCATTGTGATCACCGTAGCCATGCGCATCGGCAAAATTAAAAGGTTTTTTTTCCAATTTAAGATGATGTCTCAAATCCACCAAACTCTTCACTGGAATCCTGCTGCTGCACAATTGTAACGTGTTTTTAGCTGGGGTTACGATCAAGTTCAAGGGTTATGTGGCCTCTCTGGGATCCCGTATAATTTGCACTAAATTTAGTCGGGCACCATTTGCAGACGGTGTTGTAATTTTGTAATTGTGCGTCTGGAAGCCAGACTGAGGGAGCGATGGTCGTTTATCTGGAACCTGTAAACGCTTTTTAATTAGTGCAATATGTAAGGGAGCAGACTAATGACCAGCCTGGCAGTACATGCACGATGTCACCAATGTCGCTGTATGGCGGTCTGACGTTACCGTTTTCTCTGATTTTTGTCTTGACTATCCAAATTTACCGAAGAATGTTTGTGTCGGTCGAGATCGTAAGTGGGTGTAGAATTCTCAAGCCTTATGGCCTTACTGAGGTCACCTCAAGCTCCACTTTGAAGGATATTTTTGAGAGTTTTTAAGGGGATCGAAACATCATCTGCAACATCAGGCGACATTTGAAGAGAAAAAAAAAGTAGGAGGAAAAAAAAAGAAGAAAACCCGACGCACCACTTTGGGGGCAAGATCCATACCAGAAACCGGAGGGTTTTTTGTTTGCCTGAAAAGAAGTGTTTTTGATTTGTATGTGGAAAAAAGCGGGTTCGTATATGCTTGGTACCTGCCAAGAAGCGTTTCATAGAGCAGAAACTCTTTTGGCTGGGATTCGAACCAACGATCATCACCTGCTTGCTACTGAAGTATTGACCACTCATCTGTCATGCTTGCCAGAATCCACTGGCTGGTTTGAATCTGATGTCGAAATTGCTAGGCTTTTAGTGAAATACCAATGAGTAATCGTATAATATCCATTCCCATTTGTATCGTTCCAGTATCAGACCCCACCTTCGCAGTAGTGCATCGCGGCAAGTTTGTCCCCTACGCTACCGCCGGTGACTGCTACAGCTCGGCCGACTGCCCGCAGGGTCAGTTCCACATCAACCTGACTGGTACCCGGCTGGCGTTGGCGCCCGAGGTAGACTGGGGCACCGAGGGCTATGCGGTCTCTAGAAGACTATCGAGGGACGAGGTCAGTACGAGGCTGCCATCATTTGCGAGACTTCGGTTGTGTCTTCAACTTTGACTCAATCTCTGGTGTAAAAAAGTTTGGCCTCATAGGATTTTATGTTCCTGAAGTAAAACACGGACCCATAAAGTCTTGGGTCTAAAATCTGCTGTAGCCAGACTTGGGACGAAGCCGAGATTTCTCTTACCCCATTGTAATTACCCTGTAATGGGTTGTGTGCACATGAACTGTACGAGATGCTTAGTAGCTTAGGCCAAAAAAAAAAAGTCTCCGGTTTCTGGTATGGAGCTTGCCCCAAAAGTGGTGCGGCGACGCGTTTTTTTGTTTGTTTTGTTTTGGTTTCAAATGTCGGCTGATGACTGCAAATGGTGCCCGACTAAACTTAGTGCAAATATATGGGAGTCCAGAGAGGCCACATAAAGCTTATTCTCGATCATAACCCCATCTCAAAACACATTAAAATTGTGCAGCAGCAGGATTCCAGTCAAACCAGTGAGTTTGGCGGTTTTGAGACATCATCTTGTATTGAAAAAAAAACTTTTTCATTTTGCCGACGCGCATGGCTACGGCGACGCGCACGCATACCAGAAACCGGAGACTTTTTTTTTGGCCTTAACCACAAGAGCAAGTAGAGCTTTGTTTGAACATGCAAAATTGAGTCCGTGCAAACAATTGTTTGGTTTAGTGGTCATTTGTTGTCACGATTTTTGGCCACCAAGGCTCTGTGTAATTGAACAAAGAAATATAAAAAATTTGAGCCAAAAAAAAGAGGCCTTTGTTACAGCCGAATGTTCAGTGTAGCATTTTTTGTTATAGGAGCGTTCTACTTTGCAATATTTAACAGTTATTGTTCAAACAGGTGATTACCATGAACAAGGCTGATCAGTTCAATAATTAGTCAGTCTCTCCATGTTGACATACATTTGAGATTTCAGTGCAAACTTGATTGCCCCTAAGGCCAAAAAAAAAAAGTCTCCGATTTCTGGTATGCGCGCGCATCGCCGTAGCCATGCGCGTCGGCAAAATGAAACAGTTTTTTTTTTCAATGAAAGATGATGTCTCAAAACCGCCAAACTCACTGGTTTGACTGGAATCCTGCTGCTGCACAATTCTAACGCGTTTTTAGATGGGGTTATGATTGAGAAAAAGCTTTATGTGGCCTCTCTGGACTCCCATATATTTGCACTAAGTTTAGTCGGGCACCATTTGCAGTCATCCGCCGACATTTGAAGCAAAAAAATCAGGTAAAAAAAAAAAAAAAAGACGCGTCATCGCACCACTTTTTGGGCAAGCTCCATACCAGAAACCGAAGCCTTTTTTGTGGCCTAAGTGTACCACTCTTGATAAAATAACTCCTCATATGTTTAGTTGGTTGCATCTATTGCTGCTCATTGCGACCACCCTTATTTTGCACAATGTATGTTCATTTTAATAGGTCCCCAGAACATTGTTAAACAAAGATATTTATGGATGCATTTCAGCTTGGGGGTTGGTTCCAAACAGTTGAAGTAAGTTGAACTACAAACGTAGGTCAACTTAAGTTCATACTCTAAATTTCTCCATGGTGATCGCTGTTGTTGCCCCACTTTTCTTGATAATGTACCCCTAGATAAATTGTGTGTTTGTTGGTTTATTTGGCAGCTGAACCAGCGAGTGGCAGGTCGGTGCGGAGGTTTCTGTGGTACATGTTTCCCAGACAAGAAGAGAGGTGGATTACGTGTAACATTTGTATCATGACACTCAGGTAAAAACACTGATTTTCCCTAAAAATTGTGTTTTCCTTTTTTCGTCGTCGTTTCTGGCTCTGGTTTCATCCCTGGCTTCAGAATTATTTCGAAGCCTTGAGTCTTCAAACTAAATAGAAATACTCTCAACTTTGTCCTGACTCGACAGTGACCAATACTGAGCCAGAGTCCCCCCCCCCCCCCAAGTCAGAAGCCTAAAAATGATCGGAGATGAAGGCTAAGCTGGGGAAACCCCTAAAAAATGCACAGTTGTATACTATAATGTTCTATTGAAATGTGATACTGATAGTGACTGTATCCGGTTTGCAAGTGTCACGTCATTTCAACTGAAACCATGCTCACCGCACACAGAGTAGCACTGGAGCCGTTGGAATCCAGAAGTCAAACAAAGTGGCGTGTTTAGCCAACAGTGCAAGTGATCAGTGGTGCGTGCGTGTGTATGACAGTGACTAATTAACCGGATAGTTCATTATTTATATAAAACAATGGGGCATGGTTTAAATTAACACCTACTAAGGAATACATTTTACCAATTAAACAGGAATCAAAACATTAAGCTATGATGACATACAGATATCAAATATTGAAAGGTTTGCGGAAACACCATGTGCGAATAATTTCTCAACTAAGAGAATGGTTCTGAAAAGAACCAGAGGTATAAACTCGACGTTCCGGTCAGTATGCTCTGACCGTCTTCAGGAGAGTGCCTAAACTCTAAGAAAGTAAACACTTAAGTAGCAAAAGGCGAAGTCAATGAAGTGTGAAGTTGCATCCTGTGAGGATGCCAAGTAGACTGGATCCTAGAGCAAGCTTGGTGCCCACTTCACACTTCATAGATTTTGCCTTTTGCTACTTAAGTTTTCACTTTCTTAGAGTTTAGGTACTCTCCTGAAGACGGTCAGAGCATACTGACCGGAACGTCCAGTTTATACCTCTGGTTCTTTTCAGAACCATTCTCTTAGTTGAGAAATTATTCGCACATGGTGTTTCCGCAAACCTTTCATTATTTAGTATCTTCACCATGCAAAGCCTCAAATCTTACTTATATAGATATCAGTTTGCCATTTCTTTTGGCAGCATTTTGATACCATACATGTATGTCCCTTTATACTCATAGAGACAGTAGGGGCTGATGGAAAGTATACAAGAACGGAAGGCAAATGAGGCTTGTAAAAGTTCCTGTTTTCCTCTCACATACTGATATCATTTATAATAGTGACTCGTGGTTTTGTTTTAATAAAGCTGGTCATGTGCTGCAATGTGTGACTGCCTGATTCTTTTACAGTGTTCATTCACAGCAGCAGATAGAACATTGTCTCTGGAATACTTTCTAATATGTTCTTGGTTCTTGGTTGGTTCTTCTCCTAAATACTCCACGTGGGAGTTTATACAGGAGGCCAGAAACACCGGGGCAAACCCCTTCTATTAGCGATAAGTGTTTACTGGGTTCTTTTACGTGCATTTATACAACACACGGGACCTATGGCTTAACGTCCCATCCGAAGGATGAAGCAATAATGGTTAAGTGCCTTGCTTAAGGTCACAAGTGTCCGCCGGCGGGCTCGAACCCACGTCACTGTTGCCTCTGAAACACCAGAACGTGAGTCCGGTGTTCTTAACCGCTAGGCCATCACACTATGTGAGTCTTAACAGTCAGAAAATTTAGACAATTTATCCTCATTTCGTTGTCTTCTTTCTTTATCTTTTTTTTGCAGGGAATTTCACTAGGATTGGAGCAACGAGCGTGTAAATATTCAAGAGTTTATTTTTTTTTCTTCAGGATGTAATATAATTTGATAATATTATTGTTATTTTTCAAGAACAATGGTGCTGAAGTTTCCAACATTGAAGCAATTCCTGAAAGTGGGACCTTGAAAATGTGTAGAAATGTTTATAGCCTTCCTTTTTTTACTCTGTATCTCAAGTAAATATTTTTTAAAGACAGCTTTCTAAAGTCGTTACTAAAACGAGAAAATAGGTCGAACATTGAACAAAATGTTAGTTTTAAATTTATCAAAGGGGAATGATAAATGGTCTTCCCACTTGCTTGACCTTTTCTTTGCCCTCATATTTTCATGGCATTCTTGTATTTTTTACCAAGAAACTCTGTAGAATTTCATAAATAGCAACGTAGGGGTTGGCCAGTTTAACTCGACAGTCTTGTTTATTTTGCTCATTTTTGTTTTTACTCTGACAAGGGACCAAGCAATATTTTTCACATCTTGCATGCCATGGAAATTTAAACTAGGATTATTCATCGTTAAACTATTCAATTTAACTTGCATATAAAATTAGGTATTTCGTCGCACTGCACTTGCATTGGTTGCTAACGTTTGTGACGATAACGGGCTGTACAGTCTGATTAAATATGTATGTCGAGTTTGCACCGTGGCAAAAGCTCAGAAACAATTTCAGTAGGACAAAGTTGTAGCCTGATTAATTGAAAATGTAAGTAAAAAAACCAATTGGTGTCGAAAAGTAGGGATGCATTGAAACTGGTAATGTGCCTTTTCCAAACATGCATCAACTTCTCAAAGTGAAAGTTATGATTAGGCAACAAGTTGGTGGCGAATGGCCACACAGTATGTGGATCAGCTGATTAATTTCATTTAATCAGTTTACAGAATATATGTTTCTTTGGTTGGAAATACAGGAAGTATTCTTAGTAGAGATCTCTTCTCTAGAATTATGAGCGAAAATTTATTTATCTGTAATTTTTTGCATAATGTAATTTTTGTGCTACGTATTTAAAAAAAAAAGAAGTTATGTGGGAATATAACACAATGCTGCAAGACAGTACTGTCTACGATGAAAATACTTTGTATAAAGCGTGGTCATTGGGCAAAAAATGTATTCTAATTTATGCAAATATTCAGTATGCATATCATACGTTATTATTCAAATCAGCCCTCCGTGTTGATGGTTCAAAATGGCTGTTTTGCCTGTTCATTGGCTTATTCACAAGTATTCACCACTGAAATGGGATCATTGAAGATTTCATTGAAATCCCCTATTTTCCCCCTAACACTTTTCTCGGTTTTTTGGGGTGTTTTTTTTTCAAAAACAAAAAAGACAATTGAATGAAACAAAAAAGGATGTCTTGAACAACTAAGCTGTTGCAGTATGTGTCTTGCCCCCCAAAAAGCTGCCTATAGTATTCATGGTTTTGCATTGTTTTCTTAAGTTATTACCTCAAATCGTTTTGACCAATGCGTACAGGGCGAGTAAAAAAAAAACGAGGTGTGCGTTCTTTCAGCAAAACGAAAACAATTCACACACATCCCTATGTGATTTGTTTTCGTTTTGCTGAAAGAACACTGAACTTTTTTGTGATCGGTGGACAGAACCTTAAAACGGCAGTTGTGTTTAAAACTCCGTAACTTGAAAAGTACATGAGTGATTTAAATGATTCTTGTACTAAAAGAAAGCTTATGAATTGGGCTTTCATATTCTTGATTTTGAAAGTGCTACATGCAGAACTTCACTAAAACAATGGTCCCGACATTTGGGGTTTTTTTTTACTCACCCTGTATAACTGTATATTGAATATTGATGTTGATTTTCCTCTTGTATTCGTGACACTTTGTCATCACATTTTTATCATAATCCCAGTTTTTACCGTTTTTACATATTTTTATGATGGATCAAATCAAGTAAGATTTAAAATGTTTTCTAGAGGTTACACGACCAATGACCGTACTGACTGCAATTTTCCCTTTTCTATCTAACCGACCAACTGCCAAATACTGGTGCTTTCTTTATTGGTATTTTTTTTGTCTTTCTTAATAAGATTTTATTTCGTCTTTCGAAGCAAGCAGAGAACTGATACTGGAAGTCTGCAAAATATGTGTCAGCTTAAAAGTTCAGTCTACAAATGGCTGTAAAATGTTTGCAGTAAATGTCACTAATGCATGTAGTAGAGAGTTGTCGAGACTTTCAAATTTGGGATTGTGTGTATTGCAGAAACTTTGGGGTTTCAATGGTTTCTTCCCTGTATAACAAGTACAGTGCTTCCAACATTTACTTTCAATGAGTCTTGCATTTACAAAGATTCAAACTGGTGCTAGCTTGAAGTAAATGCATCGAATCAGTCCAGATTTTGACACTGCAATTTGCAGATTATGTCCATTGCTAATTCTTTGTCATTCATAGAATGCATTGCCGTGCCGTGGCACAAATTATCCACCTTTTTATGTCCACATGTAAAATAATAGTGATTTGTACATCTTTCATTTAACATTTTTTTATGGTTGTCTTGGGCCAAACAGAGTAATTTTTAGACATGCCAGTAGAAAACTTTCGTGGACAACACGCGTGATCCACACTTATATAGGTTTTCGAAACCGCGGCTTCGTTTCCAGTCCAGGAAACATTTAGAATTCAAGGATTATAAAAGTGTCATAAACCACAGATGTAGTTGAAGCCAGAATCAAAGCCGAGTTTTCAAAATTCCCCGTAGCATAATTATAGAGCACTCAATTACAACTTACTTTGAAAAGAGGAAACATTTTTTTCCTCAAGAATTGTCTCCATGTGTGCCTCTTTAAGCTAGCCAGAATGGAGAGCAATAAGTTAAACGTCTTGTGAGCCATAACCACGAGAGGCTGAAACCAGGCTAACTTCCATTAAAGTTGTAAATACCTGTTGATAATGAACATTATTTATTTATATATAAGTATAAATGTGTTTTGTTTTTTGTTTTTTGCTGCAAACTGGTTGAGGGTCGGTTGTTAAAAGCCTTAACAAAAATATCATTTTGTGTATTAAATAAGTATTGCAGCTATAAACAAAATATGTTCAACCATGCCTCATGAAATGCTAATTTCATTGCAAAAACAAAATTCACTCTTTAGTGTAATTCTCTTAAAGTCGGCCGCAGGTCGACCCACGATTTGCTTGCGCCACGACGGAACCGTTGGCATCCAGCACAAAAAATCATGCTCAGGTCACAAAACTGAGAAATCGTGTGATTGTCGCAGAAGTTGAAATGTTTCTACTCTTGCGACCGTTGATATTTTTTAGCGCTAACTAATGCCGATCATCTTAATGTCGTTGCAGTTACACTTAGGTCGCGCAAAATTGGCGACTAGTTTGTTCCCGACAGTCGTAGCTCAGGCACAGCTTGATCCTGAAAAGTCGGTCACCGACTGATCTGTGTCGTCACAAGGTCGACCTGAGGCCGGCTTAAGAATAGGTTCAAATTCAGATGTGAAATAGTGTATTCTTCGAGTTTTCACCACAAAAGCCACATTGTTGGCAAATTTTTTTCCGGTATCTCGACTATAATATCAGTAATAATTCCATTATTTTGGATAGTATTTCTTGTAACATTCGAAATAACTTGAAAAATGGCATCAGGAAGGGAATATCTAAATGAGACAAGTGATATTTATGAGTAAATTTTTTTTTACTTCAGTATGAATATTGGAACCCTTTTGTGGTGAACTTTCAGATGCATTAGAGCAGCTTATGATCAGCAGTATTTTTGTGTGTAAAGTTATTAAATAATTTCATTAAAAGATGATGAAGAAATAAATCAACACAAGGATAATGATCAATTGCGTTTGAAATATTCTTTTATTTGTCATGTACTAAATGGGGTGGTGGGTATATCATGATCATTAAAACTCATATATAAACACAATACAAATGTAGTACTGCTTTTCTTGTTATATGTACAGCCAGCACTTGCACTTAATAATTCTCCAAGATAGTTCAATTTACTTTCCACTAGCATACAAAAATTGTATTTAGATCACACTGAATTATTTTACATTTTTAAACATTCCCAGGGAACTTTAAGTTCATTTTAGTTCTTTTAGGAACCTAACTGCCTGTGGTATTTTAGCTAGAGGATGCAAACTCAATCATGCAAAATCCTCCGTTATTTCTTGAATGTGGTCCTTGGAGGGGCAACCACTGCCTCAATCCTGCAAAATCCTCCAGCAATCACTGTCAATATGTTGAGGCAGAGTCAGTGACATCCTGGAGCCGTACGGAGGATTTTAAGTATAATATAAGCTTATATGCATGGACGGTTGAGCATAAACAAAACGAGGTCAAGCCCAAGAACTTGACACAGTGTATCCTCCAAAATCAGCCATACATTTTTTGCCACATAGCCTCAATGCTTCGAAATCCTCCACTTACGCAATACATAGGTTAGATTTCAACCAGTTTTGTTCTTTCTCGCACTGATATTTTTTTGTGGTTTTTAAACTAGCCCACAAACCCGACAGCAGTTTTCACTAGTGTTTCAACCCTCATTAACTGTACATCCAATTTTTAACGCCCGTAAGAAATTACACCCAACACATCTTTAAAATAAATGAAAAGTGTTACTTATAATACTTCAATCAAATCTTTGATATTCCTCAAAAAAAATCTCAAGAAGATCCTTGATATTTACTCTTTACTTATTCTGCTGGCGAACATAAATGATATAAATTTTACTTAAATTTTCTTTATCAGTGAGGTACCATTTTTGTCTGATCTCCAGAAGCACAAATTGCCAAAATATCTTTTATTTTAAACTGTTACAAAATTCCTCCTTAAAAAAAAAAGAACACACTAAACACAAGATTGAAATCTCCCAATTTCCGATAAAAGACTTGGGTCAAAGAATAAAAAGCTGCTAAAAGAAGAAATTGCACTTCTAAGAGAATTAAGTCTGCCTACAGTTTAATCATTCATTACGATGCAATTACCAGATTTGCAACTTGGAAGAAACAAACACGAGGAAACTCATATCTTTATAAGACTTTGCAGTGTTTTTCAATTTCTAATGAGTGTGAAGTGAAAAACGAGATCCGCTGATCCGAGGAAAAGTTGCATGCCTGAATTACCTGTATAGATTCCATTTTGATGATGAAAGACTTCAGGAGGAAAAAACTAGGAAACTTAAAAATTGATAACAATCTAGTCAGACATGACTAGATTTAGTGAGAATATTTCGTTTTGGGAGCTTTTGCATTAGTCTTTTTAGACAAGTTGGGCACAATAGGAAGGCACTTTTTAACCAGTTCGCGTCGGAGGATATGAAAGCACATGCACTGGGGAATTTTATGCACAGCATGGCTGACGGGTTAAGACGTCATGATTGCATCAACTCGCCTCTGGGTGACATCTAAACCCGCTTTTGCCTTTTGTACACACACAAAGTATGTTTATGCTCCAGTGCACACCCCGGAGTATTGAAACATGTGATGCAATCAAGCTAAATGAGACATTTGTCAGACTTTTTATTAAGGGAATAAATGTGTGCTTCGGAGGTTTTTATCACTCTGTTTAAGACCACTTAGAGTCTGGGTGCTGATAATTACCCGAGCCGGAGGCGAGGGTAATTATCAGCACCCAGACTCTAAGTGGTCTTAAACAGAGTGATAAATACCGACGGAGCACATATTTATTCCCATTCATAAATACCTTTTCGGCAAGAAAAATCATATAATTCGTTCAAAACATCCCGATTTTGTTCAACAAATTCACTTTATGCTTTTTGAAACATCAATGGAGTGTTCAGCTGGCGAGTAAGATGTAAACAACCCTTTTATGGACATTGACACGCGCGTATCATGTTCTGCGCGATGTCGCGCAGAACGCACCTGGCGCGTTGCGTTTTGAATTTAGAACTTTAAAATTCTGACTCCCTGGTAGTGTTGCGCATGCCTACGTGAGGATTGTGAACATTCAACCAATGAAACGATAAGAGGCACTGGATTTTTAGGAGTCCACATTTTATTGTGACACTGGAAAAGTATTTAAGACCAGCCAGCCATGTCTTTATCATCCGTTTAAGACCGGCCACGTGACGGGCTCTCGACCAATAGGAATGCGTAAACTGTCTTAGGTATTTATGAATTGGAGATACAGGCCAAAATAAGATCACTTCATCACATCACTTCATGACATCTCTTGGTGTTCCGACTTCCATAATTTTTAAACTACAGATGGTATCAGCATGCGGTTTTCACAGCAGTAATGCTGAGATTGTGCTCTTTTCAAATCATGTAGCTTGATTGCATCACATATGTGATGCGATCAAGCTACATAAGTCGTTTGTCGACTAAATGAGTCGCATAAGTCGTTTGTCGACTAAATGAGTCGTTTGTCGAATCATGTAGCTTGATTGCATCACATATGTGATGCGATCAAGCTTCATGAGTCGTTTGTCGACTAAATGAGTCGTTTGTCGACTCTGGTTATTTTTTTGTTGTTTTTGTAAGAGCACAATCTCAGCATTACTGCTGTGAAAACCGCATGCTGGTACCGTCTTTAGTTAAAAAATTATGGAAGTTGGAACACCAAGAGATGTGATGTGATGAAGTGGCCCTATTTTTGGCCCGAATCTCAAAATAAAAATTCCCAACAAATAACCTATGCAGCTTGATCGCATCACATATGAGGTTTCAGCAAGAAACATCGTTCAAATACTGTTGAAATGAATCTTGCGAATCAGCATTTGTCGCGTTTGGCTGTTTATCAGAAGTTGCCTGGAAAATTTTGCCCTTTGCGAAAATTGAAATTTTTGGCATAACTAATACCGGCGCGAAGTGGTTAAAGTGGGTAAATTTGGGTAAAAAATTATAAAAAGTGGTTTTACCCTCTCTGAACAGCACCCTCCTATCGTGTTCATATCTCAAAAGGCTAATGAAAGGCAAGGTTATATACACAGGGCGTATATAAAAAAAACCATAACAGACAAAAAAATAATCGTAATTCTACAAAACCAGTGATTCAACCAGTTTTCTCCTCTTTTATGTAACACTTCGCAGCTTGCGACGCGTCGTATGATCCATTCACAAAAATTATGTTTCTTTGTAAGTTCCTGGACAAAGGCTTCAAACATGTAGCCTGGCGTATTGCAGATGAAATTTCAAAGTAGCTTACGGTCCACCCCAAACTTGACTTCCTTTTAAAACTGCATCGTACGTCCGCCATTTTGTTATACATTTTAAAAATGTCCGAGAGGATATCTGACGACTCTTTGCTGAATATCAGACCGACTATTTACTGTGCAGTGAATAAATACACATAACAGTGACCTTGTGTTATAAATACACCTATGACGCACTGACAAGTTTGGTGAAATGAATCGCAGGACGCATTACAGATGTGACGCATCGTAAGGTATGATGAGTTTCATGAAATCAAGTGCAGGACCATGAAGGTTTGAAATGAGGTGTGTTTCAACCATAGAGCAATATAAAATTACTAGAGCGCTAACTTGATGTACAAAGTAATGCCTGATGGGCGCATCTATGTTTGTGCACAAACCTATGGAAAACCTGAAATTGTGTACGGCTTTTGTACGGCTATTTGCATATCTGTGTTTGTATTCCATAGCGGTGCGTCATCGAAGCCAATACGCCCAAAACCGAAATGCACAATCAGGAAATGAACGTTTCATTTTGCTCTACGCAAACAGCGCAACTTGTGACTGAAGATACTTTTCGCCGTGACATTTTTTAACCGTCATGATGCACTTATGTTGTTTGCATATCTTCTACTTGCGCATTGCATTTAGAGTACACTTTTAAAATTCAATCCATCTATTTTGATTGTGTTCTACGAACACGCAAATAAGTTCAAAATGTCTGCGCCCAGAGCGGCTTCAAAGCGTCTCCGCGCACAAGAATGAAGAGTTAGCGCTCTAGTAATTTAATATAGCTCTATGGTTTCAACTAGGAATATCACGAACCAACCAAGCATTTCCCAATGGTCCTTAATCAAACTTTCCCTGTGGTTCTTAAACACTGTGGTTCTTAAACACTGCCCTCTATTTCTACGTTGTCGGGAGGGACCAGCTGACGGCAGCCGTTTCCTTTGCACAGTTGAAGCAGGATCAGTTTTTTGTGCATGGCGGCCAAGTCCGGTGGCTTGACTGACTTGATGGAGTTGGTCAACTGGTGAGGATCTTTGATCAGATCGTAATATTCCTGGAAGGACTGCAATAACGACAACGTGGGAAAAGAGTGAGAAGAAACACTTGCAACCAAAGTCAAAATCCCATCAACAGATTCTTTCATTTTCCCAAATTGATTTTCAATCAATACGTTTTTTTTCAATTTTGGTAGTCTAATCTGGGATGCACTGGGGCTACAATGGCACAAAAAACAACCACCTGAATTATTGTGGGGCTTCAAATCATTTCAAATTTGCACAGTAATTATTGTTACTTTTATACTTTTATAAAAATATAAAAATCTATTTTCTGGGAACGAAACTAAAAAACCAAATATCATGTGAGAGCAGCTTTAACTTGGAAGAACTCTTGAATTGTCAGAATGAATGTGAAGGACTGAAATAACAAAAAATGTTCACATTTAAATCTTATCAGCCATCAAGCTTGGACAAATATGATTATATGGTTATGCCGAAAAAGTCTAAAATTGACCCAAAAAAATTCTTTCCGTTACAAGCAATAAACCTCCTGGAAATGTAACAAACAAAGCCCCTGCATTTTGTCCTTTGGAACTTCAACAGCCAAATAAGAGTGCCCATCGGCACAATCTTAACTCAGGCAAAACATTATGGGTACAATATTCTCACGTTTGATCTTACAAATGAACAATTTGCTGAGTACCTCAGAGTCCACCATTTCACAATATGTATAGCTGGACTTTGCGTCTATGTGACGTAAACAGCTGAACGTGTTGTTCTTGCTATCTTCACACACACAGTCAGGTGAGCATTGCTGTAGTGGTGTGATCCACAAGCAACAACAGGGAAGGAAAAAGAGACAACAATTTTAACCAAAGTTAAATACATTTGCTGACCCTTTCGCATGGCATAACCTTCAGGTCACTTTTGAGGTCAAAATAGTTTTAATTTTGTAACTTTTTTTTATTTCCCCAATTCATTCCTCCAAAGTTTGTTCCAAAGAGGAACTCCAAACTCTCATAACCAAACATGTAGTTGCCATACAGCGCGTCCAAAAATACCCGCAATATTTTTTTGCGAGGCTCTAGCGTTGCTGCTGAAACACGTACCGCCATTATTTTTATATCACTTTAAAGCTTGGAATCCTAACTTTATCCTCGGTAAGTATTGGTTTGATTTTCAAAAAGGTTTTGAAATTATTCGTGTTCAAATAAAAGCATGTCAAAAAAAAACTCAACCGGTTTCAAGGAAAATTAATCATGCACATTTTTTCTAATGTGGAAATTCTTCATCATGTTCATGATGTGACGATCTCGTTGCCTTTTACTTTTTGTGTTTCCTTTTCTTTTCGATCCACGTAGACTACACCTAATAAATATATTCACAATATTTGTTCTTTGTTTCAAGTTCAACGTCTTTCTAATATAAATCAACTGCTTTTTTGTTCATTTCACAAGCTTGTTGACCCGAGCTTTCATCTGATATACCGCATCATTGATTTTCCTTGAAATCAGTTGAGTTTGTTTTCGACTTGCATTTATTTGGACACGAATAATTTTAAAACTCTTTTAAATATCAAACCAATACTTACCAGGCCTAAAGTTAAGATTCCAAGCTTTAAAATGGTATAAAAATAATGGCGGAACGTGTTTCCGTGCCGACACTAGAGCCTAGCAAAAAAAAATTGCGGATATGTTGGGACGCGCTGTAGTAGAGAGGTGACATTTTTGAGAGGTGAAAAAATGTGATCTTTTCAATGAGCCATGAGAAAGAGCCAGCAAATAGAAAAGGTTCTTACTGGACACCCTACAGGCAGTTGACAGTGGTACATTTTCAAAGCTGGATTCTGATTGGCTGCTGCCAATTACCATGCCAACCACCTCTAGCGTTATCCAGCATTCACCCGATGGCCTGACATATTGTTATACCTCTGTGTCACTAATTTCGCAATACATGGTGCTGACGCCGGGATGGATAGAGCGAACGCAGGAAAACGTGTTGTTCTTACTGTCCTCACAAACACAACTTGGGAAGCAATTCTGGTAATGCAAAGCGGCATGACAAAAACAGCAAGGAATAGGAAAAAAAATATGAGAAAAGAAAACAGTATTAGAAATGCAAGCTTTGCAGCCATGAAGGATCACATTTGTGATGCGATCAAGCTAAATGAGTCGTTTGTCAGCCAGGCTAATTGAATTTTGGTGTTTTTCTTTTTTTTACATTTTTGAATAGAGTTATCTTTCAGTATATGTTTGGTGAAAACCCTATGTGAATACGACTTCCCTTTCAGAAGTTTTGGGACTTAGAACACAGGCAGATCAGAAAGAAGAAAACAGAGAAATCAACGAGTCAAAATTGAAGTGTTCATTTAGCAACAATAAACATGTATGCTTCATTTCAGGTTATTGAATATTAACTCCTTAGCAAAAATGTCACATTTTAACTACTTTTTCTCAGAAAGAAATAGTTGACATGAAAGAGGACATAATGGTATGTAGCCTTCCGATTTTACAACAAAGTCAATTTTGAAATTTACTCCCCTTCCGACCTATTTTGGGCTGTACCTTAAAATCACAATTTCCGACAAACTAATCATTTAGCTTGATCGTATCACACTTGTTAACAGCTCGTCCCAAAATATCAGAGAAAATTTTGTCAAAATGTGATTTTTATTTTTGTCATGAATGACATCTTTAATACCTACAGTTTCAGGTTTCATTCACAGAAATGTCGATTTTGATGAACAAAGAGGAACATTTTGTCGGGTATTGTGAATATTCAAAGTTTAAAGTTTTGAATCAATTGATCCTCACAAAATTCCAAGACTTTTCCAGGCCTGGAAATTAAAAAAAAATTGCGTGACTTTTCAAGGTTTTTTTTTTTTCAGGCAGCAGGAACCATGTGCAAATGTGCATATGTTGCTCACAGCATAAGCTAGAATTTGTCTATGCGATCTCTATGCATAAAAACAGCAGTGACAAAGAGAGACGAAATGCTGCCATTGCCATTGGGGGGAAAAAAAGCTCCATTGGAAGAGGCTATGGGTTTGTGCACATTTATAAATTTGTCATGCGTACAACAGCAGATCTACAAAGGGGGAGGGGCTGGGGGACATGGGTTAGAGGGTTGGGCACCATCTTCCTATAGGGGACGCTGTACAAAGCTGTCTATTATTGACGGTATCCAACAATAGGTGGCGCTCTTCAACACGGCAAATTTGCCGATGGACGCATGATTTTGCCCACAGTACAATTATTCTGACCTAAATGCCAGTGCATGCTGAGTGGATTATAGTACCAATGTCCGTAGAAAGGTTCTTGGAGGCCATTTCCCCGCCCCCCACCCCCTAAATCCACCGGTGCATGCATAATTTGTGCATCACGTGCGCGAACTATTTTGCAAATGCCCCTCGCAAGCGAGTTTCCATGAGCAGTGACACAGTGCAATTACAGGTAACTGTTCCTGCACACAGTTCATACATCCAAACAAAGCTATCTTTCTGTCAGTTATTCAAGTCAATTAGGACCTCAATGGAAATAAGTTTTTAAAACTTTGTTTGCGTTATCCCTGCTTTTTCCACTGGATGGGGGACGCTCTATGTTTAATTTTTTAATTCAAATTTTCTTGTTTAATCTTAAACTGATCTGTATCGTTATTATGTGGAAATTGTGAATAAATAAATCAAATCAAATCAAAGTTAATTCCAGCAATGCTACCATGTTTTTAAGTAAACTACAACGTATTGCGATGCATTTTCAATTTTGGAATGTTAGGGTAAGTTCAGTGACGCACTTGAAACAACTGAGGCAAAGCTGAGGTGGTTGAGAAAGGAACGGCGATGCAAGCCCAAATCTTTGTTTTTTCTACTTACAGCACAAAAGTCGACATTTTTACAGCCAAAGTCACCGTGGGGTAACCACTCCCCTTCGTGTTCTATCAGAAAATCTCGGTTCACTTCTGGTGACTTAATTTGTTCAAGTGGAAATTTAAAGGGAAACAAAATACAAAGAAGACTTATGTGACAGACCAAACATGAGGCTGCATTTTTCTGTCAGTACAACTCAATATTGATATTCCAAAATACAAGAGCAAGTCTTTTATTGGTTAAATGAGAAAAGTAAACTTATTACAAGAAACCTAACTTTCCAGTACTCAATTATGTTTAATATTAAACAACATCCACTCACAACGTCAAAATCTTAAGGTTATGTTAGAAATACAGCAGCTGATTTCGCGAAACAGTGCGTCACTTACGCTATGCGTAGGACTTACGCAACTAATTTATTGCGAAATCGATCGATTTCACGAAACTTCGTGTAGCTGTGAAAAGTTTTAATAATCTAAACATCTTGGGCAAGGATAATAATAGTATTTATGGCGGCTGTTTGTGTATAATTGTGTTCTTTCATGAAACAGCTGTTGCATCACCACCGCCCGCTGTTTTGAAAACAGTTTTGTCCAACTTTTTTCGGAATCGTGCAGCAACTATTTTGCCACGAGTAAAATAGCAATTCATTCACTTCACACACAAAGCTGTGACTCGCACCTTTGTGAACTCGTGTAATAACAGGCTCCATGACAATCACAACACGCTGGTAAAATAGGGTCATTTCAGTCGCCACGCCACAACTTACGCCACCTAAAATGATTGTGTAAGTTACACCATACAGGCATGCAACTTGGAAGAAACTTAAAACAAGGAAACTCCAACCTTTAAAAGACTTTGTACAGTGTTTTTCAGTCTTGAATGGCATAAGTGTGAAGTGAAAAACGAGGAAATCAGCTGATCCTAGGAAAAGTTGCCTGCCTGACCATAATTTCTTGGGCAAGCCGCTAACTTACGCACTATGACACTTTCATGAAATTGTCGTACACTGAAATGTTGCCCAACTTACGCGATAAATTGTGGTGCAAGTGGTCTTAAGCTATTGCGTAAAGTTTCGTGAAATCAACTGTAGGTTCTTTATTTATGTTCAAGAAGCAGAAGGAATGTTCAATTTTAAAACTCACTACATGATGTCCTGAATTTTCTGGAATCGAAAGCTGACTGATTTTCCTAAGCAGAGAGGTCATAAAAACTTCTATTTTGATGCATTAAAAAAATTCCAAAAAGAGTCTTAAAGATCAATTCCCATGATGTGGCTGGTTTAATTTACTAGGATTTTTCATTGATGGTCAGAATATATATACCTTTTGATCAAGATATAGAGAGGCGGTGTTGCCTGGCCCTGACAGGCCTTGCTATGGGATATACTGCACAAAACGCAACTTGCAGGATTAGGTGACTACATCTTGCATTATCTCCACAAGTCTTGGGTCTCAAGACTTGCTTGTTGTTGCACGTTGTAGACCTGACCAGCAGCTTCCGAACAACGTAGAGTTTGCCTAGAATTTCCTATGTTAAGGTACATTTTGATCCAGATCTAGAGAGGCGGTCTTGCCTGGCCCTGACAGGCCTTGCTATGCTATTTACTGCACAAAACGCAACTTGCGGGATTGGGTGACTACATCTTGCATTATCTCCACAAGTCTTGAATCTAAAGACTTGCTTGTTCTCGCACGTTGTAGACCTGACCAGAAGTTTTCGAACAACGAAGAGTTTGCCTAGAATTTCCTATGTAAAGGTACCTTTTGATCAAGATATAGAGAGGCGGTGTTGCCTGACCCTGACAGGCTTTAAGCTTGCTTTGGGATATACTGCACAAAACGCAACTTGCAGGATTAGGTGACTACATCTTGCATTATCTCCACAAGTCTTGGGTCTGAAGACTTGCTTGTTTTTGCACGTTGCAGACCTGACCAGCAGCTTCCGAACAACGTAGAAGCTAGGATTTTTCATTGATGGTCAGAATAAAATGTAGGGGGAGAAAAAGAACTTATACTTACAGCGAGGAATTCGGTGTTAGGACAACCTTTGATTCCATTCACTTCATATTCTCCACTATGCTCAATGAGGCAGTCACGTGACAGACCACCCGTTTCTGTTGTACTTGGAATCTGCAACGTAGATAATGTTGAAAAAACGTTGAATGAATCAGCATCTCCAGTTATATTACAGTTCTTCCTTTGCCAACTTTTGTGCTTTGTTTTTTAATATGTCAAAAAGTTCAGGAGTAGACTTGGACTAGTTTTACTGCGGATTTATTATGGGGATTTACTCATTATGCACTTATGCACAGAAGAAAATAGCCATTTCGTTTGACGGTACACTACACAAAGGTTGAAATGTGGCCAAACAAAAACATCGGCCCCTCACACCAGTGGAAGGTATGAGTTAATTTCTGCATTCAATAGGGGACGTTGAACAATACAGGACAACGAGGCCACCCATTCCCGAAGGTCCCCAATTTACGATCGTGTACAAAACATACGGGAGGTCAAAGAGGGACAATAGGGGGTCCTGGATTGCAGGCAAATACACACTTGTGTGGGTTGATTTGGGGTTGAAGTGGGGGGGGGGGATGACACTCATTGTGTTTTTAGTCTTCCCGAAATTGTGAGGTGGGGAGGGGGCAACACAAGGGGGGAACAGGTCTCAAGCAGGGGGCCCGCATGCCCCACCTTCCCCCACCTTTTCCCACCACTCTTTTTCAGAAATAAGTTCATTTATACCAGAGATAAATATATTGCAAGAAGTTTTTTTAATAACCGATTGGCAAGGTAATTTACAATGTCATATGAATCCATAAAATCATAGAGTGCTTGGGCAGTTGGGGTGGTACATGAGCTAATGGGTTAATGCGGACATAGCCCCATAAATGTGGCCAATTTAATGGACTACCTCCGTAAATAAAGGCCACACTTCCATCATGTATAAAAACATGTTGAACTTTGTCAAATTTTGATTTTCACATTTAGGCTTAGTTTGTAGTTTATTTTTGCTTAAGAATCATACTCAACCTCTTTATAGGCTAATCAGAAAGTGCTGCCTTTTTCAGATGTCTAATTTTCGTGAAATTTCATGTTGAAATTTTGATACGCAAACTTGTGCAAACGAATCTGGAAATTCAGATGTCTAATTTTCGTGAAATTTCCAGATTCGTTTGCACAAGTTTGCGTATCAAAATTTCAACATGAAATTTCACGAAAATTAGACATCTGAAAAAGGCAGCACTTTCGAATTAGCCTATAAAGAGGGTGAGTATGCTTCTAAAGCAAAAATAAACTACAAACTAAGCCTAAATGTGAAAATCTAAATTTGACAAAGTTCGACATCAGTGTTTTTGTACATGGTGGAAGTGTGGCCTTTATTTACGGAGATAATCAAGTAAATTGGACACATTTATGGGGCTAATGCAGACAATGTTATTGTAATGCTACGTGGAAGGGGCAGTTTACCAGGACGGGCACCAGTGACAGGCCATCCACATCCTTTGGTGCTGGGTCACCAGCTAACTGTATCATCGTTGGCATGATGTCGATATTTAAGGCAGGATAGTCCGTGACAGAGCCAGCTTTAATCTTGGGACCTCGTATCAGTAGGGGTACCCTGATGTCAAACTCGTACAACTGTCGCTTGTCCATCGGCAAGGAAAACTGACCTGAAAGTAAAAAAACAAAACAAAAAGACAAGTGTGAGTGCACAATAAGCTCTGGCCGTCTTGTGTGAAAGTCTTGCATGAAATCAATCAAAATGATCCCTGCCAGAGCAAAAAAATGCAACGCCCAAAAATGGGACGCCGATGGCACATATGGAACACCATTCTTTGGAGTTATACATAGATTAGCATTTTGTGATAAATACCACGTGACTATAACATTACTGCATACATTTTTCCTCCATTTACAAACTTTTCACAAACATCTTTCCAAATTATTACAAACAATTTTTGTTTAAGTCCAAGGGTGTCGATCGCTTCTCAAAAGTGGGGGGGGGGGGCATACCTTGATAAGAACTAATGCGAGCACGAAGCGCGAAGCCCTGACGGCGTGGGGTTTGAAAAATTTGGATTCTGGAAGCTCTGTGGTGCAATCTGAGGCAATTTATGACCACTTTAACCAATTTTTTTTTTAGCAAACGATTATCATTTAAACATCATTTTTTAGTTTGGAGTCATTGACAAATGTGCATTTTGCCAACCACGCGTAGAAAGGTCTATTGAACATGTTTACTTGGTACATTGATATCATCTCGTACGGCAAGGAAGATGGAAAGACTGGTTCCCAATCCTCTATTATGACCTTGAATAAATTATGGAGGTGGAAACCAGTTTGCAGAGGTAGGCTTTATGTTGAATATTACATTTTATACAACACCTGAATAAATTCCCATCATCTGATTGGTGGATCGTTGATCACATGTCCTTAAATTATTCGTACCAACCCACGCCCCGCCCGAATAGCAATAATAGAAGTTCCATTCCACGGTAAATAGCATTTCCATTGCACGGTCACACTTTTGACAACTCTGACCAACCAGATGACGAGGATTTATTCAGGGTGTTGCATAAAGCAAATAATGAATGTTTCACCTTCGTGCAATGGAAAGAATAATTTTCATTCGGGGACGGATGCATTCGCCTCGTGCAATAGAACCTGCCACCTCATGAAATTATTCTTACCATTGCATTCACAAACATTCATTAGTTAAACAGCGTGTGTCAATAAAAACGCAGGATTAGAAACAAAAATATTAAGAATATAAACCACCCCTATTCATCATAATGTTAACCCTCTTTTCAAAGTACCTTTCCTTCTCTTCACTATGCTTTTTATCCCATCTCATTTTGACAATCCTGTCCAGCGATAGAGTACATTGAAGAAAGGTTATAAATTCCAAGCTGGTCTGATTTGTGAAATCACACATACCTAATGAAAGGTTTGAATTCAGTACAGGTGAAAGTATTTGTGGATCACAAAGAAGGACATGTGTGGCAGGATTAGGCTTACATAATCCTTTAGTCCACAATCAATGTTATTAGTCAATAATTCATGATGCTTTGAAACAATGATAGTCCAGTTATTAAATTTAAGTGATACTTATCATCAGTAGTTTCAAAGAAAGTTTTGTTCTGGTTTAATTGTCTTCAATGCATACCTGCATTGTACATAACTGGTCGTTGTGTTAAGGTCATTGAATCAGACCAACCCGCTTCAGAAGGGCTTCACAAAACTTGTCATAACTTTTGAACCAAAAGTCCAAATTCCACCAAACAAAAATCTTGTCAAAGATGAAATTATGGACAATCAAATCCTTATCAAATTAGGCACACCAGTAGCATAATTTTCTCAGAAAAAAATCGCTTTGAATCCTGCGTTTTTATTGACACACGCTGTATAGTCCTCTCCGCAATGTATTTATGCATGTGATTGATTGCACCCTGTCTGCCCACTTGCACAATGCAAGAAAGATGGCGGCAAAATGGTCCTTCAAGCCTCTCTGTTTCAATGTGCAGGAAGTACTTTGCCCAGTACTGAACAATGACAAAGCCTCACCTAAATGATAACCATTGTCTGAAGAAAAGATGATGTACGTCGAGTCCAGGAGCTTTCTGCTGTCCAAGGTGTCCACGATGTTCTTGACCATATCATCGACCGAGAGAAGAGTCCTCCATCTACAGACAAAACAGAAATCAAAATCAAAAAGATACTGTCAAACCTGCCTTCTTTTAAGCTGTAACTGTTCAAATCTGTCCGACTATCCAAGCATAATTTTCTCCAAACAGCACTGGTATTATGTAACCAATCTCACAAAATTAGTCTTTTTTTTTACCTTTTCCGGAAGACATCATCAAGTAATGTAACAGAATCCTTGGCCATTGGGTTTGGCGCATGTCTGATCAACCAGTGTTTGTCCTATTGACAAAAAATCAGTAAGTAAAACAAAAATGATGAATTTCTGAAGTACAATACGGCATGCGATCCACAAACACAGACATGTTTGTATTTGCCTGCAATTAGGGACCCCCTATTGTCCGTCTTTTGTTTGTACTAACTTTTTAGGAAGACCTCCCATATGTTTTGTACACGAATCCAATAGGGGACCTCTCGGGAACTGGGGACCCTATTGTCCTCTATTGTTCAACGTCCCCTATTGAATGCAGAAACAAACTCACACACCCAGCTTGTTTTTACTTTACTCATGAGGACCTGATCCTTTCCTTCTTTTGTTCCCTTTTGTTTGTTCTTTACCTTTTTCTCGACAGCTCCCATAAGGTTTGTACAAGAAATTCTCCCGAGGACCTGGGCCATTGTCCCAAGTCCTCAGTCTGAATGGATATCCAACCCACACAAAATTCTTAAATGGTTTAACGAAACATGCAGTACAAAATCGAAGAGGCGATGCACATTGCATTTTGATAACACTTTTTCCAAAACATTTGGCACCATTTATGAGTGAATGAGATAGATCTTTGGACTTTACATGAATTCAAGTACATAATCTGTTTGACATTTTCGCTTGGATTTTCCAAAAAGAAAAATATCATGGCCAGAGTGCAAATTGCCGACAGACACATGCACTCTACATTAGATACATGGGACGAAATTTGGTGGGTCAAATAGAACAATTCAATCAATGATTCAAGGTCAATATTACAGTTGTGTTCCCATGCCTTTCAACAAACTCAATATTTTCTATTATTTAATTTTCAACTTGTATGTTAGTCCAACCATAAACCTCCTCCTTATTTTTTTTTGACATCTGCATCCGTCTGAAAAAAAGGTTTTTGTTTTGGGTACGAACAGATCCACTTTGCGAGCAGACTGGCTCCCGGTCCATACATTATCAATACCGATTGTGGGGCAGGAACCAGTCTACCCCGTGAGATCGGATATATTGTCTGGCAGCCAACAAGTCAAAATTGTAAAGTAATAATTCAATCACTAAACATGTGCCAATTTTTGGGGGTCAATGTGTTATTCAAAAGTGACCAACTCTTGCATTGCTGGAAAAAATAACACTTTAGAAAAGGAATCTATTTAATTGGGATGAATATTCACATAGTACACCGCTTTAATATTGAAAAGAATGGTTCAAATGTATATCATAAGAACAACCGGTCTCGTGTTGCAATCTCGTGTTGCAATCTCGTGTTGCAATCTCGTGTTGCAATCTCCTGTTGCAATCTCCTGTTGCAATCTCGTGTTGCAATCCAACCTAATATCTCACCGTTCCTGCTTTGTTGAAGCTGGGGCCCCTTGGAGCCGCATTCTTGGTATAATTCTGGACATACTGAGGGGCGGAGTCAAAAGGGGCGTGGCAGGCTGGCGTGGAGACCATGACAAAGAAGGGCGGGGTCGTCGTGCTTTGCTTCTCTAAGAACTCATGGGAACGGTTGTTCTGTAAGAAAAAAAGCGTGAACACAGTGTGAGGCATCAGCTTCAGGAGGATTTTCAAAATATGAAATGATCTCCACACAGGGCTTGTAAAGAGAAATACAAAAAGGATTAACTTGTTACGACTCACTAACAATTCAGTTTTGTCATCTCTTATTTATCCCGTCTTATTTACAACAGGAATGCAAAATAATTATTATGATATTCACAATTACAACCAAATCCAGGCAACTCACAATGAGGTCCGTCAGGTAGTCTTTGTTATAATCATCTCCGTGCTCCTCAGCTTTGCCATTCACAGACAGCGTGTAATTGTAGTAGACTGAGTTTTTCACCTGGGAGAGAAAAATACAAACACGTGTCATTCAGACAGTGGGCTCCATACACAGTTCTCCCCTCCCCCCGCCCCCCCCCCCCCCCAGCCTCAATGGTTATAAAGAGAGATTTGGGGGGATAGTCGTTGTTCTACTCGTTGTTTTTCATCTACTCAAGTACTCGTCCTGGCACAAGTAGAAGCAGGTACTCGTGAGTAGCAATTTAGGGTTTAGGGTTCACGGCTTAATACGTCCCCTGCAAACAGGGAATCCCTCCCTCCACCTCTCTCTCCCTAGGATTCCATTCGTCCAAAAAAAAAACATTCAAGTAAATGACCCAAAACGTCGCACAGTAAGGATATCTCAGTGCTGAAAAATGTGGTGTGACAAGCTATTTGCTTGTAAGCTACTTCCTGTTATACTAACATACATGTCATTTTTTCGCCTTTATGAAAATTGGTTAAAGGGAATATACATTTGCAAACATCGAAAAACAAAACTACCTATTTTTTACGAAATACCTAACTACGATGTTGGTAAATGACAGTCTAAAGCATCCAGTAAAATTATGGCACCTGGTGTGAAGTCATTTTCAAGAAGAGTTGTATTTTGTATCAATTTCCAACGGTGGTCAGCCGACCAGCGTTGGTAACCTAACTATTTTTCAACTACTGCTCCAAAAAATTTACCATTTTTTTACACTCCAAATTTTGTTTGCTTTTGGTTACATGTTCGTGAACGGGTGCAGGCAAGCTAGACTGGTTTCCTTACTCACAATTTTCCGGCATCTACAAATTGATCAATTTCATCTTTTAGTGGAGTCAGGGAGCCAGACTACTTGAGAACATTTTTGTTTTTCTTGGTTATTCCAGCATTTTCGAACACAAAACTTCAAACAATATTTGATCTATTATACTAACCCTCAAATAGTTCATTTCTGAAAATTACAGCAAAAACCAATGATGTACATTCCCTTTAACTACATCGCATTGTTCAAATCCCGGTTTCAAAATATTTCATAAAAAAATATTTATGGGCACTTATATTTCTTCTCCTTTTTTGTTTCCTTACCAGACCGTTCCATTCATCCCACCCTGGTGGTATATGGGCAACTCCTCCAGCATCTTTAGTCCCATACTAGACAAAAAAAAGACAAAACCAAAAACATGTATGGCAGGTCTATTAAACCTAAGAATACATGGAATTTTCAAATGGAAGCAATTGGGAAATGCAATTTTTGTTTTTAAAGTTTAGGTTGCATGATATAACATAACAGCCTTTGGAAGCACCAAGTGCATTGGGGGGGGGGGGGGGGGGGGGTGCGGAAGTGCATACTACAAAAATGTCCTGTTCCAACTTGAGAAACATGGATAAAACGTCAGTTTGTTTACTTCGGGAAGAATCACTTCAATAAGAAAAGAACAGCCCCAGTTTGGAGATTAGATTATTAGAACTTGATTTTGGATATCATGGGGGAAAAATGACATCATATTAATATCACCTTCACATTCTAATGATTAACCCTCCTGCTATTTAAACAGTCACAGACAGTCAAATTTCACTTCCACTTCCCCTGCTGTACTTTTAACAAAGGCTAGTCACCAGCAGTCAGATCATATGTCAAGCAAGCACTGTGACTAGTCAAAGTCAGTCAACAGATCACGAACAGGCAAAGCAGGAAAGTTGTGGGCACAGCTGGCTTTTCAATTACCCCCAGTCAAAGCAAAGGCCAAGTTCGCGCAAGGACTATAGTTGACCAATGGTTAACTAACGTTTGCCCGAACTCTGTCTAGTCGACGGTGGTTGACTACGCTAGTCGACTAATTGGAACCAGCCTACTGGGGTTGGTTGCTTCGCTGGTAACCAATAGCCACGCGCATTCATAACGCTAGCAGAGAGCCAGGATCCAGAAGTTTTGCGATGACATTTTGACCAGCGTTTGACTAGAGACATTTGCACGTTGCTATCAGTGCGCAGGCGTAAGGTACGTCACAAATCAACCACTAGTCGACTAATGGTCCTTGCCCGAACTTGGCCAAAGCTGTAGGGCCTATCCAGTTACATAAACAGTCAGAGCCAGTCAATACTGCTCTATGTAGACTGGGAGCTCTTAACTGTTGAAAAGAGTCACTTGGTTGATTTCTACTGACAGGACAACTTGGCACAGAATATATGTTTGCATAGGAGGGTTAACAGTCCTGAAACCTTAAATTTTAACCTTTTTCACATGCTCAAGAGAGTTAGGGTTGACTTTCACTACACGTATCCAGGCATTTTTTCTCCCTAAGAAACCAATTCCTTTAACCTACCAAAATCACCACTGTCAAGGAGCACAAATGCCACAAAACTTCCCGGATGATTGTGCCAAGGATCTAGAAATGTAAGGGAACCTTCCACCATTCTCCAACATCAGCAATAATACCATGCTTAACCGTAACTCCCTAGCGTCTTTTACTAGGAACTGGACCAATTCCATCAAAATCCATCAATCACTGTGCGTCTAATATAAAACTGCACATGACATAATGGAATCCACCACTGACGCACTGGTTGACATTCTTGGACTTGCTACACATGGCTTTTATCACAATAGCAGTACAGGAAGCTAGGCAAAATCAATCTGATACCCCTAGCACTGCTTCAGGTCATTAGGCCCAAGTCCATCATACTCCATCAATATTTAGTCACGCCAGGCCTTCTGGACCAAGTCCCCAAAATCCACAAAAGGGTTTATCCACAAAACAAGAACAAATAGCGACACTCCTAACCTGGTTCAAGTACTTCCCGGCAAAGAAAGTTTTGTACCCCATTCCCCTCAGGTATGTAGCAAAGGTGGTCTTTTCTGGCCCCTTTTGCCAATCTGCGTTGCTGCAGCCACCCGAGATGGAGTTATTGTAGGCCTTGTGGTTATGAACGTAATTCCCAGTCAGGATACTGGACCGACTTGGGCAACACAGAGGACTAGTAGTAAACTGAAATAAAAGCAAAAAGTCGTTAACGTTCATCTATGTACATGTTCCGTATTGACCTGAAAAAAAATCTGGGTTTTGGTACTGGTATTTAAAACCTTTCATTATATATGCTTTCATTTGATAAAATCTAGATTTTTCAGACAAATCTCTTTTTCATATTTGGCGCAACAAATGAAATGACGCACTCTTTTTTAGAAGTCAAAATGTTGCCAAAATTTCTGACAAAGTACCAAATATCTCTACTACAGTATGAAAAATGGGGCAATTTTTGTGTTTTTTAATTATTTTTAAATTTGTCGTTGAACTTTGAATACGACAGAATGAAATGAAAAGTTTTCTCTTACCATGTTGTTGAATGTCATTCCTTGTTTGCCAATCAGACTGACCGTGTTGACTAAAGGAGTCTAGAAAAAGAATGAAAATAGCAAAAAAATTACGTGTTTACGTGGGAAAAAATAAAATAAAATAAAGTCTGTTGCGAGCCAATGTGGCTCATCAGGCTGGCGTTTATCTCCGGTTTCAGTAGCATGAAACGACTGAGAATATTTCTATTCTCCCTGGATGGGATGCTAGTCCATCGCAGGTTCTCCCCAGCTAATGCCGGTACCTATTTATACTCCTGGGTGGAGAGGGGCAAGTGGGGGTGAAGTGCCTTGCCCAAGGACACAATATATGACCAGCGGCTGGATTCGAACCCCGGACCCTCTGATCATGAGTCACGAACCCCAACCACTAGGCCACACACTCCCCTACATGGGTAGTAAGACAATTTGTTCATTAAAATATGAGCTAACTTTGTACATGTATGTAACGATAATTAGCTCAAGAATTCTACATATATGGGGCACAAGAACAGTTGAACAGTTCTTGTATCACTTCTGCAATCCTTATTTGTGATACTGAAATTCTGCAGTGAAAAATGTGCAAATGTGTTTCCTAAAGTTAAACGCTATTGCAGTGACAGAAACAGCTTTTTATCCTGCAATAAAAAAGGAGAAATTGCACTCTCATGTCCTTACCATTCCATTCATCGTCACGTCCTGATCGTCAGTCAAGATGAAGACGATATTTGGCCGTTTGCCGGCACCAAAGACCATCATCACTGTGGACATCAGAACGCAAAACCTCCACAGAAACTCCATCATTTGCTCACTGATCTTGAAAATGGGTCGTCCAGAAATACACTGCAGAACAGAAATAATTTGTGATTATTTATTATAATCTATTTCTAGGAATGAAACCAATGATTTCTCTTAACACCCCCAGCACAAGCCTAAAAAAGGGGTAGAGAGAAGACTATGAAAAATGTTTAATTTTGGATGTGGGTGAAAAACTCCAGAGGAGTATTTCGGGAAACCCATGGAATCACGCTGGGACTGAAAAACACTATCCACATAACAAGCCCAGGTCAAAATGGTAGAAGGAGAGAAAAGAACCAACGCACTGACCTGATTGTTTACAAACTATCTGATTCAAGATGTAAATATAAAAATGGACACCAGAAAAAAAATAGAATTGTATTTATATACTCTCAGTGCACAAAAGGAACTAGTGCAACTGCTAATTCTAGGTCAACCACACGTACACGTACTTCAGAGATGTTCAAGGTTCAACATTGACCCTAACCGAACTCAACCCATCAAAGTTCATCAGCAAGTTTTGTTTAAATCTGTTGTACCCCTAAACTGATGGTCTTTTACACTGGGGTTGGCATACCTCCAGAAACTAAGTCCAACAGTGTGTGTGTGTGTACAATTTCCCATGTCGGTGTTGGAATTCGCCAGAATGGGTATGGTTCCTAGGAAATTAGGCTGGGGAGTTAGGGTTTATCAACATTTTTACTAGTTTCCACATGCTGCTGACATGACATGTTAATCATTAATGATGTCAGGCATGTCAGGTGTTCCAATCCATCCAATCACAGATCTTGTACCATAATAAGGGAATAAATGTGTGCTCCGGAGGTTTTTATCACTCGTTTAATACCGCTTAGAGTCTGGGTGCTGATAATTACCCGAGCCGGAGGCGAGGGTAATTATCAGCACCCAGACTTTAAGCGGTATTAAACAGAGTGATAAATACCGACCGAGCACATATTTATTCCCATTCATAAATACCTTATCCGTAAAAAAATATCAAATAATTCGTTCAAAAAATCCCGATTTTGTTCAACAAGTTCACTTCATGCTTTTTGAAACATCCCTCTAGCAAAATAATGGAGTGTTCAGCTGGCGAGTAAGATGTAAACAACCCTTTTATGGAGATTGACGCGCGCGTAACATGTTCTGCGCGATGTCACGCAGAACGCACCTGGGGCGTTGCGTTTTGAATTTAAAACTATAAAATTCTGACTTGCTTGTAGTGTTGCGCATGCCTACGTGAGGATTGTGAACGTTCAACCAATGAAACAGTAAGAGGCACTGGATTTTTAGGAGTCCACATTTTATTGTGACACTGGAAAAGTGTTTAAGACCAGCTAGCCATGTCTTTATCATCCGTTTAAGACCGGCCACGTGACGGGCTCTCAACCAATAGGAATGCGTAAACTGTCTTAGGTATTTATGAATGACTGATATAAGTTGAATATCCTATACAGTGGCACTTGACCCCGATTTTGCTTGATGTCATCGCTGGTGAACATTTGTTAAGAATTTCTCAATGCAGTCTAAGCAATAATCTTGGTTTAGAAAAATCTGAGTTTTTAATTGAACGCATACATCAAAATGTGCTCACACACAGACGAAAACTTGAAATAATGACCCTTATTTATCACTAATAATCATGCTTTGTCTTATCTTAGTCTAATTCAGGTAGAGCTTTGTACACGAATGTTGAAATTAATACAATATGCATAAATGTCTCATGACATAACATGAACGTTCCGAGAAGAAGGAGACAGAATCCAAACCAATCTTTTTCTGATTTATGGTTCCGGGGGATGTTTTTAAGGGAAATAAGTATGAAATTGAAAAATGGTCTGATTTCCGTCTCGTGAATATCAAGTTACAACAATAATGTTGGCATGGAACTAGTCCGAGTAACTCAGCCCCAGCTTATTGCCTTTTTTAACATTCGGACATGGTCTGGCAACAGAACATGCAGGGTCCAAGCTATCATAATCGTTATCATTATCATAATTGATGCATCGCGTTCAGTATTGAATCGCACTCCGGATAGGGGGACAATTGAACGAATGCTGGGCACGACCACATCGCATTGTTCAAACACAAGTTGGAAATTTAACGTGTTCACAATCGCGAGGGGAGCTCTCAGAATTGAACAGGAAATTTCACCTTTCATCCGGACCTTAAGTAAACTTTAGTACCTCAATCTTAATCATCGATCCCCACTTGTACATGTACCTCAGGTGGCGTATCTAGTTATTTGGTAGTCCGAGTAACTTGGACCCAACTTATCACCTTTTTAAGAACTATGGGTATTACTCATGCATAATACCCATAGTTCTAGGGGTATCACCAAACCTAGCCCCATAAATGTGGCCTATTTACTGGACTGCCTCCGTAAACATAGGCCACACATCCACATGTACAAAAACGTGTCGCACTTCGCCAAATTTTGATTTTCACATTTAGGCTTAGTTTGTAGGGTTTTTTGCTTTAGAAGTATACTCACCCTCTTTAAAGGATGATCAGAAAGTGCTGCCTTTTTCAGATGTCTAATTTTTGTGAAATTTTGATACGCAAACGTGTGCAAATGAATCTGGAAATTTCACGAAAAATAGACATCTGAAAAAAGCAGCACTTTCTGATTATCCTATAAAGAGGGTGAGTATACTTCTAAAGCAAAAAAAACCTACAAACTAAGCCTAAATGTGAAAATCAAAATTTGGCAAAGTGCGACACGTTTTTGTACATGTGGATGTGTGGCCTATGTTTACGGAGGCAGTCCAGTAAATAGGCCACATTTATGGGGCTACACCAAGTCACCAAACCATGCCCGAATGTTAAAAAAAGGCGATAAGTTGGATCCAAATTACTCAGACTAGCATGGAACCAGATCAAGATTTGTCATGGCGAGTCCCCAAAATAAAATTAAAAAAAACAGTCACTGTGCATGTTCACACCCTGTGTACAAACCCTATGAGATCGAGACTGGTCTGAAAAATTCTAAGTGTTTTCCAACTATATCATACATGTCATATATGCGCCTTAAATGCTGGAATTTGTATCAAAGACAAAGTCACAAAGACAGTAGTCTATAGTGTAGACCTAAAACATGGCCTAGCTACCCGACTTAAAATTTAGGCCTACGAGGCTACATAAAATTTCCGAACCCCGAATTTCCTGTACAGGCAGTTTTAGTAGCCGTTGACTTGATGAGACGATCCTGTACTTATTGAGCTCTCGGCGGTGCTACTGAGGAAGGAGGACAATGAATGACCTTGAAAACAGCACGCTAGCCTAGCCAGGTACTCTGGACATGTGTGGCCGGCAGCTACCGGATGCTGGTGCAATGTTACGTCCATTAGTCAATAGTCACGCGCCTCTTGCATGTACCGCTGCCCTGGCGATCATGTGCATGAAACGTGTCAGGTGACCAGGTCATGTGACAAGCGTTTACAATTTAAAGGGAGCGCGCGCTGCCGGTGTGACAGGTAATTCTGTCCCCCTGGTAAATGTGTCCCCCCGGACACATTTGCAAGATACGTGGCAGTGATTATCACATGTGTACATATTCGTCTCCCTCTACAATGGAAATTCATCCAAAAGGAAATGTCGTTAAGCGCTATGATGGCAACACAGACTTATCCAAGGCGTTGTATCAATGAGACGAGGGCCATCGCCATGCATCGCCGCTCTATCGCGGTAGGATCGCGATAGATTTCACCGTACTCCAAATCGAAACGTTGTGTTCACATAATATCATCTATTAGACCAAATTAAATATTTTTATATTCATGAAGGGCAGACTAAAAGTCCAAAATGTATACCTTGTAGAGTGAATTCATAAAAACAATAAAGAGAACTGGCCTTCCGGCTTTCAAAAGAGGGGGACAAAAAACCCTGGGGGACAGAATTACCTGGATGGCGACATAATTGACGGGCCGGGGAGGACACTTTTACCTACGTAATTCTGTCCCCCCGGACAGATTTACCGGGGGACAGAGTTACCTTCCATCCCCCCCCCCCCCCCCCCCCCCCCACTAAAAAAATCCTGGCTACGCCACTGAATACACGTTATATTAAAATGGATTTTTGTACACTCATTTGTCACGATGTTTGACATCAAAAGATTTCATTTCATATTAAAAACGTCAAGTTATCAAGCTATTATAACCGTTGCAATACAGGATTTTAATTGCAACAAATACAATCCTAATGGAAGTCAACATGGATTTTTAACGTTTAGATTTGTTACGATCATATTATATTTATAGCTCCACGGTTTCTCACGCCATTCAAACGACTTATGCTACACATCGTGAAAACTAATTGCAGGAAATTTCAATTCAATCCATTTTGTATTTCTTGAGTAGTTCATCGGAAACGAGGTTGTTCTTTTTCTTCACTTGTGCAGCATCCGTATTGATGCGTTGTTGAGACCACTATTTATGTGGCGCGCCCTCTATTATAGTGGTCTCGATCTCCACCACCAAACCCGATTTCGGGCCAACAACTAAAGAAATACACGTTACATTAAAATGAATTTTTGTACACTCATTTGTCATGATGTTTGGCATCAAAAGATTTCATTTCAGAAAAAAACTCACATTATCAAGCTATTATGACCGTAACAATACAGGATTTTATTTGCAACAAATACAATCCTAATGGAAGTCGACATGGATGTTTAACGTTTAAAACACTAGATTGTTACGATCATGTTGTAATTATAGCTCCACGGTTTCTCACGCCATTCAAACGACTTATGCTACACATCGTGAAAACTAATTGCACGAAATTTCAATTCAATCCCTTTTGTATTTCTTGAGTAGTTCATCGGAAACGAGGTTGTTCTTTTTGTTCACTTGTGCAGCATCCGTATTGATGCGTTGTTGAGACCACTATTTATGTGGCGCGCCCTCTATTATAGTGGTCTCGATCTCCACCACCAAACTCGATTTCGGGCCAACAACTCAAGAAATACACATTACATTAAAATGAATTTTCGTACACTGATTTGTCATGATGTTTGGCATCAAAACATTTCTTTTCACAAAAAAATCCATTAATCAAGCTATTATGACCGTAACAATACAGGATTTTATTTGCAACAAATACAATCCTAATGGAAGTCGACATGGATTTTTAACGTTTAAAACACTAGATTGTTACGATCATATTATATTTATAGCTCCACGGTTTCTCATGCCATTCAAACTACTTATGCTACACATCGTGAAAACTAATTGCACGAAATTTCAATTTAATCCATTTTGTATTTCCTGAGTAGTTCATCGGAAACGAGTTTGTTCTTTTTGTTCAGTTGTGCAGCACCCGTGTTGATGCGTTGTTGAGACCACTATTTATGTGGCGCGCCCTCTATAGAACAAAACTTAAAATATTCTACGGCGTGCGGATGTATGTCTTGGCGGTGTGGCAGGTAATTCTGTTCCTCCCCCCCCCCCCGTAAATGTGTCCCCCCGGACAAATTTACCGGTTTCTGACCCCGTAAATCTGTCCGGGGGGACACATTTACCTAGGTAGATCTGTCCCCCTCCCTGGTAAATATGTTCCCCTGCCCAACGTTGAAAGTGTCCCCCTGGTAAATGTGTCCCCGTGTAAGTATCACCCATGCGATGATACGAGTCGTGTTCGTGAGCGCGCGTCGCCGCAAGTACATGCTGCAAGAATTGTGGCAGCGTTTATCGCATATTGTGTACATAATGTGTATCCCGCTACACAAAGGAAAATCATCCAATAGGAAATTTCGTTACGCGCTACGATGGGAACGCAGACCAATCCAAGTAGGCGTTATATCAATGAGGCGTCCACCGTGGAATAGGGCTTACACCGTACTCCGAATCGATCGAAACATTGTGTTCACATTTCACATCTAAGAAAGAGACCAAAAAGTTAATTTTTGTCACCTTCATGAAGGGCAGACTAAAGAGTAAAAAATGTATACCTTGTGTAGAGTGAATTCATGAAAACAATACAGAGAACTGGCCTTCTGCGTTGCAAAACTAGGGGGACAAAAAAACCTGGAGGGGACAAAATTACCTGAAGGGGGACATAATTAACGGGCCGGGGAGGACACTTTTACCTAGGTAATTCTGTCCCCCCCCCCCGGACACTCTTAACGGGGGGCAGAATTACCGTCCACACCGGCTATAGTATCACCATGGAGGAATTTGTATTCCTCCATGGTATCACCCGTTATATTATTATTACGGAGCAAGACTCCGGCGTTCGCCGTGGTCCATTACATCATATAGTAACCTATACTTCGTATCGTAGGAAAATAAACTGCTTAATTATTGCTGTCTTAATTGCTCAATTATTTTGAAGCAGCTGCTAGCAGCGAATACATCTGTGCTCATCTTTTCCAATAGGACCTGGGGCAAAATTTCACGGAGCTGCTCAGCACAAAAAAATTTGCTTAGCACAAAAAAGCTTGGCTTGAGCAGGTTACCAGCCAAAACTCCATGTGATTTCATGCTAAGCAAACAACAGCTGAATACTAATCACGAGCAGTATATCACATTCAATTCAATATAACATTTATTTATATCCAACCATGAACAAAATACATATCGTGTAGCATGTACTAAATATAAATGGAGTTTTGGCTGGTAACCTGCTTTTACAAGTCAGCCTTTTTTGTGCCAAGCAAATTTTTGTGCTTAGCAGCTTTGTGAAATTGGCCCATGCTACCACGTAAGAATGGATGTGTGAGTAACAGAAAGCAGGAGTATACTATAATTTTAGGAGTTGTTTCATTTACAAATATTTCATCACTTTACATCTGCGTAAAACACGACCTCAAACCAACCGTATCCGTGATCAATCAAGGGAAACTTTATTGAATTCAAAAATTAAAAAGGATACTGTTATTATTTTCAAAAATCTCGTAAGTCTCCCTTATTTTGAAATGTTTCGGTAATTATAATATTTCCAAAATAAAACATATTCGTAACAAATTACAAAAAAAGCTATACGAATAGCATGAATAAACATGGTAGACTATTTAACCATACATAAATTAGTCCCTAGAATTTCGAAACAGAATCTCGGTGACGATTCTAAATCCTCGACAGTCTGATGACACGTTGTCAGAAAAAAAGGTAAAAAGTTAAACCCCATTGAGTTTCATACCAGCTCAACAGTGAGGACACCGCCCCAAATATTGAACATATTGAGAAAAAAACCCATTTAAATAAATTGGTTAATTCTGAATTTATGAAATCAAATATTCAACAATTAAGCCGCAATTAATCCAACCTTTTCGTCCAACTTTATAGCCTCAAATCCAATTTGACAGTTAACAACAGTGTACACAGCATTTAAAGCAAAAACTGGGCAAGCCTAGGTATAGCGCTGGTCCCAAAGTGCACAATACTTTTTTTTTTAAGGCCTTTTACTGGAAATCTTCTAACGCATCCTTTCTACTGATGTAAGCCCATTCATTGGCATTACAAAAATCAAAAACAATTGTAATGCTTATATAGCGCTTTCCATGTATCAATAATCTCAAAGCGCTTTACAATTATCCCCTGTTCATGAGGCCACGAGATCACAGGGCAGCCGATATCAGCACACATTCGGTCCTCTACCCTCACAGGTACCCATTCATACTACTGGGTGGAGAGGGGCAATTGTTGTAAAGTGTCTTGCCCAAGGACACAAACACCATGTTCCTGGCAGGGTTCGAACCCACGTACTATGAGCCAAGCACCGTATCAACTGGACCATGGCACAGGTCAATCCTATAGCACTGCTCATCGGCTCACAATAGACAAGAGACATTCTTGCTCTATTATAGTCATTCATACGGTTAGTCAGTTGGTCGGTCAGTCGGTCTGTCGAGTAAGAGAGGTAAAATGAGGACAGACTGGCACTCTGGGTCCAGCACAATCCCCAAATTTGATTAATAGAATCCTTAGGCAAGTGGATGAAGTTATCTTTTTTTAAAGAATGTTCAAGTTAGTCTCTGATACCAGTCTATTATCTCTGCTTCGTGGAGTGACTTTATCAAACCAATTTCCTTGGATAAATTATGCACCGATGTGGAGATGTTGTAGCCTCGGTAGTCGTCGTCAAAGTAGTAGAGAGAATACTTTGGCTGGTAACCCATGCCATATAGTTGAACATAATCACAGCCAGCATGCAGAGCAGTGAGCAACATCAGGGAACCAGTGGTGGGGCGGAAGTAGGGGGATGTCTGTGATAGTCCCATCCAACTGAAATCGGGAAGGAAAATGTTTTAGAAATCAAACGTTACCGTAATACAGGGTGAGTAAACAAAAACGAAACACTAATGTCTGGACTATTTTTTTAGTGAAGTTCTGCATGTAGCACTTTCAATATCTAGGATATGAAAGCCCAATTCGTAAGCTTTTTTTTAATACAAGAATCATTCAAATCACTTACTTTTCAAGTAACGGAATTTTAAACGCAAAGACCGTTTTAAAGTTCTGTCCACGGATCACAAAAAAGGTAAGTGTTCTTTCAGCAAAACGAAAACAATTTACATTCATCCCTGGCCCTTTGTGACTTGTTTTCGTTTTGCTGAAAGAACAATGTCTTACCTTATTTTGCGATCCGTGGACGGAACTGTAAAACGGTGGTTGTGTTTAAAATTCCGTAACTTGAAGAGTACTTGAGTGATTTGAATGAAAAAAGCTTACGAATTGGGTTTGCAGATTCCAGATTTTGAAAGTGCTACATGCAGAACTTCGCTACAAAATGGTCCCGACATTAGGGTTTCGTTTTTTTTTTTTACGATTCCTGTAAACCCAAGTTAGAGGCGATAAAAGTAAACAAAGAATGAGTGACACTGAATAAACAAAACAAAAGAAACAAAATAAAACCGAGAGCGACAAGGAAAGAGAAATAGGGAATGGGGTCATTCTGAAGCAAATAAATTATCTTGCTTTATCTTAAAACATACACATTTTGGGGGGAAATTTCCAATACTCTGCAAGTCTGCATGAATTTTATGTAGAGCATTTTTTTTATAGGTGAAACAAGCTAGCCAATTTTCTTCTAAAAACAGGTGATGCCTCGATCTGGTCAAATATTGTGTTTACTTGACAGAGATTTCATATTGGATATCTCCAGCGTATAACATTGCTCACATTCGCTGCACGTATCGGATGAAGTCAGGGTGTAAGACGCGGACATCGTTTGCCTTGGCACGTATCTTAGGTTCCGAGCCAGTCACAACGCGCTTGATGTACGAGTAATCGTTGCGCTCACATGGAACAAAGACATACTTGATGCCCTGTGAACGAAAAAACAAACAAGCAAACCAACAAACAAACATTATAATCACTAAGGATGTAATGCTTGAAATGATTTGCTCATTGTTTTGAGATGTTTTAGGTGACTTTTATCATTTACTTGAAAGGCAGGGGGTAAAATTGAACCCATGTGCTGAAAATTACATTCGTTAACTGCTCCTTTGCTAAGGAGTAATTATCAAATTAACAATAAATGGAAATAGTCTAAGTTACTTTTTAATTAATTTAATGTCAAGAAATGTTATACCTTAAGTGGAATTTTGATTAATTTAATGTCAAGATAAAAAAGTGTCTTTATAAATAAAACACCAGTCAGGAGCCAAAACTTGTCTGATTTTCAAATCCCATTCCAGTCTAGCTATTTCGTTATTCAACATTATTTTACAAATTCATGAAAGAAAACCCTAACATTTTGGCGGGAAGAATTTAAAATAATTCCTGCACAATGACACTTTTGAAGTAAAAGCTCCTCAGGATACCTGCATTGCCATGGTTCTCATGCTAGAAATAATTTAATTTGGACATTAATTTTTAGAAGATGTACGTACCAAAAAAAAGTAGCCCGAGTATGATCCATTTGCTTGACTAGTATGTTTTGAATTAGCAGATTAAATGCAGATCATTTGCCTTTCATGCATTGTGTTCGTTTCCAACAATAACACTACTCAATATCAAAGGAAGAATGTTTAAAACCTAAGCTATTGAAGTTTCAGCTCGGTGGGTGGTACACTTTTGGGGAAAACAGTACGAAACCGAGCGCGAAACACTTTTGAACACGAAACACAATTTTCATGTTATTTCACTCTTTACTTCTAAAAATCAGTCAAGTGAATAACCTACTGTTCTTGATTTCTTCTAAAATGACAGTACGAGAGTGTTTAGTGACGGTACGATCTTTAATCCAAGTCAGCTTTTGTTAATAACTCAGAAGGTAACTTTTGGGATAAATGCAAATGATCCTATACATGTATTTCTTTAATGCTTTATCTTCAGGTTTTAATACTTAAGAGGGTATCACCTTCAAGAGATTGGCCCTACCTCATCTCTCGGCACATCTCTCTTCTCCAAGTCTCTAAGTGATCTGTCAAAGAAGAAGTAGTGGGTGGTGCGGTTGCCGACGTCATTCTCATGGCCCCGGCGAATGGCATTATTCACCCTGACCAATAAACAGATAAACAAATTCACATCAACAATTTCTGCAGTACATGTAGTAGAATTAAATTACCCATTTTGGTTTCTGTTATAAGCTTTAGATTGCAAAGTGACTTTTTAAACGTTTGTCGGTATTCAAGGACTGCATAATAGAGACTTCAACAGTTTTCTAATCATGTTGACGTTTTTTATTAAAATTAAAAGAAAATTTTAATTTGGATTTTGGATTTCTTTTATTCTTATTTTTTTTTCAACAACAAAAACAAGTTTCCCTTATGTGGATGAAAAGAGTTCCTTTGAGATACTGGAAGCAGCATTTGAGTGTTAAGGGATACTTCTTTGGATCATTCACGAGATCACCGAATTTGCTTATTCACGGTGAGCGATTCCTCTGACTTGTTTTCTTTTGTAAATGATTCAGTTTTAACTGAGTTTATAACGTGTTGTTTAAATGAGAGGGTTTTAAAATTGAAAACTACACCACTATCTTTCGTCACTAAGTTCTTAACACGAATGCATAATCATGCGATCAAGCTAAATGAGTCTTTTGTCGACCCTGGTCAATTTTTATTTTACAGATTTGAAAAGAGCACAATCTCAACATGACTGCTGTGAAAACCGCATGCTGATACCATCTTTGGTTAAAAAAAATTGTTGAAGTCGGAGCACCAAGAGATGGGATGAAGTGATGTGATGAAGTGGCCCTATTTTGGGCTGAATCTCCAAATGAAAATTCCCCACAAACGACTCATTTAGCTTGATAGCATCATTATTCCTGTGGTCGTCTGGCATAATAATTTAGTAAAAAAAAATAAACCTGTGTTTTTTTCGGACAACATTTTACCTAAACACCATGTGATGGTCATCTATTTCCATGCCCCTAGATGAGCCTTTGAGTATGCCTCCATTGCCAACCACTGCACACCGTAGGCAGGATGGCCGGGCCTCCTTAAAGTCAAAAATGGACTCAGTCGCTGGAAAGAGACTCAGAATACGGGCCACATCTACACTGCAGGAAATGAGAACAGCAACGAGATTAAAACGAGACTTAGTTGGAGAACCAAACGAGACAAGAACCATTTCCTGTTGGAGAAAAGGATCAAGGGGCGATAGGAATTTGAAATGAGGCAATTTCTCATCTTATCACTCTCCGAATATTTTTGACCCAACTCACCACCCCGAAACCCAAAACTGCGCCAGAACATAAAACAAACTACATCTCTTTGATAAATGTTTCAAAGCAATCCAGAGAAATCAGCACAAGAAGACTTCAACCACCAAGTTGGGAGCACAATTGAATGTTTAAAGATGAACAAGCTACACTTTGGGTATTTTGTATTTTTAAATACATTTTGGACATTTTCAATCTTTTCAAGATTTTACAAAATGTGTGTGATGAATCAATCAATCAATCAATCAAAACTAATCAAAGCAAAAAAGGAAGAAGTTACCCCCGGAAAAAAAACACCCAAGTTGTATTGACAACCTTAAACACAAACAAACAGAAGTACTACTTTAAAGATGCGTTCCCTGTGCTATTTCCGAGTTTCACCTTGAAAAAGATAGACTGGATTTTTCAATTGCTTTTTCCCTGGCAATATACAAGTTATTCACTTTTGAATGAGATATCCAACGAAACAAATTTCAACGCTTAGTTTTGGAAGCTCGAATTAGTGGCTGCCAGGCAATAATTCGGCTCTCGTAAAGGCCGGGTTCATTGTGCGCAAAATGAAAGCCCTTTTTCAGAGGGTTGCGGACGCCCAGCATTGGAAAAAAAGTATATTTTGTTCAAACAAATCATACAAATTGATCCTGGATATGCATGGTATATACGGCTTTATAGTTAAAATATTCATGTCTTTTTAGAGAGCACGGATAATAAAAAATATCATGGAAAAGAAAATAATTGTTTTAATACAGTAATCATAGTGCAAAATTAGATCTTAAAAGATAATCATTGGTAAAAAAAAAAAAAAACAAGCTCGAAATGATCTCGAAAGCTGCGGCCCCAACTGTAGACCTGCCGTAGCCTATAAGTCATGCACATGATGTAAATGTATGTTCTTATATAATGCACAACTACTCGGCTTTCCATGGCTGCAATAAATTGGTATTTAGGCCTACTTGTACTGGTCAGTGGAGACCTGAAGCACGTGTTGTTGCGAGGGCCTAAGGGGCAAGGTGATTGATTGCCAAAAAAGGCATGTGCTGACGTTTGTTACTAACCAACCAACCAACCAACCGCAGCTTTCCACAGCTAAAAAGGACAATCATGTGGACTAACCGCACTCACCGTCATATGGTAGTGGTGAAGGAATACTATTATAACCATATGGAATCAGGTAGGGCAGTAGTCTCCTGTATTCTGATTGGTCTAGAAGTTGTTCGTTCATTAGCATATGAATCTCCGGGTGATATTTGTCGGCTGTCCAATCAGTTTCCTTCATTTTGGTCTGGAGGGAAACTGGGCATTTCTGGAAATGAGCAGATGATACAACAGTAGAGGGCTTCCGCGCAAAAACAATATATTTATAGTCAAAAATCTGTGGTTACTTTCTGACATACAGTACCATCATCTGCCATTAATACGACATACGAAAACTTTCCACTTTCGTCAGTAGACTATCTTTCAAAGCTTAGCTTTGCTGCATAACATCACCAGCTGTAAAGATTCCCCACTAAATGGCTAGTTATCCTAAAGATATTGTTGTTACTTTTCACTTATTTAATCTCATCTCTACTAAATTGCTTTCCAAGGTAGACAATGTGAATATTTCTGTTTTAAAAATTGCTTAGACCTAAGTTGTCATTAATATTTTTTTTTTTAAATCATGATGAAAGCAACCACTTAAACAAATTAACAGTCAACAAAATAAGCCAAATAACTGATACCCATTATGATTTGTGACAGAGTGGTACCCCATATAGTCAATTTACACCCTAAACAATTGCTACCTATAGCACCCCCCCCCCCGATATCTCAAAAGAATTCCTGAGATTCTGGTAACACAGTGACCAACACAAAAGAGGGGGGCGGGGGTTCCCTCTGTCACATATCTTGCTACATATGAATTAACTCTTTCATAATTATTCAAAATCTTTTTTCTGCTGTACTCTATCAGATTCTCATTGTCATTGATATTTTTGGTACTGTGGAAAAAATGAACTGAACTGAACTGAACTCGAAACATCAATAACATACTGATAATTTGAAGGAGGGGTTTATCCTGAAGGTGTGCTCCAGACGTAGCTGCAGATCTCTGGGGTTTTCGTGTGGCAAGAGCAAGGTGAGGTACTCAGACGTCGGTGACTTGGTGTTGGAAGAAATCTCTGAGGATTTTATCGATGTCTGCTTGGAAAGCCGTGTTGGATGAGGGCTGGAAAAGAAAACAAGAAACATCTTCTTCTTTTCATTCTTAAACCAGACGTGGTCGTAAAACAGAAACTTTTTATTCCATTAAATTAAAGCAGCTGCGACCGTTACTAACGGAGCTGTCCTCCAGTTATCGCAGGACATCACAGGCCCGCCATAAGTCAATCAAAAGTAACCACAAGTTATAACAAGCCAATCATACTATTCCACAAGTCAAACAAATCATTCACATCCGCGATCCGGTCTCGCGTCAGCTGTCACTTGACAAAGGCATTCCAACAAATTTCTTAGTTTACTGGAAATCGAGGATTCATTTGAGCTTTGAAATATAGGCCTACTGTACGAATTTGTTTTATCAAACTAGAGTAAAAAATACTACTTTCCAATGACCAAAGGGACAATTGATGATTCTATGGACTTTGTACTAGAATTCAATTTTATATTACAAAAAAAAAGAGAAAGGATCTAAGTTACCTATTTGATAACTCTGTATTTGCTTGCATGGATATCTTTGATGTGCTGTTAATAAATAGACATAAAAACATCAAGTAAAAACAAAGGCACTTGCCTGGTTGCACAAGCAACCAATCATATCTGTATAATTATATCTGTATAATCATTTAACTGAGTATCATTCGAGCAACGAAACCCAAATTTGTAATCAACATCAACTTTTGATGTGGTAAATTCTCGGAGAAATTTGGCTGTATACAACAATTATATATTGAAGAAGTAGCCTTAATTGTTAAATAATGATTGCCCTCCTTCTGCAGTGGTAGATTAAAATCCATGGGGTAAGACACGTGTCAAATTCCGAGATTTAATTTTTCAAAAGGGTGGTTGTGTTGGGCCAAAAGCATTTTGGAAAATTATTTCGAAATTACTTATATTTCAGGAAAGCTTTAGGGAATTTGGAATATTTCTTATATGTTTTGGATTATAATTAGTAATATTCGTCAGTCAGTATAAGTGATGATGAGCCGGTGACAGCTCGATTGTCCGAAGGTTCGAAAGTCAAAAAGTTCGTTAATAGTCCGAAGGCTCGATATCCGAAGGACTATTGCATGAAATACTCGGATTGCCGAACCTTTGGACTAATGCACCCCCGGTTAAGAGAAATGCGTGTTCGGACTATCGAACCTTCGGACTATCGGGCGGGCCCAGATGAACCACCACAAACACCACCCTATAAATCTTCCATCGTTCTTATCAAACATTTATGGATATTTGAATCTAAATGTGCAATTTACTTCTAAGATATTGGATTTCAAGGATAAACACTATTTACTCAAAACAGAAATCGCAAGCTTACCGGAATGGAACGTGTTGGCCTAGTATGTACAGGAGCAGCACCACAGTCGCAAAACCCAACACGCAAACCTCTGCTACACATTTATTCATTTCCATGGCAACTGGAAAACGGATGAAGCCCGATGTCGCCTAACTGTATGTTGGTTGTTCACTAGAACACAATTTCTCAGGTCATCAGATTGAGTTCTTTGTTGCTTATATTTCAATCTGGCAGATAGTAAAGAATTGTGGTATAGGCCTAAGTATAAGCCGCAGGACAAAGTCCAATGGTGAAGCACACTGCGTACATGAACCACAGGTATATACATAGACCACAATGTTACATGCTGCACCAAGTCTGTATGGTGTAGATTTAATTATTAAGTCGAAACCAAGAGAATGAATAATAATAGTTCAAGGTGAACATCAAAACATCACAATTACAGCAGTATTACAGCAAATAGTGTGTAGATGAGTCACAATAAGTTATCCTTACAATTATGCACGACCATGTGAAGATCAGTGAAGTGTGCAGGTCAGTTACATAGCCAGAAAAACAGGCCCACAAATTCTTCTGATATACACACCTGATGTCATAAAACTTGAACAAAGCAAAATCGCCGAAATTTATCGTTTCAACATGGAGGTTTATGACACCGACGCCTCGCCAACCGTGGTTAATGCTTCCTAGTTGATACCATGTATCCACACATGGACAGACATGTTGTAAGCGGTTTTAACTGCTGTTGGGTACAGAGTCCAGTTTTTAGGCATGTTTTATTTGTACTTCTGGCCACTAGACTAAAGGACAGCTAGAGGTTTAGAGGGATGTGGCATATGGCCGTATCTTGATACTGACACCTTCTGCAACCAATTTCCACTGTATATTCAATCATCAATTGGTGCAACTTTAAATTGTCTCATCCTAATGGAGGATCAAAGTATGTTTTTTGGGGGTGTATTTTTGTAACATTTTTTTTACAAGAAGTTCGCATTTGTTTGGGTTTTTGTTTGTTTATTCCAAAAATTAATACACTTACAACTACATTGTACGAGAGGAAATGCAAGAAAACATGATCACACACACATTCATAACCACATTTTATAGAGTTTCAGGAGAAAGGAAGATTGATTTATTACCTTTAATTCACAAACATGAAAAGTAATTTCAATAAAAGAAATTGGTTAGTTATCCACATTTATTTAAGGGAGGGGAAGAACAACGCTGAAATTTTCTAAAACAAGTTGTGTGTAAAAAAAAATTAATATATATATATATAAACACTTGAACTCGGCAAAATAATTGGGGAAGTAATTTCACAGCAAGGAAATCAGAATACACTGCATTTGTTTGATAAAATTTATGAGAATTTGAAGCCCTTGACAGTAAGCCTTGCATGCTCGCATACTTGCAATAAGCCAATACCGCAAGCAAACAGCTTCACTTAGGTGGGACTTGAACCCACTACCTCCAGCATTATAGTACAGATGTCTTAACCACCAAATTTGCTGGGCATGAGATCAGCCTAAATTCGAATCCTATGCAACAAATAAGGCAAGCAATGATTTCAACGGAATTTCCCCATCATAATTCTACGAAATGCCCTTCCCAATTAAGTGCAGTTATAATCATCACATTAATAAATAAAGTAAAAAAGTACAAACTTATCACTAGTTACACAATGCTGGTACAAAAAGAACATTTTCTAAAGAGCCTTCTTAATAGTTCAATAAAACACTGACATATAATTACTCAACAATTAAATATGCATTTATTACGATACATACGTCATATAAATATAATTACAGAGTTGTCTAGATCCATCTACTTAAAAATTACAACCGTGCACTTAATAAATATTTTATTACTTAGCAGATCCATCTTGAAAAAATATGACAAGTTTATCTTTATTTTTTTAAATTATTTTTCACACTATAAACTTCTCAACATTTGTGCTTAAAGCACAAATGTTGAGAAGTTTATATGATCCCTCTCATTTTAGTGAATAAACTTTAAATTTGACGGAAGAAAAATAATGGCACACTCCTTGTGTTTGGCTAAGCAATTTCAATTTACTAGCACTGTACATGTGTTGAATGAACACAAAATATTTAAATACAGACTACCAGTCATATTGGTAGAATTGCTGTATCAATTCAGCTGGTAACCTGTGACCCATGCAGGCATCACATTACATTTACACATGAAACCACATCCTCCACTGCACTGCAGCATATGGGTTAGATTGACCTGAAAGTTTACATTCCACGATCGGCAAGATTTCAGTTCAAACTTAGCTGGTAATAAATAAAAAGCTTAAATAAAGCACACATACATATATAATAATAATAACCGGCATTTAAGAATGCTCTTATTAGTAAACTAAATCACAGTGCTTCCAGTATTATTATTACCCCTGATCATTGGGCCAATGAAACAATCCAAATACCATCTCAGCTAGCTCCCTGGGGAGTATAAAGCTCGATGCTGCCTGTTATTATAGGCGCAAGCCAGCTTATTCAATCACAATAACCATCTCTGCCCTCACAGGTACCCATTTACTCCTGGGTGGAGAGAAGCAATGAGTGACAAAGTGCCTTGCTCAAGGGCACATGCACCATGACCCTGGCTGGACTCGAACCCACAACCCACAGCTTTACCCGAATCCAGTGCCCTTAACCACAAAGCCACAGCACTCCACGAGCTAGCTATACGAGTTAGCTATACTACAAAAGTTTAAAGAATACAGTCAAATAGATACTGTTCCAAGTGGTTAGTAGTATTTGTAAAATTAGTCATGTTAGCCTCTAGATCTCTTGGTGATTAATGTTTTCCCTTGATGTTGTCATAGAAAGGGAAGGCTAGTGAAAACTGTGTTTTTAACATCTCACCCGTAGATTCTGCACAGATAATTTGCTAAAAGAACATCGGAACAGCGGTAATTCAGCCTTGTTCCCATGGTGTCGAGCAGTACGCTCCCACCACTACCTGCTCTCTCACCCTGGTATTTGGATCATTTGCGTACATCCAAAAAGTTTGGATATGTATGCAAATTAGGAATAGTCTGGTGCCTGGCTGTACTTTAAATGAGTTTTTGTTTTATCAGCGGTGTCTGGGATAAAAACAGAAACAATCGTCGCAGAGTGAGATCCAAAAACATTTTTTTTCAAAGTTAAAATGTTACTATCTTATCAAATCAAAATTTACTTATTACATTACATATATTATAAGCAAAACGGCAAGGGGAGACTGAATTTTGAGGAGCGCATGCAACACTACAATGAAAGTTAAAACACTGTTTTCTGTTATGGTTTCCATTATGTTTACTACTCAGTGTTATTCGTACATGTAATTGTTTTGTCTGTAATTCACTGTTTGTAATATCCCGGAAAATGAAATAAATAAATAAATAAATAAATAATACACAATTGGGAATAACGCTATAAATCGATATAAATCCATTACATGTACATGTACTTGTTAATTGCGGTTGCTACGGCCGATTTGACCACTTTGGTAATACTGGTAAGCACAGCTGTCTTAACAATCACCGACAGTCAAAGAATAGCTGAATCAAATCACATAAACAGTCACAGTCAGTCAATCATTCTAGTTAATTACAGTACCTCAATGTTAGAAAGACGAATAACATGTATCTCTTTTTGAAAGGAAATTTTTTATTTTAGTACATTTTTTCTAAGCTATACGCTGTGGCATACACTGTATTTCACATTATTATTGTTAATCATTTCTGGTAATGAAACCAAGGATTCCTCACAATTTTGCTACTCATCGGCTGATATCCATATTTTTATCGATGAATAAGTTCTTTCATGGTTTTTAGAACTTTTATCTTAAGGCAAGATAGGCATAACATATTTGAACTGATCGATCTGCTTACAAATTCTGTTTACAAATTTGTGTTTTCAATTTGAAACAAATGATTAATTTTAAATGAATTCACAATTGTTCATGATATTTTGCATATATATATATTTACCCTGTTAAATACTGTTCATTATTACTGTCTATAAAAAGCAGTGGCGTAGCCACCGGGGGGGGCGTGGGGGGGGGGGGCCACACCCTCCCCCCCCCCCCCCCACGGAGATTTTGAGTTTCTAAAAAAATTATCATTGATCTACATGACGCCATGGGCGTCAATCCTGGGGGGACAGGAAATTAAAAAAGTTTAACCCTAAAGTGCCCAACTTCGAGCGTTTTTTTAATTGTTCAAAATTCTGTAAAAAAAAAAAAAAAGAGTAAAAACAAGTTTTACTCACTCAATTTTTGGCTATTGCTCTTAGGAATATCCTTGGTACATTAAAAAGTCAAAAGTAGTCACGAACATAGTGATACACCCTGAGACACTGTCCTGCACACAGGGGAATTCCGCACTTTTTGCAGAAAATACGAGAGTCAGTGCTGCGCCCTCTCGCAAGAACTCGAATGAAACAAATAAATACCGGTCGTACCTGAATGGAAATGATATTATTTGAAAGAGCGAGAGCGCCCCCTTGTGATAACATGCTTACTCTACGAGGTTTGGCGATTTTAAGTACGAACATTACCTCGTACATGTACAAGGTTTGGCGATTTTAAGTACGAACATTACCTCGTACATGTTCATGGTTGGCAATTTCTAACTAACAAATAAACCTCGTACATGTACGACTTTGGCACTGAGAGAGTTAAATACTGAGCACTCTAGTGGAAGAAATCTGAAATACCGCGTTGGTACCACTGTATGGCCCCCATCTGATCTAATCTTTTAAGAATCTTCAGTTCGCTTTTGGTGTCATGGCTGTTCTTCGCCATCTTGAAGAGGCGGAACTCTTCGTCGTAGTAATACAAGGTGAAGTTATCGTTGTAGCCCATGCCGTACACACTTACCTGGTCACAGCCCGCGAACAGCGCCGTGAAGAGCATGATGGTGCCCGTGGTCGGACGGAACGCTCGAAGGTGACTTCTCACCCAACTGCAAATAATTAATGGTCTCAAACAATTTTTCTAATGCAATTTTATTTTTACAAAACTAAACTACAGCAAAAATGTCACACAATCGCATTCTTGCAAGAAGTTTCCGAGAAACTCTTTGTAGCAGAGCTATATTAAATTACTAGAGCGCTAACTTCGTGTACAAAGTAATGCCTGCTGGGCGCATCCATGTTTGTGCACAAACCTTTGGAGACCTAGAAATTTGGTACGGCTTTTGTATTCCATACCGGTGCGTTATCGAAGCCAATACGCCCAAAACTGAAACGCGCGATCAGCAAAATGAGCGTGTCATTTTGTTCTACACATACAGGGCAACGCATGCGCGTATTCGCTGCAGGTGCTTTTTGCAATGACGCGCTTAAGTTGTATGTGTCTGTTCTACTTGCGTGTTGCATGTAGAGTACACTTTCAAAATTCAATCTATCTAATTTCATTATGTTCTACAAACATGCACATGAATTCAAAATGTCTGCGCCCAGGATGGCTTCAAAGCGTCTCCACGCGCAGAATGAGGAGTTAGCGCTAGTAATTTAATATAGCTCTATGGCTTTGAACAATTAATCCTAAAATGTCCTCAACATTTTGCTCTTCATTCAGCCTTATGGTTGCGAAGGCTTTGCATCGTGCGTGGATAAGCAAAGTTAGTCCGATTACGTACTTGACAGAGCAGTGAACTGATTGCACTCCAAACAACATCGCTTTTTGAACGTTCTGTTTTTCAAAATATATGCTCAGTATGATTGAAATGTTAAATTATAACAGTAGCAAAAATCCTAAAACTCATGTCAGTGAAAAAAAATGCCGTTATTGATGCAGAAACATCAATACTGGTCACTGGTAAAGCTGACCTAAAAGTCGTGGAAAACATCGTTCGAAAACGTCCCCAAATCTATTTACTAATCTCAATTCCTAGGAATCCTTACAAGTTTTTATTTCAGGAGTAGTTGAGCACTAATATCATTTAAGTATATTCCGAATTTCAGCTCAATCTGTTGTTGCAGACGCTTGTGTTACACCTTGAACTATCACAAAGGTAAATTTCGCCCCAGATTTCTCAGTGGCGAGCAAACATACGTGATACGATTGGAACCCATTAACACTGAACTTACATTTTGTGAATGTATCTGATGAAATCTGGGTGCAGAATTCGGATATCCTCGGCGCTGGCATTGATCTTTGGTTCTTTGTTGTGAACGACGTTGCGGATGTATCTGTAGTCATTATCTCGGCATGGAATAAAGATGTACATCATACCCTTGGAAAAAAAAAAAATCAACAATCAGTCGGGAAATACATTTTCCAGGCTTGTGTATTTCACTGACAATGCAATGTCATGTCATTTTTAATGAGTGACAAAACCTTCCATAACAAGACGAAGCTTGCCAATTTGAGCTGGACCCAAAAGTTTTACAACCGGTCAACTGGTCAAACACCCCCCCCCCCCAAAAAAATGAATTAGCAAATGAGAATTCGGTCAGGTAAAAATGAGTTTTCAATTGCTAAAATCTCATGGAAACCTCTCAAAGAAAGTCCCCCCCCCCAGCAAATTAGACTCCATTTATGCCACTGTGTCACTGGATACCAAACCAATACCCAGACAAATGTTATCTGTTTCAAGCTTGTTTTATTATAATTTTTGTAAAAGTGAAATAAAGAAATTGACTGGAGAGGGGTTTGAACCTGAAACCTCCGGATTACCGTTCCGGTGCTCTACCAACTGAGCTATCCAGCCCTATGTTGGCAGATCCCCATTTTGTCACTGTCATTTGTTTTTAAGGGGCGCTTGTTTTATTTCATTAAATTCATGCAACTTACATGACTTAATATATGTTTTGCCTATATACTCTGGATTTATTTGTCATCATTTTCTATAGGGTGCCATACTCAACAAGTTTTGCTTCTAGCACTTCCCATCCGCTTCAGATTACACTCCCTATAATTCCTTTCACACACTGTCCTTTGTGTTTTAGTATCTATGTATTGTTCTTCCATGTTTTTTATTTATTAACCCTAACCACCCAGAATCCTTCAAAATCCTCTTTGCCAAAGTGGAGATATTTGGAGGATTGAGGTTACATGGAAAAAGTGCATAACTGATTTCGTAGGATGCACTTTGTCAAGGTCTTGGGCCAGGCCTTGTGTTGATTTTGTTTTTGCTCAGCTTTGCATAAATATAGGTCTGGATCATGCTTAAAATCCTCCGTACTGCTCCAGGATGTCTCACTGGCCAAGCCTCAACATCTTGACAGTCACTGCCGCAGGATTTTGCAGGATTCGGGCAGTGGTCAGATCACCCCTCCTTTGACCATATTCAAGAAATAATAGAGGAATTTGCAGGATTGAGGCTATATGCTATTTTCTATGAGGCCAATTGGAGGATTTTGCAGGATTCAGGCTACATCCTAGCCAAAAGGCCTAGGGAGTTAGGGCTATTGAATGAAGTAGAAATAAAGTGAAGTAAAAAAAAAATTGGAAAAAACAAATGAAAAAAATAACAGAAAAAAAAGTAGACTCAATGACTACATACACTCACCTTATCATTGGGGACGTCATCTGGCAATGTCTCCCGCAAGGAACGATCAAAGAAGAAATAATGGGTCGTTCGGTTTCCAACGTCCATTTCATGTTTTCGGCGCACTGCTTTGTTCAGCCTGAAATCCACGTTACATTAAAAAAGAAGATAACTATGTATCAAATCCACAAGAAATTATTAAATATTTGACACTGGCAAAAACCCACAATGATGTTTTGTTTTGTATATTTATTGGTGTGTTTTTCGCTTTGTTAACCCTAACAGTCCTGAATCCTCTGATTATTTGTGTGATTTTTCACACATCCTAAGACCTTTTCACACTAGACAAAATTTCGGGTTGACGCAGGGTTGAAAACGTGCAGTGTTTCATACTTACAAATTTCAACCCTGCATCAAGCGCGAGATTGATTTATGATTTCACCCTGGGTTGAACTCAACCCTGCTCTAGACTAGGGTTGAGATTTTCAGCCCGGGTTCAAACTCTCGCCAGGGTTTAAAAACAGTAGTAACCGAGCGAAATAAGCTCGGGTTGCCCGGGGCGGCACTGCGATTGCCCAGGATGTAACCTCAATCCTGCAAAATCCACCAACTGCCTCATCCACCAACTGCCTCCATGTAAAAATTGCATACAGCCTCAATCCTCAAAAATCCTCCGTTATTTCTTGAATGTGGTCCTTGAAGGGGTGACCACTGCCTCAATCCTGCAAAATCCTCCGACAATCACTGTCAATATGTTGAGGCAGAGCCAATGACATCCTGGAGCAGTGCGGAGGATTTTCAGGTATAAACAACACAAGGTCCAGCCAAAGACCTTTGCACAGTGCATCCTCCCAAATCAGCCACACACTTTTGCCAGGTAGCAATCCTGCACAATCCTCCAGTTTGCAAAGAGGATTTTGGAGGATTTGGGAAGATTCGGGTTAATACATGTAGGTACAAAGCCACAGTGGCTTAGCATGAGCGTAAGACGTCATCAGCAATAAAATTTCACTCAAAGTGATCTCCCGAACTTTCCATTTACATCCGTGGGGGGGGGGGGGGGGGGGGGTGTTGTGCACAAAGCTCATGTTTCTCTATGTTCAAACCACAGCGTCCACAGTTTCCTTGTAACTACTCACCTAAGGACCATGTGATGACCGTCAATCTCGCGGCCTCTTCTCGACCCATTCAGAATACCGCCATTGCAAACCACGGCACACGTCATACACTGCGGCCGTTGACTGTTGACAAAATTGAAGATTGACTGCTTGGCAGGAAACAGCCGTAGGGTTTTGATAATATCTGAGAAATTAAAAAAAAAAATGAGAACTGCAATCACGAATCATCCAATCAGTCCAGAAAAGCTGGACTCAGAGTAAAGAAAGTTCTGTTGAATTGATTCAGAACGACAATCACAGGAAGTCTTTTCATGCATCTGGTCTGCACAATGGGCCAGATGAAGTATCCTATACAATAACATCACTGCGCTGAACTCTTCACCAAACAACCAATTGGGGAGTCGGTGAGTCAGTCGGGGAGTCAGTCAGTCAATTTAACGATTGTCACAGGTTGGATTCAACCCCAATACAATATTGGGCCAATACTGACAGATGTGCAATATTTATTATCTGCTGGGGTTGGGAAACTATTATCTTCAAAAATATTACACTATTCCAAACATTTTTGTGGAGTGATGTAGCCTCTTGACATGGAGCATCGAGCTCACGGCGTTTGGGTCGTTCTGAAGGTTGTGGGTTCCAGTCCAGCTAGGACTTGCGTTTTATGTCTGCGGGCAAGACACATAGTCACCATTTGCTTTTCCCCACCTAGGGCCACAGATTGTTACTGTGCCTGATTTAGTTACTCTGTGTCAAAACGGCCACATTGACTTGTGTAATTCCCAGGGATCTGAGATGATCTTTGGAATCTGTTAGAAGGGGCTGAGCAACCACCTAATTTAAAAAAAAAAGGGCAGGTCAGAACCTCGTTTAACACAGGGTGCTCTTTACACCTGATCGTAGTGCTGTGGCCTCGTGGTTAAGGGCACTGGATTCGTGGTCTGCGGGTAAAGCTGCAGATTGTGGGTTCGAGTCCAGCCTGGGGTCATGATGCGTGTGCCCTTGGGCAAGGCACTTTGTCACTCATTGCTTCTCTCCACCCAGGAGTAATGGGTACCTGTGAGGGCAGAGATGGTTATTGTGCTTGAATTAGCTTCCTTGCGCCCAACAGGCAGCATTGAGTTGTATACTCCCCAGGGAGCTGAGATGGCATTTGGAATGCTTCATGTGCCCATTGAGCAGGGCTTATAATGATGTAGCTCCTTGAGTATCAGTCCTGGTGGGTAGATACTCTTTTAAGAGAACGCAAATATTCAAGAGTTCCTATGGAATAAAACGGTGACCAAAGTTGGGCCTACTACATATATCAGCAACATTTAGGTTACAGGTACATTGTACCTCCCATCCAACTTAAATCAAAATAGGTGTCTTAATAACAACCACCACCTACCTTTGTATCCAAACCGGGACTTTGTGCGGTAGCCGAATGGCATGAAATATGGCCGGAGTCGATTGTATTCTGATTGGTTGAGCAGCTGGCTGTTCATTAGCATATGAATGGCCGGGGCATACAGGCTGGAAGACCAGCTGTTATTGCGCAGCTTGTGCTGAAGTGAGCTTGGACATTTCTGGAGAAAAATTTATACAAAAAAATATGAAAAAAAATCTAACTTTACAAACTCCTAAAAAAAAGCTCACCTACCAAAACTGACCTATCACGGTAGAATCGCTTCAATGCAGCTTGTGAAATATTGTCCAATTACATGATATATAAATGGACGCGGAACACGCAAAATCTGAGACAAAGAAAACTTAGTGTACAAAAACTTCATAGGGTTGTCTAAGGGGCGTGGCTAACTTGCAAACGGCGATAGGTCATTTAAAAAGGGAATAAATATGTGTTTGGCCGGTTTTAAACACTATGTTTAAGACCGCTTGGAGTCTGGATGCTGATAATTACCTAATTTTCCAGCAGCAACCCAATGTGCCATTTTCGTGATTTGCTCTGGCGGTATTTGAAAGAAAAACTCTCAGTTTTAATCCCATATCCAAAACAGACAAATTCTCTGATCTTTCAGGGTTGCATTTTTGGGGGTGACCATGTACTGTATGCAAATTGAAACTAGTTTTATATAGAAAAATGAAACTTACAGATTCCGTAAAACGAGGATTTTTCCTGAATGTCAATTCTCCCTTTCTCCCTCCCTTGAAGGAGACAAAGACAGCAGAGTCTGACATGTCCTCCCCTCGGACTATACGGAAGACATTCCCCAACTTCCAACTTCTGGATCAACAAATCCATAAAAAAGGTTGTTAAAAAGCTGAAAATGAATGTGAAAGTGGACAGTAATAATACAAATCCAATTAAGCTCCTACCATCTAAGCTGGAAAACGACTTTGGTATACAGGGTCAAAAGTAAAAAACAAAAAACAAAACCAAATGTCAGGTCTATTGTTTTAGTGAAGTTCTGCATGTAGCCCTTTCAAAATCTAGGACATAAAAGCCCAATTCATAAGCTTTCTTTTAGTACAAAAATCATTCAAATCGCTCATTTACTTTTCAAGTTACGGAATTCTAAACACAACCACTGGTGAGTTAACGTTCTGTCGAAGGATCACAAAAAAGTGTGCGCTCTTTTAACAAAACAAAACCACTTCACACACATCCTATGTGATTTGTTTTTGTTTTGCTGAAAGAACACTGAACTTTTTTTGTGATCTGTGGACAGAACCTTAAAATGGTGGTTGTGTTTAAAACTTCTGTAACTTGAAAAGTACATGAGTGATTTGAATGATTCTTGTACTAAAAGAAAGCTTATGACTTGGGCTTTCATATGCTAGATTTTGAAAGTGCTACATGCAGAACTTCACTAAAACAATGGTCCCAACATTTGGGATTCGTTTTTTTTAATCACCCTGTACATGTACAGGAAGTGCTTAATATTTCCAAGTAATCCCCAAAACCTCTTATGGTTAAAAAAACCCAAAAATTAAACAGCAAACAAATTATAGAATGAAAGAGAATCATTCTGAGATGTGTGCCAAACCTATGCAAAATTTGTAGACAGCCGGTTTTTTTTAAACAAAACATAGAGCAAAGTAAGCTGTGCAATGTTACGTCATCCACACACTATTTGCAAAAAGAATCTTCACATTTGAATTCTCAGTTAATTAAAATAATGTCCACTTAATGTAATTTGAAATGGAATTCTAGATTGCAGTGGGTGATAATGTGAAAAACTGATGACTACACGTCATACTGGATGAGTAAAAAAAAGCAGAAACCAAACCCCAAAAATATATTTCATATTTAAAGAAATGTGTAGCACCAAAAATAAAAAATAACTGGAAAGCCAATTTCAGAAACTACTTTTAGAGGAAAAAAATACTGAAATTGCTCAATCTGTTCAAAGAATATCACCATTTAAATGCAATGACCCTAAAACCTGTTTTGTCTAAAAATAAAAAAGTTTTTTTTTCAAGTAGTTTATGAAATTGGCTTTAAAGTCGTTATTATTTTTGGTGCTACATTTTTTTTTAAATATGAAATTTTTTTTGAGGTTTAGGCTCAGCTTTTTTTTAACCCACCCTGTATATATATGCGTTGTTTGGGCAACTCTTCAAGACTGCTTAAGCCGAGTTGCAATTCATACATGTACTTCTCTCAAATTTTAACCAAAGCAAATTTGGGACGGCAACTGTCACAATGAAATTCAAGCAATTGATGTCATGAAATAGCTTCTTTGGCTTATCATAAAACATGAACCAACCACTATTAAGCTGAGATAGGTTCAATAATACCACAATCGTTTTTAAAAATATATTGACATAAAAGTCAAACTTGTTGCCGTTTATTAGGCCAAAAAAAAGTCTCCGTTTTCTGGTATGCGCGCACGTCGCTGTAGGCATGCGCGTCGGCAAAACAGAAAAGTTTTGTTTGTTTGGCGGTTTCTCAAAACCGCCAAACTCACTGGTTTGAGTGGAATCCTGCTGCTGCACAATTTTGACGTGTTTTTAGATGGGGTAATGATCAAGAATAAGCTTCATGTGGCCTCTCTGGACTCCCATATATTTGCACTAAGTTTAGTCGGGCACCATTTGCAGTCATCAGCTGACATTTGAAGCCAAAAAAAAACCAATAAAAAAAACCCTGCATTGCCGCACCACTTTTTTGGCAAGCTCCACACCAGAAACCGGAGACTTTTTTTTGGGCCTTAGTATGAATAACACTCAAATAACAATATGGGTAAGTTTGCATTTACCTTGCAAGTTTGATTTCATTAAAAAAGAACAACAAAAAAATCAGGAGCATTGTTAAATTTTTGAAAATGAAAGAAAACAAACAAAAACATCAACAAACAAGAAGGATTATAAAAATAAGCCTTCACCATCAGAATGAAATGTGTGGATGCTGGACAAATTGTTATGTGCCAATTAAGTTTAGTGAATGTGGAAATGAATTTTGTACAAAGCTGACAGGGCCCAATTTCATAGAGCTGCTTAAGCACAAAATTTGCTTAAGCACGAAAAAACATTGCTTAGTAAAATTAGGTTACCGGCCAAAACTCCATGTGATGTACATTACTTGTGACTGGTATTTAGCTGTTGTTTACTTAGCATAACAATCGCATGGAGTTTTGGCTGGTAACCTGATTTTATTAAGCAAGACGTTTTTGTGCTCTATGAAATTGGCCCCTGCAATTCAGCAGTAAACCAAACAATGAAGTAAATATTTTATTTGATAAAATAAGATGGACGGAACAGACAGAAGCTGAGGCGAATCAACAGAGAAAAGGCTAAAGAGTAATTGAGATACTGGTTCTTGAGATAACCGTTACCAATCATTAGTAGGTATGAACAGGTGAAATTAGGTGCAAAAAGCATGAATTGGTGTCATATATTTTTAAAAAGTGAGTCCTGCCTTTAAATTCGCCAAGGGGAGTGGAACATGCATAGTTTACATACATTCAGCCAATCTGCAACAAATAAAAACCAAATGTTTAGACAAAAAATATGCACCAAGAATTGAGTACATAAACCTCAGGATTGGAGGGTAGGGGAAGGGGTAGGTATAAGGGAGTAGGGGGATGAGTAGGGGTAGGTGTAGGGAGATGGGTATGGGGTAGGGGTGGGATGGGTAGGGGTAGGGATAAGGGAGTAGGGGGATGGGTAGGGGTAGGTTCAGGGAGATGGGAAGGGGTAGGGGTGGGATGGGTAGGGGAGGGATAAGGGAGTAGGGGGATGGGTAGGGGTAGGTGTAGGGAGATGGGTAGGGGTAGGGGTGGGATGGGTAGGGGAAGGGATAAGGGAGTAGGGGGATGGGTAGGTGTAGGGAGATGGGTAGGAGTAGGGGTGGGATGGGTAGGGAAAGGGGTAGGGATAAGGGAGTAGGGGATGGGTAGGGATAGGTGTAGGGAGATGGGTAGGGGTAGGGGTGGGATGGGTAGGGGTAGGGGTGGGGTGGGGGATCGGGTAGGGGGAGGGGTACGGGAGAGGGATGGGGGGGGGAGGAAGAGTGAGGTCCAAGGGGGGGGGGGACATGGACTTCACTCTACCCTGATGGGCACCCTCCCTTCTGCTCCTTTTGGTTTTGTTCCAGGAGAACATTTCCTTTTAAGCTTTCCAAATACTCAACCTTCTACTGTTTATGAGATCAAAATAAACATCCCCTCAAATAAGTGGAACTGACAGTGCGCCTGCATAACTCACTGCGTACACATGCATATTGAAAACGGGACAGATCTAGGCAGAGTTTGGATTAAATAACTACATGTACCATACAGATAAATGTAGGCAGATGGGGAGGGGTTGCCACAAATAAGTATATTCAGGCATGCATGGGGTCATGCAATTATCTTAAAATTAAATTGGGCTGAGGTCTTTCCCAAACTTTGGCCTCGCCTCCCGGTCCAGAATTATTTCAAGTTTGTATATATGCATGAACCTAAAACATATGGGCTCCAAACTTTAGCCTCATGTCAGAAAGAGAAAATTATGAATATATTTATTAACCTTAGATAAAAGCAGATTCACACCCCTTGAAGTTTCATATTTTGTTTAATGAGTCATGCATGTTTACCTTTTGGAGAAAAAAAAACCTGCCACAAAAGGTTCCATTTTGCAAACAATAACAATGCTGCCGCTTAGCGTGTGCATCGGAACCGGGTACCCGAGTACCGACTGCTGATGTAACTGGTTTCAGATTATATTATGGGATGAGGTACATTTGTACCTATAACCAACTTTACAAATTACTCTGTAACCTCTCCATGAAAAAAACCCCAAGGTTTTGAATGTCATTTGTGGGGAATTTTCAAACTGACATAACTGAAAACCAGTCTACACAGAAAGCAAAACATATTCCACATTTATGTAGTAGGCCTATATATTTATTATCGTGCATCTTTATGAACAATCTGAACAGCAACTTGCAAGATTCAAATTTTGAGGCTGGGCTTCACCCATAAATCAGGGTGACCGTTTTAGCCAATTTTCGGCTAACTTTGACAGATTTTTTGTTAAAAAAACGAGTTTGACAGAAAATTTGACAGAATAGATTTTTTTGGCAGATTTCTGCAAAAATGGTTATTTGACAGAAAACATAGCAAATATGAAAACAAAAATGGTACAACGGTGTAAAAATGCTTCAACTTTTCAAACAAACCCTTACATAATGGGAGAGGTTGGCTGGTCTACATGTAGGTGCTGAGGTTCACCGGGAACCGGACTTCGTCGTGACGCAACCGCGTTTTGCCTGAAATTTACGCAATAATTTCATAACATCTTTATGTGACTATACATTGTTTATAATAATTTGAACCTTAAGCCTAATTAAGGCAATACTACAACATCTGCATGTGATTTGAAGTGTTTATAGTGTATTTCGAGTAATTCTGGGGAATTTGGCAGATTTTTGATCAATCTGACAGATTTTTGAAGTGCATTTAACAGAATTTGGCAATGATCTGACGGTCACCCTGCCATAAATACACACCGCTAGTTGCCACCAAACTGGCCACCCAACTTGGCTGATTTGAAAACAACAAACGGGTTCAGTTTTAATTCACATACTATGTATTGTTGTATGTACTACAAAGTAGTCACCTTTCTTTTCCCTTTTGACCTGTCTTTTCGGGGTCCACACGACTGTTCAGATACAGTATACTGATGACAGAGAAGAGACACAGAAACAGGACCTGTGCCTGCCGGAGTCGACACACGCCACACGACGAAGACCGTGGACGGAGAAATCTACGGCCTCGTGGGTATTCATTATACCTCATTTCATGACATCCTACCAGGGCCGGAAGACTGGGCAGTGTAGCTCAAGTTGTGCAGGAAACACCTGAGTTTGAAATAATGTAAAAATGACACAAATGTTTGCTGAACTGAAAAAGTCAAAGAGGAAAGGCCATTTAAAGCTATAGTTCATCATATGCAGCCATCCGAAAAGTAACTGGCGTAATTATTGTTGAAAAACATACTTGGTTGATAGATAGTAAGTGGACTAAACTCCCTGTGAAATTATTCTTTCTGGCAAGCTGTCATTTTGAAGTAATCAACGAAAGAAGGCCTTTCCAACGGTGCGTCTTAAGACACACCGTAGGAAAATTTAAATTAGTAGTTCGTTTTGTTATTTGGCGAAGCGCGCAAGCATTGGCACGACGCACACGCGCGTGTGGTTGCTGTAATTCGTCAGATCAAGGCGTGACATCGCGTATAGCTGCAACCGGCTCAGTGAGAACGTGTCTCGGACGCTGAATTCAGGCCCAATTCAAAACATGATTCAGCAACGTTTGATTTAAAATTGAGACCCTAGAATGCTGTTTTTCCCGGAATATACAGCTGAAGCTGAGCTGAAACTTCATCAGGTTAGTTGTTCAGTACCCTTCATTAGATTTTGAACACTTTTGTTGCTTCAAACGAACAAAATGCACAAATTACAAATGATGGACTATATCTTTAACGTGCTAGGGAGAACACTAACACTATCCACTATCCCGATGCCTCTACTCCACCTATAATGATACCCATTTAAGTCCCACAATATGTGGGATATCAACAACCATGACAACTGTGTCATTAATGACAACCCAAATCCCAATGATAAAATTTAGGGCTGGTAACTCCAGCTAGGTCCAAGCTAATCCAACAAATCAACCAACAAATTGGTCCCCCAAAACTTAGAGAAAGAGCATCTCTGAATGGAATTGAGCCATTTTCTTTTATCGTTTTACTTCCTTGATTCCTTGATGCAAAACACTACTGGGTAGTACTGTGTCAATAGCCTAGGCTAAGGCTCGTAAGGCCAAGCAACATCAACACAGCCCACACCACGTATAGCCTACAGGCCGCACTACCTACATGTACATGTACTGCTGGTCATATTATTTGGCAATTACCCCGTGTGGCCGTGATATGGCCTGGCTTTCTTGCACTGTTGCAGCTACCGGCAGACTGATATTGGACAATACTCCAAGACTGGATGACCATTCATGACCTGCTGATAACATTAGAGCATCCCTCTAACTTGCAATTTTACAGTTGCCATTTGACATTTTTGACGTGAAGCACTGCACCGTGCCGACGGATGACATCAGTTCCTTGCAGCTGACCGTAAGGTCATGGCCAAATTCTGCTAAATGCACTTCAAAAATCTGTTAGATTAATTACTCGAAATACACTATAAACACTTACAATCACATGTAGATGTTCTCACATAAAGATGTTATGAAATTGCGAAAATTTCAGGCAAACCTTGGTTGCATCACAACGAAGTCCGGTTCGTCGAGCCTCAGCACCTAGTACTAGACTAGCCAACCTTTCCTATTATGCAAGGGTTTGTTTGAAAAAGATTGAAGTTTTTTTAAACATGCATGTATGTATGTACCATTTTTTTCTTCAAATTTGCTATGTTTTTCTGTCAAGTAATCATTTTTGCAGAGTTCTGCCAGAAATCTGCCAAACAAATTAATTCTGTCAAATTTTCTGTCAAACTCGTTTTTTTTTCTTTAACAAATCTGTCAAAGATAGCCGAAACTCGGCTAAAACGGTCACCATGCCTAGCTGCAGCTGGACTGTACTTGATTCAAGTCTCAGCCTCGACGACACTGCTTGCGTGCACGTTAAGCTTCGGGCTATGTTGTGACGTGAACAACGAAAAGAAACTTGAACAAAGACTCGAATTTTACAGAAGCCGTAACAAGTCATGACTAGCATTTTATTGCAATTTGACACAATAAGATATGGACAAAATAAAAGTACTTTGGGACGTTTGCAACATGGACATGACGTATGTAGCAGTAACTGTAATAATTTTTGGATACCAATGTATTTGTATTTTGTTTCCCAAATGAAAAATAATAATTAGTGAGTACGAAAGGCAAAGCTGAAGTGAATCCGAATTTTGTGCATTGAGTACATACACAGAGGTGTCCGAAACAACGGATTCATTTCCAGTTGAGTTGGAGTAAATACGATTTTAGACTTGTTTCACTCCGCCGATCCATCTTCTGTCTCAAAATAAATTGAATTTTAGAGTGTTATATTTTCCTGGGGTTTAAACATCAACTAAATGGCTTCTAACAATGGTTATTAATCTGGATACGAACTCAATGCTGAAGCGAAACCGAATTTCGCAACAAAATATAGTCTGCACAAAATACTATGATCTGTGACGGGAACCAGATTTACCAAATAACGTAAATTCTCGCGTGAAGAAAATATCGACGACGTCAGGTTAGTCGCTGGTATCAGAAACACCTTTCAGTCAGCGTGTTTTTTACCATGCGAAATGTATGTGTAGTACCAGCCAACGCAATGGTCTCGTGACGTGAACTACATGTAAATTTACAGCCTGTGAGTCGAGTGCAGTGTATACTTATGTACGTAGTGCATTGCGACTGTGGAAGTTTCAACGCTAGGGAGGCGTAAAAAGTGTGCTATTCTGACGAAACCACTGGATATTTATTTAGCCCTGACACAGTTGCAAGGTATGTTAGTAAATTCATTTAACTTCTAACATTTTAATGAATATTAAACTGAGTGTTTTTATTTCTTTTGCAGTTGGATTGAACTATTGAACGTAGTCGGAAGTGTCGTCCTGTGTGACGTGCACATTCGCGTTTCCAGGTGGCCGCGCGCTGGTGGTTCATGGCAAAAATCAGGCGATTGTGTAACTTGTAGTTCTAGTTGTATGAGCCCCGTTCCTGTTCTACTTACTTTTTGTTTAATATTGGGCTCACAACTAGTTAGCAATAATGTTTAAAGCAACAGGACTAGCACTGGATAGAGGTCAGGGATTTTTCGATTATTTTTAACTAACAAATAAAAAAACCCAGAAATTTTGGTTATCGTCAGGTCCCAGCCCCCGCCCCACGCGGTCCTATTTCTACGCATTCACCTTCAATTTGTGTGTGACAACGCGTGCACGGTGTAAGCGTTACCTGCGCAGATTATCAGGATTATGAAGGGTCGAGGATATATAAAACATAGGCCGAACGCGGAACGTTATACTAGTTATGCGCTTTCTCCCACCCTTCCCCCTCCCTTATTCCAAACGTTTGGACTAGACATGTACCAGTCTAGTATTTAGCCTCATTTTGAAATCACCTGACTTCCCTCTCATGTGCAAGAAATGTCTCCTTTAAAAATTGTTTTGAGTCTTCATTCAAACTTGGTTGGTGAAATACTAAGAACCTTTTCTTTGCCCAATGGAATTTTTGGAGAAATTTGCTGGTGAAAGAGTAAGTAATGTTGGCCTGATTTAGTTTTGTGCGTTTTAGAGCACTCCAGGTCCCAATCTGGTGGTGCCCCCCCCCCTCCCCCCAAAAGGGGAAAAAATAATGTATTCTTCAATAGCTTGAAAAGTAAGCTTTTTTTTCAGTGTTGCTCCCCATCTCTCCCAAAAACAGGGCAGAAACATCTAGTGCCTTCTGCAGAAGGCACTAGATGTCAAACAAGTAACGGATAATTTAGTCGTCGTTTTGCTTTTCCACGACAGCGCACCAGATGAAAATTTAACCCACTAGAGGCGCCTGAAAGCGCTATGGTACATGTACCCCACTAGTCTGAGAATTTGGGAATCTCAATATTGTGTGTCTTGAAAACATGCAATACAAGAGAATTGACTGGCACCTGAAACAACCAGTCCTTGGACTCCGCTTTATCAGTGCTGCATCAATCAACTGTGCCCAAAGAAACATGTGGCATGAACTGCTCACTAGTCCCTACTTACTACACATTTCTCCATCTAGTCAGCCACCAAATTAATGACACTGAATAAAGAGGTCAATCTTTTCAAACAGTTGGACCATGGTTGGACAGTGGTTGGACAGTCGAGTTTTTAGCCGCATTTTGAAATGACTTAACTTCTATCTCGTGTGCAAAATATTGAAGAAATGCCTCCTCAAAAATTAATTGAGTCTGCAAACTTGGTTGGTGAAATACTGAGGACCTTTTTTTTTTGCTCAATGAAAATTTTTGAGAAATTTGCTGGCAAAACGTGAGTTAAGTTGGCCTTATTTAGTTTTGCAGGTTTCAGAGCACCAGTCTGGGTACCCACATACATCGCGCACACAGATTTTTTGATTATCATCACGTGACGGATGTGCACAATTAACCACACAACATGGACGACCGCCGTGGCACTAAACATTTGTTGTATGCAAGCCACCGAAATCATTAACATTTTCATATTTTAGACTTTTTGGTTCTATTTCTATGGATCATTACTAGCTTTGTGAATGACTGCTGCATGGTACTATGAGGTATGTGTAATGGTATCTGGGTTGGGATAATACTAATAAAGGGAAAAAGGACCCGATTTTGTAGGGGGCCTTTTTTTTTTTAGGGTCTCTCACAATCTCACATCTACAACGTTGTTTCGTCTCCAACGTTACATGTGAATTCCTGATCAACATGTCAGCTGGAGTTACTCAAGCTAAGTCTAGAAATGATCACCTGCATGTCTCAGCTATATTTTTACATGCACATGTAGCAGCTGAACTGAGTTTCCAGATGTTTAAAACAAAATAGCCTCGAGAGCTTTGAGCATTTTGACAAGAAGCTACAAACTGAATTCACCATCACTTTTATTTCACATTTCTTTAGCCAGCAAATTATTATCCCTAATCCACCTGTATCCAATTTTCTAGGTTGGTTTGCCTGTGATCATAAGTATGCTGTGATGTACATGTACCCATCTCACTCGCCAGCGATCCACCGCATGTACAATGTATGTGTGGCAGTGTTTCCCCTGCCCATTCAAACGTGAGGTGGCCCACCTCGCTACTTTCAGTGACCACCTCGCTCAATTTTTGCAAATATCACCACCTCACTGTGAAGATTGGCAAAAAAGGAAATATCAATTGAAAAATTTTCATTTTGTGTAATATATGAGCATTTTCCTTTACCTCCATCTATCAAGAACTCACAATTTCGATGTGTTTTTGGAATCATCGCGCATTTTTGTGAGGGCTGCATTCTTTTCAGTTTGCAGACTGTAAATTTTGTTTCAATCATCAACTTGAATTGTTACCACCTCGCTCAGTTCATTAGCCAGGGGAAACACTGATGTGTGGCACGTTCTGCCATGATCTTTTGCTGTGTTACTGAGTCAGTTTCTGAGTTGATTCTGTGACAAATCCAGCTTGGATCAGTACTGATTCCGCCAAAATCAAGCACTACTAGGGCCTGTACAGTATAGGCCTATTGGTTCATTTTTGGAACAGGTGTCATGAACTTGTTGGTATACATGCACTTTGGTACATACATGTACATGTACATGTACATCACATTACAGCATTGCAGTGTTTTTGCACTCTATTTACGTATAAAACAACCATACCTGTACATGTATATGTTGAACTATGCTACAATTCAATTGAAAAACTAATATCAGTACGAAGTCATCCATTGAAATTTGAATGCCACCTGTTCAAGTCAACAGGGATCACTGATGTGTTTCCAACCTGCAGCCTAAACTCCAGTACCCCTCTGCATCCATCTGTATCCCTCTGCATCCATACATAGGCCTATATAAATCACAAATTTTATCAATAGAAAGTGTTCATGGCTTGGGCAAGAGAACTTAAACGTGCATTGTACATGTATACATGTACATGTACATGTACATGTACTTGCAATGTAACAATCACACCAAGGTTACCACTGACTAGTGTCATTGAGTTGTCAATTCACTGGGTCAAGGTTGAACCTTTTAACCACTATCTGCCCATGAGTTGACTTGTTCTTCATGTGAAGCCTTCATTTAAATGCCCTCTATCCCCCCCCCCCCCAAGTGCATGAAGATGAATACAGTATACATTGTCAACCACATACAAAATGTAGGAACATGTACAATCTGTACATTGTACGGAAAGATTTCCATATAAGAAGTTCACTAATTTTCCTCTGTATTGACCAACAAGCCCCCAGATAGCAATTTCATGTCATCAAAGTCAATTTGAGCAGTGAGAAAAAAAAAGCATTTTCTTAGAAAAAACTTAGAATTTTTCAGTCCAATCTCATAGGGTTTGTACACAGGGCATGCAGGGTGTTGAGTGAACTTCGTATATATGGAAATCTTTCCCATTGTACATGTTGTACTTGTTCAAACTACTGTGCATACATGTACATGTACATGTCATGTACATGTCATGTACTTTGTATTTGTTTGATCAAGGATAGGAGCAGTGTACATGTACAATACTTAGCTCCATGATCAGACAGCATTTTCAGGTGAACATGACTCACTGCAAACCCACAAATTGTTGTGGTTTCTGTTCAGTAGATGCAATGACAATTTGTCAGATGATATGGTTTCATACTTGCACTTATTGCCATGGATCGTTTATGGTTGGTTGGTAGGTCTTGTAGTCTCACATGACAGAAAGTGTTGTTGATCTCTTTCTATGTTCTAATGTTTGATATGAAATGATACATGAATCTGTATACAGGTAGATCATCATTGAACAAATAGTTGCTGCATGGTACATGTACATGTACTAACATGTTGGCAACTTCCCCTTAGCACATTATATTTCAAATACTAAGGCCGAAAATTTTTTTCTGGTTTTTGGTATGAAACTTGGCCCCAAAAGTGGTGCGGCGACACAGTGTTTATTCCCCAAACTTTCATTTTCACTTAACATGTTGGCTGATGTTGCAGATGACGCTTCGATCCCCTTCAAACTCTCAAAAATATCCTTCAGAGTGGAGCTTGAAGCCTTGAACTACATGTAGCAATGTCAGTAATGAAAATTGAATTCCAGGTGTGAACACTATAACATCACCACTTTTTCCTTTTTTATTCTCGTGTAACTTGTATGTTATAAGGAAATCCCAGTTCTGCCGGGTAATTAAAACTCCAGTATGCCAGTCATAAATCAGTTTCATTGATTGTTAAATACTGCCTAGGACAGTGCTAGGTACAAGTCTAAAACAGATATTGCATCCTAGATTAAAGGGAATATACAACATTTGCAAACATCGAAAAATAAAACTATCAAGTTTTTGCGAAATACCTTATCAGGATGTTGGTAAATGACAGTCTAAAGCATCCTGTAAAATTATGGCACCTGGTATACTGTCATTTTCAAGAAAAGTGGTATTTTTGTATCAATTTCCAACGCTGATCGGCCGATCAGCGTTGGAAACAACTGGCTTTTTTTCAAATACTGGCCCCAATTGACCATTGCACTTGTTTGCAATCGATTACAAACCTATAAACGGGTACGAGCCAGCTAGACTGGTTCCCTGACCTTACAATTCCCCCAATGTATGTAAACTGCTCTGTTTCTTCTTATATGGAGTCAGGGAACCAGACTACAGGAAAATGATCGTTTTTCTTGGTTTTTATAGCATTTTCGAACCCAAAACCTCCAAAAAGTTAGTGTAACTATATTTGCTTTATATTTCCAACCCCCCAATTCCACCCATTTCTGAAAATTACAGCAAAAGCAAATGATGTATATTCCCTTTAAGGACATGTACAGATGCCTGCTGAATCGCATACACACAGTCATGTGAGTAGCCTCGTCCATACATGTGCAAAAATGTACATGTACATGACCGGGGGTCAGTTACATGTACATTGAGTTCACCATACAGTATTAATGGGAGGTGTTTTTTTTTTTCTCCAATTCTGCAGATCTAGTGAAAGCAAAACAAGATGTCTTCAAGGAAGAAGGTTTTATTGAAGGTCATCATTCTAGGAGACAGTGGGTAAGACAATGAAATTGTATTACATTTATTGCTTGTCTATCAAAATCAAATCCTTCTGAAATTTCAAAGCAAAGTCTTCATGCCATTTGGGAAGTTTTGATCACTGTCACCCGTTGGCTGACAATGATCATTTGGATTGATTATTTATGCGTGCTAATGATAATATTATATATAATAAGTGGTACAAATTTGAAAACACTAAAAATGAACATATTTTACAACCATGTAACAATTGAATGTTTTTATTTTGATGGTGCATAATTTACAAGTATACATGTACATTTGTACATGTACATCAGGTGCATCTGCACTTTACACGTACATGTAAACTACATGTACATGTACATGTACATGGATGAATGTACCGCATGCGTGCATGCAAGTACATGTACATGTATTAGCCTTAATGTACCTAAATCCATCAAAATCTACACCCCTGTTTTGGAGGATTTCGGTGGATTCAGGATACCTCCATACTGAAAAGGTTGGGGGATTTTAACCCTTACCCTACTAGACCCTCCAACGCATGCCAATATGTGCCTCAAGAAAATCTCCTATGTTTTTTGCATGGCCCTCCAATATCTGCCATGTCATTTCAAGGGTAACTGGACAGGCACTCCAATACATGCCACAGAGAACAATGAGAGTCCTCTGATAACAAAGTGAGTGCCCCCAGTTGGTCAGTATCAGGCACCCTCCAGGGCCTCCAACTCCTGCCAATTGGAGCCTTCACTGACAAACTATAGTATCTGCCAATAAACTGCAGCTGGAGGGCATTGGCATAACCAACTGACATGCAGTAAACTACCCTCAGAGAGTAAGGGTTAATGGAATCAGGACAGTAAGCTTAGCGGTACCGGTACTGCAGGATTTTGATGGATTTAGGATGCCTCCATATTGAGCAGTTGGGGGACTTTGATGGATTCAGGATCTCAACAGATTTACTCCCGGCTAATTGGTGGATTGTGATGGACTCACTGGCCATCAACGATTTTTTGCATGGCAAAATTGATGGATTTTGGCGGATTCAGGATACTTTCTAGTAAAAATACCCAAGGGGTTAGGGTTATTCATATCCTTTCTCTATCCTCCAAAATCCTCTTTGCAAAATGGAGGATTTTGCAGGATTGAGACTTTATGGTAAAAGGGTGTGGCTCAGTCATATTGGAGGATGCGCTGTGTCAAGGTCTTGGGCCGGACGTTGTGTTGTTTATAAAGCCATGCACAAATTTAGGCCAAGATACTTTTAATCCTGCGCACTGCTCCGGGATGGAACTGGCTCTGCCTCAACATATTGACAGTGATTACTAGAGGATTTCGCAGGATTGAGGCAGCGGTCACCCCTCCGAGGACCATATTCAAGAAATAACGGACGATTTTGCAGGATCGAGGCTGTATGCAATATTTACGTGGAAGTAGTTCGAGGACTTTGCAGGATTGAGCTTACATCGGAACACCCTAGCAAAAATGCCCAGGGAGTTTGGCTTAAATTAACAATATGTATAATGGATTAAAAGATCTGCTCTTGTGTAGTGCATAGGAGTGATAATATCATATAAGATGATGTGTGAATGAACACACACCTGTGGTCCATGAAGAAAAAGGATTGCAATCCAATTCATCTGCTTATCATCGCCTACACAGGCATACCTCATATGAATAGCAGACTGATAAAGAACAATGGTACAATCAGCCAAAGAAACGAATAGGCTCACATTGATTGTCCTTAGTACCTGCAAAATTAGCTGCTTTGTGCATGCAGTCTGTTTGCTTTTTATTATGCATTCAGATCTCGAAATGTTTCGCTGTGCATTAATTCAGAGTAGTGTGTTGTTTTGTTGTCGAGTGCAACTTTTCCTCATCAAATTCCTTAAAGTCAATCCAACTCAGTAATTTTGAGTTTATTTCCTGTGTTGGTAACATTTGAAGGAACTAATCAGCAAATTTGTGATGCGATCAAGCTAAATGAGTTGTTTGTCGACCCTGGTCAATTTTTTTTTTACAGGTTTGAAAAGAGCACAATCTCAGCATTACTGCAGTGAAAACCGCTTGCTGGTACCATCTTTAGTTCAAAAAATTATGGAATTCGGAATTCCAAGAGATGTGATGAGGTGATGTGATGAAGTGGCCCTATTTTGGCCTGAATCTCCAAATGAAAGTTCCTGACAAACTCCTCATTTAGCCTGGTCGCATCAGATTTCTTTGAGCATCTCAAAATTGAAAAAGTTTATGATTTTAACAGTTCCATGTTTTCATTACGTCTTTATTTTTGCAGTGTCGGCAAGACCTCGTTGATGAACCAATATGTGAACAAGAAGTTTAGTAACCAGTACAAGGCCACCATCGGCGCTGACTTCCTGACAAAAGAGGTCATGGTAGACGACAGACTGGTCACAATGCAGGTGGGTGTGGCATCTACGGGTGAATTGTCCAACAAGATAAGAAGCCACAAGGCTTCAACTTGCTTTGCCAATCTGCTTTGTGCACAATGAAAGATGGCCTCTCCTCATGTTGCCTGTTTCGCGCTTGATGCGATCACACCTGCAAACTGTAGCAGCCCGTTTTATATTAGTAACTCGTGAACACACGTGTTTACCTGACATACCTAGTGTGGACATTCTTTTGTTTTTCGTGCAGTTAAGAAAAACATGAAAAAAAATCATTTTACTCACACTGTGAAAACCCTTTCAACCCAATTTTTTTGTCTGTGATTACCTTTAGAGTTTCTCTTCATTTTGCCACCAATAAACCTAACCCAAAAGTGCCTCTAAATCTGTTTTATAGAGAGGGGAAACATTGTGTGGGCAAGTCCACACAATGTCGTTGCTACAGTACCTGGTTTATGTGGACATCTTATTAGTTCACAAAGTGAATGTAATTAATGCTTTTACACACACACACATACATTTACCCTTTGAGCGTTATAATAAAAAAGGAAAGAGTTCCATACCCGGATATCACTTGACACCCTGTGCACAAACCCTAAAAAAAAAAAAAAGCTTCAATATTTGACTTTTTAGGACATGTTTTCACTTTGTTATGGTTGAGAGTTCACTGCAGGGAAAAAGTAGTGATGTCCATGTATGGAATTCTTATAGTAGTGATCACTGAGATTGTACCATGTTAGGGTACATGCTGCACACAATCTTAAAGTCAAAGGTTATAGGGAGCATTGCGTGAGTGTGTGTACCACGTTGTTGTGGTTGAGACTGGTTCTGACAGGCCTGGAGAAAAGTCTAATTTGGCGAACAAAATTAGAAGCCATTGTTTTTAGGTTGAACGAGGCTCGTTCGCATGTGGTATGCAGGCACTTAACGCTCCTTAGACCAGTAGGGTTTACAAAATGTGCATGCATTTCATCTTTAATAAGTTTGCGCCGGAATTATTTTGTAGAATATGGCGATTTTTGAAAAAGGCGAAATATAGCAGCCATTTTCTGATATTCAGCCAAACACCACAAATACTGATCGGCAAGAGTCATTACAACAGTGTTTGTATGATATTTCTTGTCGAAACCTCATATTTTTCAACACCCCAGGGTGTGCAACTGAGCGTAAATTGTAGAACAATAGGCCGTGCATAACGGCCAATTCAAGAGCAACACACAGAATGCCTCCACAGACATCATGGACTGATCATGTGTGTGTGTGTCCAAAAGACACGAGGGATTAGCATGTTTAGACGTCACGTGGAGGCGATTCGAGGCACGCTTGACGTTTTAACCTGTCAGCCGTTCATTCCGCACATCTCCAAAAACTTTAACATTTTGTCAATACTTTGTCATTTCTCTAAGATATGGGACACAGCTGGGCAGGAGAGGTTCCAGAGTCTGGGTGTAGCGTTCTACCGCGGCGCAGACTGCTGCGTCCTCGTCTTTGACGTGACCAATCAGAATTCCTTCAAGTCCCTAGACAGCTGGCGTGATGAGTTTCTGATCCAAGCCAGCCCCAGAGATCCTGAGAATTTCCCCTTCGTCGTACTAGGCAACAAGATAGACATGGAGAATAGACAAGTACGTACATGCCACTAAGGCTTATTCCTTATTGCCATAACGTTCAGGAATCCACGGAACTGTAATTACTGTTAAAAACCAAAGCATTCCACGCAAATGCAGTGAAATGACATTGGTGACAACTGCTAGTTAATGGCCATAGCAACAAGCCTCTACCTATCTGCTCGTCGGGGCAACAAGCAAATACTATCGATAGCGATCTATTTATCGGAAAATTGACCAAAAACTAAATATTTCTTGAACACTTTAGCACTATTTAATTGTGTTATTTTTTATCTGTAACCGATCAATAAAGAGTCATTTATGAAAGGTTGTGTTAGAATCAATATTCAAACTGACAGATTCGATTGAATGTGTTTTTTGTTCTTCCTTGTTGCTTTTTGAAAGGTTTCGACCAAACGGGCGCAGAACTGGTGTGGCAGCAAGAACAACATCCCTTACTTTGAGACCAGCGCTAAGGAGAGTATCAACGTGGAGCAGGCCTTCCAGACGATAGCCAAGAACGCCCTGGCCCAGGAACCCGAGACAGACATGTACAATGATTTCCCCAGCCAGATCAAACTCACCGATGACACCAAACAGGATAAATCAGGGTGTTCATGTTGAGGCACCTTGTGGTACCCGTTTCTCCCTAGGTCTAAGCCAATGATACGCCTTCATGCACCCGGTGCATGGCCGGGTGCCTGGGTGATGTATACTTACCAATACTCTCAGGGGGATTGTGGGAGGTTCTGCTTTTAAAACGGATATAACAAACTACTCACTAAATTTGAATCAATTGCTCAGCCATTCTTTAGCTGTGGCAAGCTGTTCACAGTGGCTTGAAGAATAAATTTTTTCAAAGCTTAGAAAAGACCATCAAAACTATCAATAAAAATGAGATAAACGCAGAAAAATAAATGACTTTTCTTAAAAAAAAAAGTGAAGTCTTCCAAAAACAAAAATCTTTCATTATCTTGCCAAGAAACAAGCAATTGAATGACGAGTAACATTGAGCTGAAATCCTCCCATTTTCCCCCGATGCTCATAATTATTTTCTCATTTTTGTCCTGTTTTTGATTTTTTTTTTTACTCCAGCTAGGCAAGACACAATATCTGTAAATTAGAAGCACTTTGTCAGATACCTTGTGTGATGGTAATGAATTAAATACTCTCAACGCTCATAATTATATTTCATGCAGTCACTTGCTGTCTTTTAAAGTCAGTATTTATTGGATTATATGTAATCAGTCAAATAATTGTCGACATCAAAATATTTCTCTTTCTGTCCAGCACGGCCTTCCGTAAGAGGCGGCCATATTGAGATGGCCGAACGGAACAACTTTATTTGCAGGAAATGGGGCATACACTGTCAAGTCAATGTGTAGAGATCAGTGGTCTCATTGACCTGCGAGAAATAAAGTGGTCTCAAGTTTGGATGAGAGGTTTTTTTTGGGGGGGGAGGGGTGTTGGAAAGAGAAAGATTTATGTTCTAAGTAACACAGAAACTCCTCATATGTACCTGCCTCCATCATTAATTTCGGTGTGGGAGGTTGTTTAACATTAATGCCTCTAAATATGTTTATGTTAATTTGAAAAGAACTAGATAAAGCATTAAGCTATATCCAATTGAAAAATAACTTGATGACAAGTTTTGTTTACATATCGCCATCAGTGGATATTTTAACTGTGGGTTGAGACTTACTAATGTCATTGGATTTTTGTTTTAATTATCACAGTTTTTGAAGTTGTACTCACTAAAAACAACATGGCAAAAGTCTGTAAGGCTTGAGTACAGTTGCCAACACCACAGGTGACAAAAATGTAGAAGCCATTTCCAATTTGGTGAAGTGGCAATACATGTAAATTAATTCCTCAGTGACGTAACTAACCTGACATGACCTGGTCCATAGTAGCCTTTAGTCAAGTCCTACGCGGCGTACGCGCTTACCCAGACACGTGACGCACCCTGGATGCTGACACGTAAAGATACTAGCACGAGCGATGAAGCCGCGAGGGCCTTCACCATCTCGTGGAGAACGCTTATGTTTTTCTTTACATATGTCTACCGATTTGGTAGACATTCATAATGCATTACCCGTTGTGAATTGACCAATGAAAATGCAGAATTACTAACGTAAATCAGCCGTCGTCTGGCGCCAGACAGCACGCGTGCCATGGCGCGGGTGCTGTTGCTGGTAACTGCAAACCACCGTTAGATGATTGGTTTATATTGTTTGATTTATATTATGTGAATAAATGAATAAGTGATAAGTTCCATGAGATAGTAAAGGCCGCGACGTGCCAGCATCTGGGGTGCGTTACGTGTCCGGATGGTCCGGGTATAGGCGCGTGGAACTTGACTAAAGGCTAGTTCCATAGTGGCTCAGAAGATGGAATCTGTATCAAATAAAGGTTGTGTTTATTCTGAAAAAGAGAACCAAATTATTTGTAGAAAATTAGAATGAATAGAATGAAACAATACCAAGAGAATGTAACTAACCATCCTTAAAGTCTTTTTTTTTTTTCACAATCACCTACTGTTCGTACTACCCAGTATATTGCCACTGGCTTTTCATAATTTCTGTAATGACATAAAATGTTTATTATCAACACATAAGGTATTGAACTTAATATTGAAAATGTAGATATGTCAAGATTGATGATTCCGCGTTGGAGTTGTGTGTTTTGTGTAATGCCACTGCACTAAAATGCGTCGTGTAATCCAAATGCTCTGCGAGCGAGCTAGCCTCAGATCCGACATTTTCTTGCACAAATTGAAGATTTCGTTTTAAATACCGAGGGGAATCCCACATTCATCAAAGAAGCACTCTGCAGAATAGTTTTCCAAATTTGTATTGGTTTTATATCTCTTTAAAAACCAACATCTGTACATTTGCATGTAAACAAACTTTATGTTATTCTAAACATAATTTTCAAAAACTTAAAGATGTGTAATTAACTAAATAGTTGTACTAGATTTTTTTTCTCCATTAATAGCTTGTGAACAAGTTTTTTTCGTTAGAAATTGGTTGGGGCATTTTCTGAACAATAAGTGGGCATTTTGTACATCATACTGAGATAAAAAATGTCGTGCCCACTTACCTTTTAAACTTTATTTGCTTTTTTGGGGAGGGGGGGGGGGAGTGGGGATGGTAAATGTAGGGGCCCATCACGTTAACAATTCTAGAATCTTCTTAATTTGAAACTGGAATGAGTTCTATTTGGCTTATCATGTATTTGTGTAAAAATTGAATTTTTTTTTGTAATTGTAAAGTAAGTTGAGCAAACATGATTTTTTCCTCGTTAGGTTTCTATATTATTCAAAATAGATTACTCAGCTTTGTCTAATGCCACGTAATACATTGTACCTGTCATTGTGTATAGGTATTGCAAATAATGTAGCTCACTTATAACACTTTTAGTTTATATAAAAGAAATAAACATGAGACCCATTGAAAAAGCAGGGGGGAAATCACATTAACTAATGGCAAGTAGTAACAAATTGTTTTTTAGTTATAAAAAAAAAGAAAAAAGAATTAATCTGGTTTGTCTGTGATATCAATAACAAATGTTATGTGTTTTCCAAAAAAGATCAGCAGGTTACACCACTAGTTCAAAATGCTATTTCTATATTTCCTGACTGCCGTTGCTGTTTGAAATCTAACAAAGCATTAAACATGGACCATTTACCTTAAAACACTTGCAACACACTCACGATCACGCTGTCAAAAGTATTTTCTGATTGATCTTTTTGGTTGGAATTTCATTGTAAATTTGAATTGTTGGTGTGTCTTACCAATGTGATGTTATAGCCACTTAAGTTCTTTCTCCGAGCTTCACAAAAAAAGTAAGATATGAAGCTTCTCAAAATCGCTGAGGATAAAGCACCACGTGTAACAATACATGGCTAAGAGGCAAAACCGATTATTAGATTTACAAAATGTATATGTTATCATTTTTAAAGTGATCTGCTTTTCACCATAGTGAACATACTGTATTGCCAACAGAAACCTCATGTTCTGTCCGACTGTGAAGTTGTGTCATTTAACAGAATTGTGCATAGCGATTTGAGGGAAAAATGTCGCGACCTGACGCCACTTTTTTTCTTCATATATCATCTCAATGAAGGTCATTCATTGCAAAAAATGATGATAAGACGTGAATCTGGGACTGAGAAACATTTCCACTTTTGTTAGGAAATACTTAGAAAATTTTCTTGACTCTCTATAGACTTTGTACACAACGGCTGAAGTGGCATCAGGTTGCAAATTTGTTTCCCCCATTTGGGTCAGACACCTGATTGCAGTAGAGAATGGTATTTTCTGCAAGATTTATAAAAAGTAATTCAAGGTTTGAAGTCTTACTTTTAAATAGTCATTCAAATGCATCCCCACATATGAAATGCGGTGAACTGATGAAAATGAGTATATTATGTAATTCAACTTTATTAGCTATGTACAAAGTACACACCAAAATTTCAAGTGTGGTTGCTATACTGAAAAAAACATTATGAATGGAAGACTTAATTCAATTAAAAATATTTCAACAGTGCTTCAAATTGACAGCAAGTAAGATTTAGGTGGAATATCCTGACATGCTCTTGTTAAATTTGGGTACCTTGTTTTTTTAATTTCGCCTCGCCTCTTTCTCTGTGATCTATCAAATCTAGCCATTTATGTTGATTTCTTTTTTATTTTATGGGAAAGACATTTTTTCTTGTTCCTGAATTTGTTTTTGCTGATGTAATTTGGAGCAAAATATATTATAAATACGGACTTAGAGACTCCTTATTTCTAAAAGTACGGTATCTGAACTGTGAATTATTGTTTTGGTACATGCTTACTTGTACTGCTATAAATATCAAATCACTGTGGTCAATGATAATAAAATAAAGAATTTTGGTAATACAATACGTTGCGTGTAGGTTTGAGTCTGTTAATTCCACAAATATAACAATGCCTTTGATGATTAGGTGGTTTGAAGTAGGATAAGATGCAGTCGAGACAGTCACCAGTAATGTCAGAATTAAGAGGTGATAAACAATGACAAAGGAGCATTGTTTGGAGTAGCTTGACTTGAGACTGGACTTGTGTTTGACTTCTGAGGACTTGGTTTTTTAACTGTCGTGTTTGCATGCGTTTTTATTTTGGGGAGCATGAATTACCATATTTTTTAGGCCGGAAACTCCCAGGAGAGCAATTAAATAATTGTTTAAAATGAAGTTTTCTCGAATGTGATAACAGACATAAAGTCCTTATTTATCTTTTTGGGTTTTTCCGGTAAATAACGTTTCATAGTAGAATCATGAACTTGAATAAAAATCCTAAACTAGAAACATCCCTCGCGTTTTTTCGTGTAGACAGAGGGCGTATGTCTACATGATAATTATAAACAATGATGTCATCGGCACCGACACTGCGCGCGCATAAACAAAGGGGAATTCCCGGGCCTGCTGACATGAAATTGCAACGCTTCCTTCATTCAAGTTACAGGATTGTGTTATAAATGTGGACGTAAAGATAGAAAAATCATAAAATGGTAAGCATTGTGAATATTACCTAAGAAACTAAGTACTATTGGTCTTTGTCGTGCTCCTTATGGCATTTAAAGAAAGAACAGAATTGATGTTCATCCTACTTCCACGCTTATTTTTATTACTCCTAGATTATGAGGCTCCACGTAGTGGAGCCTCATAGTTCTTGGACTGAGTAGGAGTATATTTTTATAACTCGAGCCATCTACATCTAGACGTTTATACTTTTTATATACTAGTACTGTAGGCCTAGTACTAAGTAGTACAGTAGTAAGGTTAAAATTTAGTTCTGGTTTGCCTCATTTATAGAAATAGGGTGCGAACTTATTTCATCTTTTTCTTTCAAATAACCACATGTTTTTTTTTTTGGGGGGGGGGTAATCCTTACTTTTAGGACTCTGTTCCTATATAGGAAGGGAAAGACTCAACATGAGTTTATATGAAGAAAAAAGAGTGCTTTAGCCTGCAAAAGTCACTTTACTGGACATTCATCTGCAAAAAGTCAGTTTTGAACAGAACTTGTAAAAAAATAGAGGTGTCCTTAAGATAAGGATTACCATTTTTTTAATACATGTATTATGTATTGTCAACAATAGCATGGATGTAAATAATTTTAGAATTGGGGTGGGGTGGGTGGCCGGGGGAGGGGTGTGGCGAGGGGAGAAGAGGGAGGAGCCTATAGGAGGGGAGAATTTGATATTTCCTGTTTGGCTATCATCACACATCCCTTCGCAAGTATTGGATGCGGTAGTGATGGAGATGCATTTCTTTAAAACCCTCTTGTTGTATTTGGCAAATCATGAAAAAAATATTGGTAAGTATCCTTCAAATTTGCAATCATTATCATATCCAGGGGGATTTTTGGTTGCAACCTTTGAGGAGCCTTTCTGACTTGGAGGATGCCAAGAGAGCTGCTCGGCACATCAATGATCACTCGCTGGCCAAGATGGTCACGAGAAAGAAGAAAGTCCGCAAGTCCAAGAAAGAGGCGTTCCAGTCAGTACTGTTAGCTCCTAGGTTCTGCCAAGAATCCATTCCACCCAAGTCTGTCGTTTCAAGTATTTCCACAGAGAATCAAGAATGCAGGTAAAGTAGAGAGTGTAAAGAATTATTTTTAGTTGACTAATTATTAGCTCCTTTATATCATTTTGTTTTATAAAATGTCTGTGCACGTTGTTCATTTTAAACACATGCTTGATACTTGCTGAATGATGCAAGAAAAATTGTAGACGGATTGATTAATTGATAGGTTTAATTGTTCAATGCATTTAAAAAAAAAATTTCGATTGAACTTTTGAACCATTGGATATTTAAAAGTTGAAAAATAACATTTTGCTGATGTATTTAGTGAAACTAACTTTGGTTTTGATGGTCGTTTTTAAGGGCATCAAAAGAATGAAAATATCTTACAAATTTGTGAAGCAGTTAGTGGCCAACAGGCAATTAATGTAGCAGTCCTCTTCAAACAGTTTCAAATTGACAAGACAAGTCAAGTTCCTGCACTTTCACTTAGTTGCTTAAAATTGTCTCAGATTGTATTTATACTTCACTTACTACAGTCCCTGTACCGCCCAAAACTGCCCAAGTCCTCTTTGGTTTATAGATTCTTCAGTTGATAAATACAGTGTGATATAATGTAGTTCATGTTCAAGTGGATGAACTAATCTTTTAAAGGGAATATACATCATTTGCTTTTGCTGTAATTTTCAGTAATGGATGGAATTGGGGGGTTGGAAATATATAGCAAATATAGTTACACTGACCTTTTTGAGGTTTTGGGTTCGAAAATGCTATAAAAACCAAGAAAAACAATCATTTTCCTGTAGTCTGGTTCCCTGACTCCATTTAAGAAGAAACAGAGCAGTTTACATACATTGGGGAATTGTAAGGTCAGGGAACCAGTCTAGCTGGCTTGTACCCGTTCATAGGTGTGTAATCGATTGCAAACAAGTGCGATGGTCAATTGGGGCCAGTATTTGAAAAAAAGCCAGTTTTTTCCAACGCTGATCGGCCGATCAGCGTTGGAAATTGATACAAAAATACCACTTTTCTTGAAAATGCCAGTATACCAGGTGCCATGATTTCACAGGATGCTTTACACTGTCATTCACTAACAGTCCAGCAAGGTATTTCAAAATGATTTGGTAGTTTTATTTTATGATGTTTGCAAATGTTGTATTTTCCCTTTAAACAACGAGGACTAATTTTTTTTCATACTTAAAAAAATTAGAGTGGCCTGATATTGTATCTTTAGCAAGGAAGCTTCTTCAGAGGCAATTTCTTTTCAAAGTTGCTATTTTGTAAATTTCTTCTATATAGTTCCAAACCGTGCCAGAAACGACAGATTCAGCTGTTTGTGAATAGTTCCTTGACATCACCAGTCTGTCTGCAACTACATCCGTCCACTGCTATCTCAGCTTTGAAAGGATTACTACAAGACAAAGTGGGGATTGAACCAGAGAAACAACATCTGTTTACAAGGAAAAACCATGAGGTAAATAATGACGATATTCAGGTTAATGTAATGGCCAAGTTCATGGATGATTGGAATTCGTCTGTGAAGTGTGAAGATCAATGTTGTATAGTGGAGATCATCACAAGACCAATTTATAGAGCAAGCACAAGACCACCCAGAAGACAAGCAACAAATAACAGGGCATGAACAGTGACAAAGGAATGCCTTTGATGCAGTTCAATAAGCCATTTCGGAGTTACAAAAATGTACTACTGTGCATGCGCACATCCCATGACAACGATTAGGGTCGGGGGATAAACAGTTCGCCACACGCGTGCAAAATCATAGCGGGTACCAACGAAATTAGGGAAAAGTTCTTATTTTGAAGTAGATGCAAAATGTTGATTGTCTTTAACGGCACCATGGTTTACGTTGTTTCGTGTGCTCCAACTTTTGTGTGAACAAAAATTTCCATCTTCTGTTTTATTAGAACAAAATTGCAAAATGTGGATTCGATTACCACGTCCCCCTGCTTTGCTTATCTTCCAACACTAAATCGTTTAATCTGATGTGCGCATTTGCAGTAGTACATTTTTGTAACTCCGAAATGGCTTATTGAATAGCTTGTGACTTGAATGGAGACTGGAGGTCTTGTGATGGTCTTGTGATGGTCTTGTGATGGTCTTGTGATGGCCTTTTGATGGTCTTGTGATGGTCTTGTGTTGGTCTTGTGATGGTCTTGTGATGGTCTTGTGATGGTCTTGTGATGGTCTTGTGATGGTCTTGTGTTGGTCTTGTGATGGTCTTGTGATGGTCTTGTGATGGTCTTGTGATGGTCTTGTGTTGGTCTTGTGATGGTCTTATAATGATCGTACGGTTGGGTCTTGACTACAACACTATAGGCAGTACAAAAATCTGCTAAAATGTTACATATTTCAAGCCTTAAGCAAGTGTCTATTTGTTGTCCTCAGCTCCGTGATGACCTCTCCCTAGGGAATTATGGGATTGAGCAAGACACCAACATAGAGTTACGTCTAGTGTCTGGGTTGATGGGAGGAGCTGACGAGCAGAAAACAAAAGGTAAATGTTTAGACATAGAAGTAAGGGGAGGGGAGCACAGGCTTTGTCGCTGGGGTGGGGCGGAGTGGTTTCGCACATTTTTAAGGGGAATTGAGGGAGTCTCTTCTTCTGGAGGGCGCAGTTAATACATTTTCAACAATTAACATGTCTTTTGTCTTCTACAAATTACTCAAGGGAGCCACCAGTCTCTCAGTTATATGATTGGTAGCGCTGATTAACTTCCTGTCTCATGACCTTGTGATACTCTAGGGAGAAAGAAGACAAAAAGAAGGCAAAAGAAATCTACATCTACAGACAAAATGAGTAGACAAGATAACTCCAATGAGGAAGAACAAGTGAGGTCACCTGATGAGTCTGGCCATTCGCCTACATCCTCAACAATTGAGGCCAATGCTAGCAATCAATCAACAGGTACAATGTTACTCATTTGGTACCAGTATTGTATTCAAGTTCTTTGAGTCAAATCAAAGTGTGAGTCTTGAGTCAAGAGGTTCCAGTCTGAGTTATTTCATTCACACGCGAATTCAAGTCCAATCAAATCAAATTCGTACAAAATTGATGAGTCATGAGTTCTCAGCATCAAATCCAAGTAATGATAGTCAAGTCCGAGTCCAAATCTGAATAACTGATGAACTTGATGTCTCATGACCTTGTCATATTCTAGAGAGAAAGAAGACAAAAAGAAGGACAAAGAAGTCCGGGAAGAAATCTACATCTACAGAGGAAATGGATAGGCAAAGTAACTCTAATAAGGAAGGTCAAGTGAGGTCAACCGATGAGTCGGGGGATTCCCCTACAACCACAAGCGACCAATCAACAGGTACAATTCTACTCATTTGGTACCAGTATTGCAGTCAAGACATGGGAGTCAAATCAAAGTCTGAGTCTTGAGTCAAGTGGTTCCAGTCCGAGTTATTCACTTCACATGCGAATTCAAGTCCATTTAAATCAAACTTGTACAAAATTAGTGAGACATAAGTTCTTATCAAAGGATGCAGATCGAGATGGATTCAAGTCTGAGTCCTGGACTCGAATCCTACAACACTGATTGGCATATTTTTAGTATCCAAAGACTTCTAAATCTTGCACTTCGGTTAACAGATTTTGAAAATGGTTTTGAAATTGATTAAGGGTACTTACATTTTGTAGGGAGAAAGAAGAGAAGAAGACGACGAAGACAAAATCATGTCGAAAAGGCACAATCCTGTGAAGAAGCCACAATATCAACCAGCCTAGATCAAGATGACCAAGGAGATTCCCAAACCTGCTCTTCAACTGCTGAATTTGCCGTTGACTCGGCTACAAACTTTACAAAACTCAACCTGTTTCTGTGGATTCTATGCCTCCCACTGATCACAATCCATGTCATCCTGAGCATTTGGTCTCCTCGCATGATTCAAGTCACCTCCTCATCTAAAGACGGCACCAATGGACGAACATCCTCAGGTGCTGAAGAGCAAGAACGTTCCGATGACTCTGGGCATTCTTCAACCTCAGCAGCAAAACCTGGTAAAATCCTAGCTAGGATTGTCACGTTTTTGTTGTTTGTTTCGGTTTACACGCTGGAAGCTATATGCTTAATCTTAAGACATGAAGTCTTTTGTTTGCACTCTTTCAGTATTATTTTGAAAAAAGACAAGCCAATTAAAGCTGGTACAAGAGTAAAAAATATTGTATTCAATTGATTTAAAAAAGGCTAGTCACCGGATGTCTTTTCATGCATGTGGTCTTCACAGTGGGCCAGATTTAGCCCATTCATTAGCGTAATGGTGTAGCACTACTACCTGGCTTACAAGTCACAGTTAGACCGTCGGTCGCTGTGTCAGGCAGTCAGTCAGATAGGAAAAAAATATAAAGGGGACCCCAGTCTGGTGCTCTGGAACCAATAAAAAAAAAAAACCTTTTCGTGTCATATATATCGTAAATTTTGTTGCTGATAAACATGACTTTTTCTTACAGGGAGAAAGAGGACAAGAAGACGACGACATGGGAAAGCAAGACAAAACTTGTTATTAGACGAAGCTGAAAGACAGCCTACCTCAGATGATAAAAAGCAAGATCACTCAGATGACTTGGGGAAGTCTTACACCTCAGCAGGAAAACCTGGTAAATCTCAGTATTGTGATGTACTTTCTTACTTTTTAGGGATCACAATCAAAGCTGTTGTGAATGAAGGTATGCCTTTTTGTTTGCTTAAGAAGACGCAATAGCATGCAGTCCTTTTATATTGGTGTTTACCTACAGGGAAAATACGAAGTAGAGGCAAGACCAAGAAAAAATCAGGAAAGATTAGAAAAGGCAAAACAGTTGCCACGAAATCCCCATCCGAAGAGGAAGCCATCGATGAAACGAGCAAAGGTGATCAAGCTGAAGATAAGTTTGTCAACTCAAGGGATTCCACTGTCTCCTCATCAGCCAAGACCACTGCCAAGAGAAACAACCAATCAAAAGATAAATTCTCAATTCAGCAATGGGATTTGCAATACGTACTTGCATACTACAGTGCTGTCTGAGAATTTACACAAAGACATGTTTACCCACTCACTCAGTGGGACTCGAGCCAAACTCCAGTTTACTAATGCAGATGTGCGAACAAGGTTAAGGAAATTAGAAGGGCTTTTTCCACTCATAACAGTGTGCTTCAGGGTACTCGTCCACCAACTTTCGGGCCGAATCGAGGAGCATGAATGCGCCAGGCTTCTTCCTGGCTAGCTTAGCTGTTAAGTCAGAGTCAGTCAGTCTGAGTCCGTCAGATAGGTACAAGGACGTAAGGCTGGCCCACTGGAAAAGCATCTTGTCTTGTCAATTATTGAATTGTAATTCAGGTTGCTGATAAACCAGACCTTTTCTTCTAGGGAGAAAGAGGACAAGAAGACGACGATACGGGAAGGCGAGACAAAAGCCGTTATTAGATGAAGCTGAAAGACAATCTACCTCAGATGATGTAAAGCGAGATCCTTTGGAAGCCTTGGGGGATTCGTTCACCTCAGCAGGAAAACCTGGTAAATCTCAGTATTTTGATGTACTTTCTTATGTGTTTATCAAAATCAAAGCCTGTGAATGCAAATTTGCCTTTTGCTTGTTGAAGAAGATGCAACAGCTAAAACCCCTTTAAACTTGTTTTTACCTGCAGGGAAAATACAAAGTAAATGCAAGACTAAAAAAAGATCAGGAAAGACAAGCAAAGGCCAAAAACTTGCCAAGAAATCCCCATCTGAAGAAGAAGCTATCGGTAAAACAAGCAAAGGTGATCAAGCTGAAAATAAGTTGGTCAACTCAAGGGATTCCACCGTCTCCTCATCAGCCAAGACCACTGCTAAGAGAAACAACCAACCAAAAGGTAAATTATCTATTCCAATAATGGGTTTTGCCATTCACTGATATATTTTCACAAGTATTGTATACTTAATGCTGTCCAAAAGCTGCTCCCCCCTAAAAAAAAACAAAGTTCACAAGCTCACTCGTGGGACTCGAACCCGCAACCTCCTGCTTAATAGTGCAGGTGTCTTATACATCTGATCATATCTGATGTAGCAGCTGATACAGCAATCAATCCTATTTCTTAAATGATTTTTCCCCATGAAGACTATGAATATGCATGTATTAAAACTATTTTGTTAGTACTCGCCATTGACACCTACAACCAAATAGGAAGTGATCAATCAAAATGTTTGATTGTCATTATGTTTAACCATTCCTTTTGTGATTGCAAGTGTCCCATTCACGAAATATCAATTGATATTCTGTTTAAGGACTGTCACCTCCATTATTAGCACTTCTGATTCACATAAATACTGATCTTCAGTTATGTCCTAAACTTAATGTTAACTTTGTGAACTTCGATGTTCAGTTGAATGTTTTATTCATTTAATTTACACATGAAGCCAAATCGTGCAAATAAGACAAAGAAAACGACACGCTTCTTGTTTTTTACCTTTAGGGAGAAAGAAGACAAAGAAACAGACAAATGCTGACAAGAAACCATCTTGTGAAGAGAAAAAAGAATCCCAAATCCAGCTGTTTGTGATTAGTTCTTTGAGATCACCTGTATGTCTGCAACTTCATCCGTCCACTACTATCTCAGCATTGAAAGGATTACTGCAAGACAAAATGGGGATTGAACCAAAGAAACAACGTCTATATACAAGGAAAAACCACGAGGTGTCGTACAGTTATATAAAATCTGTTTCAAGTAAATTCCTCCAATTTCCCTTTTTTCAATCCTCTTTACAGTAAGCAATCAATCACTGCTTCCTACATCTTCACTTTTGTCAGTATTTCATCATGAAAGAGTTGTTTTCTTGACGGGTTTTTAATTTTTTTTTCACCCCCTATATGTCAGCTCAAGGGTAGAATGTCCCTGAAAGAACTTGGAATTCAGCAAGACACCAACATAGAGCTACGCTTAGTGTCTGGGTTGATGGGCGGAGCCGATGATGAACAGAAATCAGCAGGTAAAGTTTATAACCAAGTGCGGATGCAAATGTAGTTGCGTCACGAAACGAAATGTTCACAGCGTAATTCGCTATGTTTGAAATTAGTTAAAGACTTGCGGATTTGCAGTATTTAAACTATTTATGATGTCACAAGTTTTTGTTCAAGTTTGCATTTGCATTCGCACAGAGTATGAGATTGCCTTCAGGGATTATGTGTTAATAATCATAAGTTTCAAAGTTCATAGGTTGAGCTAATGAACAGGTTGTTTCTCAAGTGTAAGAGTTATGAGTATAGTGTCTTATTGCATATGTGGAGATTTAAAAAAGGTAACCTTTATACCCCAAGCTGGGATCATTGGTTGAGCTAATGAACAGGTTGTTTTTCGAGTGTTAACATTTTAGAGCTATATGTATAGTGCTTCAAGACATTCGTTGAGTTGTTAAATAGAAGTCAGCAGGTACAATTTAGCCCTAAAAAGAGTTACCTCTGTAAATGTAAAGGTAGTTTTATGGTTTAGTCAAATTTTACCTCCAGACGTCTTATGTGAAGATACTAACGGAAAAATGACGAAATGATTTTCAACCTCTTGTTGGTCGACAAGGCCACGATAACAGAATCACTCGCCTATTTGTGACGTTCTTCCTATTGATAAATGTGATATACTTGTGTTTATAACCATATCAGGGAATTCAAGAGAAAGAACTAGCGAAGATTCCAGGAGGAGACAAAAGGGAAAAAGAAAAGCTAGTAGAGCCAGCTGTGGCGGTGAAGACACGTGCAACAACTCCTCAGCAGTTAAGCCATCCGCTGGCCACCCATCAGGGGAAACAAAACAGAAACTAGAACAGCCAAGGCAATACGCTCCTCGAAGGATACTAAAGGGGAAAAGAAGAGCTACTAAGAGAAGGACAAGCCTCGGCGGTGAAGGAAACGTGGATAACTCAGAGGATTTCTCCATATCCATAGCGGTTAAGGCAACCGCTGGCCACCCATCAGTGGATACGAAAAAACAGAAACTAGAACATCCAAGGAAAGACGACGATTCCAGTAGGATACAAAGCGGGAAAAGTAAAGCTAAGACAGGGACAAGCCTTGGCGGTGAAAAATACCTGGATAACTCCGAGGAATCTTTCATCTGCTCAGCAGTTAATGCCCCCACTGATAACCTGTCAGGGGAAATTCAAGTACATAAAGTAAAACAACCAAGGAAAGACAACAATTCTGGCAGAAGACGAAAGAGAAAAAGAAAGGCTGCAAACAGAAGTTCGAGCGTTGGTGGAGAACAAAGCGCGGGTAACTCTGAGGATTCTTCCACCTCAACTGCTATTAAGGCACGTGCTGGTCAACCATCAGAGGGAACTCGAGAACAAATAATGGAACAGCCAAGGAAAGACAACGATTCCAGGAGGATGCAAAAGGGAAAAAGTAAAGCTAAGGCAGGGACAAGCGTTGGCGGTGAAGGAAACTCTGAGGAATCTCTCATGTCTTCAGCAGTTAAGGCACCCACTGGTCTTCCTTCAGGGAAAACTCAAAAACGGAAAATAAACCAGCTGAGGAACGACAATGATTCTGGAAGGATACAAAAAAGAAAGAGAAAAGCTAATGAGGCAAGAACAAACCATGGCTATGAAGAAAATGCAGAGAACTTGGAGAATTCTTCCACCTCGTCAGCAATTAAGGCACCCGCTGACCACCTATCAAGGGAAACAAAAAAACAGAAACTAGAACAGACAAGTAAAGACACCAATTATGGAAGAAGACGAAAGAGAAAGAGAAAAGCTTCCAATAAATCACCATCTGGAGCAGAAACGAAAGAAAACATGGACAACTCGGAGGACTCTTCCAAATCCTCGGCAGTTAAGGCACCTCCAGGTCACCTATCAGGGGAAACGCAAGAACAAAAAGTAGAACAACCAAGGAAAGCCAAAAATTCTGGGAGAAGGCGAAAGAGAAAAAGAAAAGCTGCCAATAAATCACCATCTGGAGCAGAAACCAATAAGGAGAGCCTTAGTGATACAGAGCAACAGATCTTACGTGATCCAGGGGATTCCTGCTCATCGCCAACCATTGGTAGTGCCGCTAGCACCTCGCCAGAGACCGGTAACACTCTCTTCCCTTGACATATTTTCAGTACTTGACACACATGTAATGGCAATTTGCTGCTTTAGCTAAATTATCTTTCATTGAATCTAAATCTTTTACAAACCATTATTTCAAGTGATCTATTTCAAGTTTTTGTTTTGTACCTCAGTGGCTGGGACAATAAGGAAGAGAGAAAGACACGAAATGGCTGGCAGTGAAGCTGAAGAATCAAAGAAAAAGACTGTTGCAAGCGACAGACAGCAAGTTGCAATTGACACAGGAAGCTCCCTTGTCTCAACATCAGTCACTGCCTCATCAGTGAGCCGATCGAGAAGTACAGTCTAATTCATATTTATGCATGTTTATTAATTCTAAAATGGCCCTTGTCGATTAGTGGAGTCAAATACATTGCTCATTGAACAAAAACAAATTTGTCTGATTACGTATATCATTTTGTAAAAAAATCTTTACATACAGGGAGGAGGAGGAGAAGACGACGAAAAAATTCTGAGAAGAAGGCAATAGAGGTTGGGGGTGATTCTAAAGTCATTGATCTTGAAAGGCACCAGCCAAAATATTGGAACGTAACAGGTGCCAGCGATTTGAACCTGCAACAAGATAAGGGAAGGACACTTGAATTGCAGAGACCAAAGGATCAGGAAACTGAGGAAATATACAATCGCCAATACACATCATCCAAAACACCTGGAGTGCGACGGGAAGATTTTGGTCCAGACAGACTTAAAGCGGACAGACATTATGAAATGTCACAAAAAGAACACCAAAGACAGGGACAGGATCATGTTGGTGAGTTAGACATACATCAGACATAGAGGACTAGAAATTTACAACTACAGACAATGACATCACCTGAGCATCCAAGACTGAAATGCAAGCAGGTTGATGGCCCATACCAACCACCGCAAAACAGAAAGCAAGAACAAGAAGTTGTGGAACAGACCTGTCAACATTGTGTAACAGTACCTGAGAAACAAACAGTAAGGCAGGAGCGGATTTATGAGACAGAAAGACCTCAGCCGGAGTCGGGGATCGAAGATCAGGGCTTCCATCAAGTAAGAGAAGCATCACCTGTGCAACTCGGACATGAGCAGAGTTCTCATCAAGGGACAGCAACATGTGAGAACGAGGGAGTTGAGCAGAAGCAAGCAAGTCATCATGCCCAAATTCCTCGGAAATATGAGCAGAAAATGGCAGGAGTCATCAAGCAGAACATCCAACAGAGTACACCTACATCGCCTGAACATCAGAGAATGAGACAGGAGCGCGATGATGATCTTTACGGGCCCGACCCAAATATACAGTCAACAGTAGGAGAACAGCGCCCTCAAGAAGAGGTGATGACCTCTGCCCAAGAAAAACTTCAATCTGATCGACTTCACAAGGGGAATTTGTCTCCAGAACAGTTGCAAGGTGATAATAAACATTACTATAGGTTGTAAGGTTGACGATTGCATGAGTAATTTAATCAACATATAGATTGTTCAATGACTCGTTCAATGACTCGTGTTCAATTTTTTGCTTATTATATTGTAGCAGTTGAAGATCTAGTGCCTTCAGCGGTCCAGCCAGCGATGCAGCATCCATCTACTCTGTGTACTCATCATTCATCGGATTCCATTCAACCAACTGTACAAACAGGGGACGTCAATGTCCCTGGCAGCTGTAATCCTGTGTTTTTAGGATCGTCGTCTGGGCATACATTCCATTACGAATTCAACCAGAATGTGACAGTTCACCAGGGAGCTACATCAGGTAAAACAGTTCTAGGACTTGCGTTTTTAAAGATTCAAATTCAAGATGCCATCCCTTCAATCAAATTCACCACAAACAGCCGTCCTAGTTTTGGCCATTGATTTACTTTTACAACACACTGCAGATTGAATAATCCTCATCATCGGTCGGCTATATGAATTTGATACCCCCACTTTTGTTCACTTAAAATTTTACAGTTTAAATCTGGCGCGCAGAGTACCACACAGAGGTCCAGGGCTACATAATCGGATTAACGCTGGCCCTGTGTGGCTGTGCGTTCAACCCTAAAATGTGGCCCGGCACATTCCATTCATAAAATGGTTAAAACAAACCTATACATGACAATGTACATATAGGATTTGTGCACATATCGATGTGAAGGTATGCCTAATAGTACAACTTCTTGTCCGGTTTTGTCAAACTTGATATAAACATCTTATTTCATTTTTGCATTCTTCAACAAATCTGACGTATACACTAACGTGTACATGCATACAGATATCCTCCCCACAAAGAAAATGGTACAACCCAATAAACAAGTACAATTTCTATAACTGCCTTGAAGTGAACAGTATTCAGATCCAAAATTACATATTTTAAAATGAAATTAACTTCTAAAAAGACCACAGTTTTAATGCCAGTTAACTGATTAACATATGGACAGTTTTTAAATGTCTTATCTAAAGTAGAATTGGAGAAAACGTACGTGTCCTGAAAAACAGGTCATGAGCAGAGTCCAAGATCATGAAACGCGTGGTAAGCAATGGTACATCAATGTAAGTCGCGAACGATGCCTTATCTATCGAAAGTTGTCATTGGCCACTTTTTCCTTTGTGAAAAGTACGGTGTTTTTTGTTCAACCAATCATAACAAGTTTTACATGTAAGTAAAGAGGAGGAGCTTAGCTATTTGATTCCGTTTACCCCCACACAATTCGATACTCTAGTCAGGAGTTACAGTCAAAAGAGTTGACGCGAGGGCGCTCAATCGGTGCGTTTACACAGGAAAATGATGAACAGTTCACATTTCCAAAGCCGAAAGTACGTGGATTTTTTTCAAGATAAAAAAAATAACATTAACCATGAGAAAGAGAAAGAGTTACATTGTACAGAACCGTTTAACCCCATTGAAAAAGACCGCATGGTTATCAAACTATGACTCGAAACATCGAAAAAAGGGGCCTTTTTACCGGGATTCTCGCCCGGAAACGGGCGGCGGCGGAGCAGTCAACTACCAGTTTTCGCCATGCAGGTCTCTGTTGGGCTTGTTCCTCAATGATGGTAGCAGATTGGATACTGTAGAATTAATGTACGATATACATTTATGTCAGTCATCTGAAATGCAGCAGTGTATACACAAAGGCCCTCCACCAGGCCCGGCTTCCCACATTTGTTGGTCTATTACAAAATGTTTCGGTCCTTCCACATTCCGACCCTCATATGAAAAAAAAACGGGCATGCACTTGGTCGACATGTATGCGAAGATCATATACCTGTACATGTATCTGCAAAAAAAAAAAAAACCACACACATTCGTTTACCAATTAATTCATTTAGTCCTAGGGACGAGAGGCCGAAAACGCTTTAGTTTTCGAGATGCACGATCTGGTCCGCCGAATTTTATAAAACTTTCCAGACATGTAGATTATGATGTACACATGAAAAAACCTCTGTTTCCCGATCCACAGTTTGTTTGGAAATGAGAAAATCTGGGATAAAAATGCCGAAAATGTTGCATGAGAAAAAAAATAAGAAACAGCGCCCTCTGTTGACACAGTCAGAAAGATGAATTTAATTTCTGAATAACAAGGTGAAGAACAAATCGATACCCCCGTACGAAAAAGTATACTTCTTTTTTGAATTTGTTGAACTGAATTTGTAATTGTCACACAAAAGACGAAATTAAACTTTGGAAGTGCACTAAATTGATGTTGATGGACGAATATGAATATTAGAACCGGTGAATTCAAATGATAATTGTTATAAAATAACCGGGAAAACCTATATAATCTAAAAAAAAATATATTTTTTTTTTGGGGGGGGGGGGGTAAACGTGCGTAGTACCTGTTGTTACCCACACAAGAAGAATGGTGTTTAGATTACATACATTTGTGCAATCTGTACTGAATGAGCATTACTCGTTTATTTTCAACTAACCAAACGAGCTAAATGAGCACATGTATACATTACAGGCCGATTAGATAATTGTTGTATAACATATCAAAAGCCTCATCAAATTTTTTGCAAATTTTTTTAAGACTGAGAAAATAAATTTATATTCCCTTATTATTTGGAAGCTGTGAGTGGCAGCATTACAACTGCAATTTATTTCAGCCGAAACCGTTTTACCGTTTTTATTATTCTGGATATTGTTTTAAGAACCGATTATTATTTTGTTGTTGCTAGCTCCGTCCATTCCGTGAAACCACAGATAACCTAACGGCCCACCCTCTTCCTTTTTTTCAAATTTGTATTACTTTTTTTTTTTCAATTTCAGGCATAACATTTTTTTTTAAACGTTTAAGAAGTTCAGATGCTCCACCAGATGCCACACACTTATAATTATTATTTTTGAAAACATGTTACCCTGAGATAAGAGTTCACAAAATATTATTCTGATCTGTGGTTTAACCATCAAATCGATGTTCAGCTAAAATACATAACAATGTTAACATTCGATCTTAAATTTATAACGTGATCATTTCATGTTGGACAAAACTGTATTTAACGGTAATATGTTTGCATTCCGATGAGAAATAACAAAAATCTAGAATACAATAGGAAAGAAGTGTCGTCTAGACTGTATATAGGAAGAAGAACTAATTGGCCGAGGTTGGGCGGGTCTTAATTGTTCTTGTCACGCGACCGGGTATATCGTTCTTGCAAACAACGACGGATGGGCGCATGGTGTGAGATCCTGTTCCGAGTGCAGTGTTCGTGGGTCAAGTTCCCGCGGTTCAAGCGCGAGAACAATACTCGCGTCAGACCGCCCGAACTCTGAGTTGGACAGCCAGCGTAATTTTTTATTCCTAGGAGGGTTAGGGGGAATGTCATGAATAATTCATGTTTATCCATGAGAACGGACAATGACATCAACAGCATTGTTGTTAGTTACTCAACTAGTTACAATACATTAAAGCATTTTAAAGAACGGTTGTCGTCGAGCTACCACACAGTAGCCTAGTGGATAGCGAGATGAGCTATGATGGATACAAAGATCCCTGGTTCGAATCCACGTCGTCGCTGCTCATTTTCATTAGCTATTTTTCTTCTCCAAATTTATCACTGAGATAATTTTAAATTAAGGGGAAAATAGAACGAGAACCTAAGTCTTGCAATGATTCAAAGGAAAAACTGAATTATTCATGACATTGCCCCTAACCCTGCTGGGAACAAAAAATTACGCGGACGGCCATTGCGTGAGAAAAAGGTTTCTGACTGTGTCAATAGGGGGCGCTGTTTCTTATGTTTTTTTCTCATGCGGAATTTTCGGCGTTTTTATCTCAGATTTTCTCATTCCCAAACAAACTGTGGATCGGGGAACAAAGTTTTCTGATATGATACACTTTAATCTATATGTTTGTGAAGTTTTATAAAATTCGGCGAACCAGACCGCGTGGCGAACAAAAAAAAGGCCTCTCCCATGGACTAATTGTTTAGTAATGATTTGTGTTCGACAAGGAACCCCCTCCCCCCCAAAAATAGGCAAATTCTTGTTTTAAATTGTCAAGAGTTTCGTGGAAAATTTTAAGGATATAACTAAATACAGTAAAACAGATCATGTAAGCAATCAAAATTAATAGCTCATATAAAGCATAATCAGATGTGGATTTGACTAATTGATGGGGGTAGGAACAAAGGGATTGTGTGACAAAAGGGGCTGGGTTGTGGTTTACAGAATAACGTGATCCCCATTTTGATAAATTTAATTATCTTGTGAACCCCGGTCCACATTTCTGTTTGACATATTTTGTGAAATCGTTTAAAAACTATTCAACAAAGTCATTGTGCGTGAATTCACTTTTTCAACAGGAGAGATGGGAAATGATCAGCGCCCTGAGGTAAGCAACCCATCCGTACAAACAAGTCAAGATACCAGTCCAGCCACCGATGCAGCAGCAGCTGCGGCAGCGGATCTGTGTGAAGAGGCACTTAAAAAGGTGTACAAGACCACAGGCAGTTACGTGCAAATGATTCCATGGGTTGATGATGACATGAGGGATATAATGGATATATATACCAAGTTGAGATTGGTCACTGATGATAATGAAGAAACAATAGGGATGTGGTATAAAGATGGGAAGGAGGTGAATTATGAGGATACTTTCCTTGTTGAAAACAAAGGTTACATTATTAATCGCATAGTTTATGAAGGATTGGCTGGTCTGGGAAAAACAACTCTGATTGGGAAAATTGCTTACGACTGGGCAAGTGGCTCATCTGGCTCTCTGGCGAAATATAAGCTTGTTTTTGTTCTGAGAATGAGTGCACTGGAACAATCTGCAGATCTCCTTGACTCTCTTTATGAGCAGCTCATCGATCCAAATGTAATCGATAAAAATCATCTGGAAACCTTCATTTTTAAGAATCCCAAAAAAGTGCTAATTCTTTTGGATGGCTTTGATGAGTTGACGACTACCGAACTTGATAATAAATCATTCGGATCCATCCTGCAAATTCTAAATCGAAAGGTTGGAGCAGACATTGATGTGGTTATAACAACTCGCCCGTCTCATTTCAGCGCATTGGTCAGCAAATCACTGGTTAAAAATCCTTACACTCGCGTAAAGGTTTTAGGGTTTTTCATGCAAGATATTAAAAATTACGTGGAAAAGTTTTTTTCTAAAAAACCCTGTGATGCAGAGATCCTTTTCCAAACCATTATATCATCAGGTGTCCTTCTTGATTTAGCCCATAGCCCAATGTTGCTTCTATTAATGTGTTTATTATGGAGACAAGATTCCATACTGCCAGACACAACATCACGCTTATATGGCGAAGCTGTTCGATATATATTCAAGAGAAAAGGTATACCGGAGGAGGAAATACTAGATATCCTTGTTGCCGTTGGAGAGATTGCTTTCAATGGCCTGGTATCTCCAGTGCAGCGGCTTTCATTTCAAGAAAGAGATTTTGAGAAGAGTGCGCTTGATAAAGCTGTGAAGGCCGGCATCCTCACAAGCCAGAGGTTTCTAATAGGGTTGGATACTCATAACAACATACAGTTTACCCACAAAACATTTCAGGAGTTCTCTGCTGCTTTTTACCTACAAAGCTTACAGAAATCAGACACTGATGAATTTCAACAGAATCTTGATAAACTTGATGACCCGGAGACGTTTCACTATTTGCTGCGCTTTTGTTGTGGCGACAATGAAGCATGCACTATTAAAGTCTTGCAGATGTTGCAAAAGAGGATCAATGATGAGAGTACTTGGATCAAAACTACAACATTAAACATGGCTTTGAATTGTTACTTTGAGAGTCAGGCAGACAATTTGCTATCAGAGGCGTTCGCACAATCAGTCATAACTGAAACAATAAACACGGATTATCTCAAGAGCCGTGATGATGTGAATTCCTTTGTATGGTTTCTCAAACATGTTGCTAACGAGGCAAAGTACACAGGTAATATTTTTCTCGACAAAGTTAAGAAATTAAAGTTCAGTAACCATAGTTTGGAAGGCTGTAGTAAACATCTGGCAGTGGCCATGAGTAGCATGCCTAATGTTTCTGCTGTCAGAATGAGGAATTGCTGTTTAACTACCGACAATATGACAGAAATTGCATCAGTGTTAGGAAGGACTGACAAGTTGTCTGTATTGGACCTTTCCTGCAATTCAAATTTAAGTGGTTCAGTGCATTCATGGATTTCGCAGTTAAATAAAACACATCTACGAAAGTTAAAGCTAGATGGCTGTTCTCTGACAGTTGATGACATGAGGCAAATTGCTCTTTCACTTAGTGATATGCCAAACGTGATGGAAACAAGTTGGTCGGAATATTTATGGATATATCCAAAAGGATGTGGCATTGGGCTGCAAATAAGTAATCTTTCATTAAATGGTACAGAAATAAAACTCATCTTGAAGGCACTGGTTAACAGAAAAGACTTAGTTGCATTGTACATGGCGGAAATTAAGGGACTGCAAGGTACGGCGGCATTATGGGCTTCTCAGTTCAAGGAACTAAAGCAACTAGACCAGTTGACTTTTGAAAGTTGTACACTAACAAGCACTGATGTTAAGCTCATTACTGAATCTCTTTGTGATACACCTACACTGACAGAACTTTGCCTGTCTCAAAATTATAGCAAGAGTCACATAGACGTAGTGGTCGTTGATCGTGTTCAAGGACTTGGCGGTACAGCAGCTGAGTGGTCACCTGCATTACGACAACTGAAATATTTGAAGCAATTACACTTACAAAACTGCTTTTTGAACGTAGAAGATGTGAAATGGATTGCTGCTGCAGTTGGTTGCTTGCCAAGGCTTATCCATTGTACTGTTGATGATGTGTTTGAAGTCTCACCATGTGGTACGGGTTTGAAGATAGAACTCTCAAATCAGACGTTCACTGGTTCTGATGTGGCAGGTATTGTGAAGGCTATGTGTAGCCGGAATGACATAGTTCAAGTGGTTGTTGAAGATGCTAAAGGACTTCGTGATACAGCAGCTGTATGGTTACCTGCATTACAAGAACTGAAATGTCTGGAACGATTAGGCTTTATAAACTGCTCATTGAGCGGCACAGACATTGAACATATTGCTGCATCACTTAGTACCAATCTGGTTCATTTGCATGTGTCTCGGAATCCCCTGGCTGGCTCAGGTGTGTCATTGTCCAAGTTAAAGCAGCTGACACACCTGAAGATACTGACACTAGATGACTGTGGCTTAGAAGTGGAGGATGTGATAAGTATTGCTGCTGTAGTTGGCTGTTTGCCAAAGCTTCGGTATTGCCGTCTAATGAATTATGTTAATGGGTTTAATGATTTATTATTCTTTGAAGTAGTTCCGTGTGAAATCGGTATTGGCATACGACTGCATCTCCCGTCAAGTAAATTTAGAGGTCCTGATGTGGCAAACATTGTAAGAGCATTAGGAAGTAGACGTGACTTGGTTGACGTGACAATTGAATATATTAAAAACTTTGGTGGCAAAGCAGCTGAATGGTCACCTGCATTGCAGGTACTGGAACATCTGAAGCGATTCCGCATAAGCAACAGCTCATTGATAGATAAAGATATTAAGCACATTGCTGCATCACTGAGTGACATACCCACTCTGGTTGAACTGGATCTGTCTGGAAATGTATCCCTGGCTGGTTCAAGTGCATGGTCCCACCTAAAGTGCCTGAAACAACTGGAAAAGCTAAAATTGCGGTGGTGCGCATTGAGAAATGCCGACTTGGAACTCATCGCTGTATCACTTAGTGGAAAGTCAAATCTGCTCGAACTGGATCTGTCTGGAAATGTATCCCTGGCTGGTTCAAGTGCATGGTCTCACCTAAAGTGCCTGAAACAACTAAAAAACCTGGAATTGCAGTGGTGCGCATTGAGAAATGCAGACATCGAACTCATCGCTGCATCACTTAGTGAAAAGTCAAATCTGCTCGAACTGGATCTGTCTGGAAACGAATACCTGGCTGGCTCGGGTGCATTGTCTCACCTAAAGTGCATGAAACAACTGAAAAAGTTGGTCTTACAATTATGTTGGTTGAGTGATGCAGACATTAAACCGATCACTGCATCACTTAGTGACACACCAACTCTCGTTGAACTGGATCTGTCTAGAAATGTATCCCTGGCTTTCTCGGGTGCATGGTATCACCTTAAGTGCAAGAAACAACTGCGAAAGCTGGTCTTAAAAGAATGTTGGTTGAGTGATGCAGACATTGAACCCATCACTGCATCACTTAGAGACATACCAACTCTGGTTGAACTGGATCTGTCTGGACATGAATCCCTGGCTGGTTCAAGTGCATGGTCTCACCTAAAGTGCCTGAAACAACTGAAAAAGCTAAAATTGCGGTGGTGCGCATTGAGAAATGCCGACTTCGAACTCATCGCTGCATCATTTAGTGAAAAGTCAAATCTGCTCGAACTGGATCTGTCTGGAAATGAATCCCTGGCTGGCTCGGGTGCATGGTCTCACCTAAAGTGCCTGAAACAACTGAAAAACCTGGAATTGCAGTGGTGCGCATTGAGAAATGCAGACATCGAACTCATCGCTGCATCACTTAGTGAAAAGTCAAATCTGCTCGAACTGGATCTGTCTGGAAACGAATACCTGGCTGGCTCGGGTGCATTGTCTCACCTAAAGTGCATGAAACAACTGAAAAAGTTGGTCTTAAAAGAATGTTGGTTGAGTGATGCAGACATTAAACCCATCACTGCATCATTTAGTGACATACCAACTTTGGTCGAACTGGATCTGTCTGGAAATGTATCCCTGGCTTGCTCAGGTGCATGGTCTCACCTAAAGTGCATGAAACAACTGCAAAAGCTGGTCTTAAAAGAATGTTGGTTGAGTGATGCAGACATTGAACCCATCGCTGAATCACTTAGTGACATACCAACTCTGGTTGAACTGGATCTGTCCAGAAATGTATCCCTGGCTGGTTCAAGTGCATGGTCTCACCTAAAGTGCCTGAAACAACTGAAAAAGCTGGAATTGCGGTGGTGCGCATTGAGAAATGCAGACATCGAACTCATCGCTGCATCACTTAGTGAAAAGTCAAATCTGCTCGAACTGGATCTGTCTGGAAATGAATCCCTGGCTGGCTCGGGTGCATGGTCTCACCTAAAGTGCCTGAAACAACTGAAAAAGCTGGTCTTGAAAGAATGTTGGTTGAGTGATGCAGACATTAAACCCATCGCTGCATCACTTAGTGACATACCAACTTTGGTCGAACTGGATCTGTCTAAAAATGTATCCCTGGCTTGCTCAGGTGTATGGTCTCACCTGAAGTGCCTGAAACAACTGCAAAAGCTGGTCTTAAAAGAATGTTGGTTGAGTGATGCAGACATTGAACCCATCGCTGTTTCACTAAGTGACATACCAACTCTGGTTGAACTGGATCTGTCCAGAAATGAATCCCTGGCTGGTTCAAGTGCATGGTCCCACCTAAAGTGCCTGAAACAACTGGAAAAGCTAAAATTGCGGTGGTGCGCATTGAGAAATGCAGACTTGGAACTCATTGCTGCATCACTTAGTGAAAAGTCAAATCTGCTCGAACTGGATCTGTCTGGAAATGAATCCCTGGCTGGCTCGGGTGCATGGTCTCACCTAAAATGCCTGAAACAATTGAAAAAGCTGGTATTAAAAGAATGTTGGTTGAGTGATGCAGACATTGAACCCATCACTGCATCACTTAGTGACATACCAACTCTGGTTGAACTGGATCTGTCTGGAAATAAATACATGGGTTACTCGGATGCATGGTCTCACCTAAAGCGCCTGAAACAATTGAAAAAGCTGTCCCTGAGGGAGTGCTCATTGAGTGATGCAGACATTCAACTCATCGCTGCATCACTTAGCAGTGTTGTAGTCGAGTCCACCACGTGCGAGTCCGAATTCGAGTCCGAGTCCGAATTCGAGCTCGGATTCTGAGTTTGAGTCGGAAAATCCGAGTCCAAAACCTCCTAGTCCGAGTCCGAGTGCAAGTCTGTTAATTAATATGCAGCTACATTATGTACCTCAAATGTTATTATACAAGTCGGCACAGACAGAGCTTCAACATAATAAGGCTTAAAGGACGAGGGAAAGGGATTTTCAAAAGAAGGAGATATTGTTTGTTCGTTTTTCTTATTCATTTAGGATTTACCTTCTAAAGGCCCTGCTATTGAAGATGTACTGGTGTTCTTTCAACCTTAATTTCGAGTTTCACTACAATGTTTTTTTGTGTCAAATGCTGGTTTCTGAGTAGCATACTAAGTTGTTTGAATGAAACATCGAAAGTCTCTACTCATGTTTAGTAATGGCATTATTGCTTATCGTTTTGTTTTTGTTTGTTATTTTCGGCCTACAGTGATATTTCGTGCATTCGACATGCTATGCAACCCCAAATTAAAGCCTTTTTTCTATAGGAGTCCAGACGGCAAAATATAGAAGAAAATAATATAACACATTTATGTTAAAACATACTGATAAGGGATATAATATATTGAAGATCAGGGACAGCATGTATCTTCAAAAAGATGAAATAATATATATAAAACAGTAGATGTTGACAATATTAATACTCTTATGTACATTACACAGGTGTAGAAGATAATTGGTCAAATGGCGAACTAGTCACATTCTTTCAGAAATATAATGGTACTTTACACAACCGTTTACACATTTTTGCTCATTTCGGCTTGTTTAGTCTTCCATTGAACTTACTTGGGACCAACACGAAATGGGTCCACGTAAAATATTAGTTTCATCAATTAAAACTATTTTGCAAGTTAAGTAAATTGACCTGGTTAAAATTATGCCTTGACTGTGACTGTAAGTTTTGTAAATATGGGAACTTTTAAAACAAAACACCTGAAAACCGTTTAGGATCCAAATAATGATGATTGTGTTTGATTATATCTTGGGATTTAAATTGAGCAGAAGAGAACAATTGAGAACAATTGTTATAGTTTTGTAAAAATTGGTTTATCTATATATGACAAAACAATGAAACCAAATGAATAAGATTTGAAGGTTTGCATGGTGAAGATAGCAATACGATGACGTTTTGCGGTAGCACCACGTGACCAATCTCTTTTGTGGGTTTGTGAGATTCTTTTGAGAGCCTCACAGAGAACCTCACAAACTCACTCAAGAGGTTTGCTACCGAAATAACACAACATTATCTATTTCGTTCTAAATCCTGAATTTACATGTATTTGGTGCAAATCTTTTGTTTTCAATTTCACTTTTCATGAAATGTTAAAGCAAACTAAATCTGGACGTGACGGTTGAGAATGGCAACATTTTTAATAGAAGTAAACAATAATTTGGTCAATTAATTTTTGTTTCACAATGCATTACTTGTTCATTGTATGCCTCCTACATGTGTTATTTTTCTCCAATAAAATAATGCATATAAGTCATTTCAGTGGTTTTGTTTCTGTATTATTTCCCCCATAGTAAATGATATGAGATTAAGTAAATTTAATTAGTTCCAAAGCATTTCTCTCCCAAAACAGAAAACGTGTAGCTTAACATTTGTTCCCCCTCCCCAACATCTTGCCCTCGTAGAATTAGTCAAAGTGCAGTTCGGTGAGTTTGATAATATAATCCTGGTCATCAATTCTTTGGGTGTTCCAAAAAAAATCCGCCACTCGTTTTTGGACTAGGCTCAAGATAAATTGCCCAATATTAATTTTTCACATGCATTCTGTTACAAATTTAGTAGTATTTTGGCCACACTACGAAGGTGTCATCAACGTAGCGTAACCACAGACTTGGCCAAAGATCTGGTGTGAAGAGGGAGGAAGACTCGAACTCCTCCACGAAGATGTCGGCTAGGACCGGGGATAAAGGAGATCCCATGGCGGTCTCAGCCGTTTGCTCGTAGAACTTGCCTTGCCACTGAAAACAACTGGAAGAAATACATGTTAGTAACGGATCATGAATTTTGTCAGGGGACAGGTCTGTGCGTTCGCCAAGTGAAGTATCATGCTCAAGTCTTTCCTTAGCTAGTTTGCAGGCATCGCCTGTTGGGACATTAGTGAAGAGTGAAACGACGTCAAAACTGACAAGCGAGTCAGTGGGTTGGACGGTGAGGTTTCTGGTGATGCTGACAAACTGGCAAGAGTTGGACACATGGTGTGGTGTCTGATTCACTAATTAGGGTCTGAGGATTTTGGCTAGGTGTTGGGCTGTGTTGTGGGTAGGGGAACCTCGAGAGGCAACTATGGGGCACAGTGGGAACTCGGTTCGGTGAATCTTCGGTTGACCAAAGAACCTGGCACAGATCGAACTGGATGGTATGAGACGTCTGTAGAGGGGGCGGATAATGCATCTGCTCGATGCAGGAGGAGAAGTTGGCTGGCAACTCGCTTCTCGATGGCGAGGATGGGGTTTTAGGGGAGTGGGCGGTATGAACCAGAAGAAAGTATGGGTGCAGTGAACTAATTCAAGTGAGAATTTCTAGGCCGCTGATCAGTATAAAAAGTAACCCCCAATTTCTTTTTAAAAAGGAGACCGTTCGGCTTTAAAAACGATGGAATTGTGTAAATATAGCCAAGGATCAACTCCCTGGTTTTGGGGCTTCTATCTGAAGGCAGGCTTGATAAAATTACGGTTGAAAAATGGGTCCTTTTTGCCTGAGAAAGTGGAAGGATGTTTGGGAACTACCACTTTTCGGGAGGTGATTTTGTTTTGGTGCGAATATTTAAAAATGTAATTGGCTTAAATTGGTTCAGTGCAACCTGTATATCTTTTACCTTCTTATTGTAGACCTGCCTGTCCATGACGACGGTGGCGTTTCCCTTGTATGTTGAGTTGTCTCGGCAAAGATCACTGACAGCAAATCGCTCTGGTTCGGTCAGATTTGGTTTAGCTGGCCGAGCCTTGCGGAGGACTTCATTCAGACTGATGCGGGACGTCGTTGGCTACAGTCTTGGTGAGATGTCTGAGGGAAGGCTTCGTCGACTGGATGATGCTCTCGATGGGGACGGACCTTGGAGGAACAGCAAAGTTCATGCCAAGGGACAGTACTTTTGTTTCTGTACTGTTCAGCTGGCGGTTGCTGAGGTTGACTACAGTGTGCTTGGTGAAGGAATCTAGACTACGGAGATGAGGTGGATGGCGCCAGGATATAGGAGATCCAGTTGGCGGGTTACGCGGGCGAGAAGATTGACGCCAGAATATAGGGGATCTAGTTGGCGGGCTATGCAAGCGTGATAGCGGCGCCAGGATCTAGGAGATTCAGTTGGCGGGCTATGGTTACGGTGGAAAGGAGTCGGAGTATTCCGTTCCTTGCGTTCCAGGCGGTAGAATATCCAAAGTTGTTTTTTGCCAGTGGCGGAGAACACAAACTGGCTGGAAGAAGTGGTGAGAGAACAAATTCTGTGGAAGTGGACTTGTTCCAAGGTGGAGCGGAGATCCTCTTTCGTATCGGTGATTTGCTGGTCCAGGATGGGTCCAGGTTGTAGACTGGTAAAGGAGATGCGTTCTTGGATGAGGGTCGAGCTAGCTGTGTATAAATGCTGTATGAATGTCATCCGACCGGTTGTTGCGTATGGGATCGCGGATGCGCAGACCGACAGGGGTTATCTTAGAGTCGCGGCATCGCTTGAGGAAGGTTAAGTTGTTGATGAGTTGAGAAGGCCGAATTGACGTCCGTTCATATAACTTAACCTGGTTGGTTACCAGCTCAGAATTGTTTTACTAAAACTATCATTTTTTTATGAGCAAAATATAAAAAAGACCGAGAGACTCCTTATTTCTAAAAGTATGGTATCTGAACTGTGTATTATTGTTTTGGCACATGCTGACTTGAACTGCTATCAATATCAAAACACTGTGGTCAATAAAAAGAAATAATTTTTGTAGTACAAGTACGTTGTGTGTAGTTTTATAACAATGCCTTTAATATTAGGGGGTTTGAAGTAAGATAAGATGCAGTCGAGACTGTCAGAAATAAGGTCAGAATTAACAGGAGATGAACAATGACAATGGAGTATTGTTATAGTCATTGGAGCAGCTTGACTTGAGATTGGCATTGTGGGTGACTTTTAAGGAGAATAATGACTCGACCTTGACCGACACGAATTTCAAGCATATGCCCGTCTTTGTGTGTCATTATATTTTGGGAGAATGAATTACTACCGTACTTTTCGATTGACTTGCAAGCAGGAAATTCCTAGGGAGCACGTTTTATGTACATTTAATCTTCACGGGGTCCAATAACAAAATAATTGTAAATAAGCTAGACGTTTTCTGAATGTAACAACAGACCTAACAGTCCTTACTTCTCATTTGTTTGTTCGGTAAATATTGCTTCATAGAAGATCATGACCTTGAATAATTATTAACCTTGCTAATACACCCTTTGTACTATCTGCAGGATAATAATCAGTGACGTTATCATCACGCGACACTGCGCGCGCATAAGCAAAGGGGAATTCCCGCACCCGCTAAATTTGCGACGCTTCCTTCAATTTAGAGGATCGGGTGACAAATCTGGTCGTAAAGACAAAAAAATGGTAAGCATTGTGGATATTTTCTAAGAAACAAAGTACTATCGGTCTTTGTCGTGCTCTATATGGCATTTAAAGATCGAACAGAAATGTTTTTCTTCATACTTCCCCGCTTGAAATAGCTCAACTGAGCCACGACTTTTCACTAACGTCTGTTGACTTTACTTTGTCAAGGCTACAGTTAAAATGTAGTTCTATTTGCCTCATTTATAGAAACATTTGTTTAATTTTTTCCTTTCGAATAACCACATGGAATTATTTTTTTAAACGATTGTATTGTTAGCAATTGTATGGACATAACTTGTTCGTGGATTGGGGTTGGGGTGGGGTGGGGCGTGGCGAGGGGAGGGAGGAGGGTAGATATTTTATATTCGTTGTTCCATGGCTATCATACCCCTTCTCAAAAATTAGATGTGGTAGTGTATTACTCCGATGCATTTTCTTAAAGCCCTCCTGTTTTATTTGAAAAAT